AAACTTTTTATAAGTAATTAAAGAAATTATATTTATATAAGCAACTTTTTATAAATAAGCATAAAAATAAGTAAAAGTAAATAAAAGCCTTAAATATTATAAAATAAAATAAGATTTTTATTAAAAGTTAAAAAATTATTATAATTTATAAAAAAGTAAAATTATAAAAGAAATCTTTATAATTATTTATAATAACTTAAATAATTATAATAATAAAAATAAAAATACTTATATTATTAAAGATTTAAAAGCTTTATAATAAAGTATAAATAAATTTTATAAAAAAAAGCATAAATAAGCTTTTTTAAAAAGATTTTTAAAAATAAAGTAATATATTATATATAAATATCTTTATATCTTTATTAAATATTTTTATATATTTTTTAAAAAGGCTTATAAAAATTAAAAGCTAAATAAAAAAATTTAATAAATAATATAATATATATTTAATAATAAAGTTAATTTTTAAGTTAAAATTTAAGCCCTTTATAAATTAAGATTTAAATTTAAGTTTTAAAATTTAAAGCTAATTAAAAAAAAGGTAATATAAAAAATTAATAATTAATTATTAAGGTATTATATAATTAATATTAAAGCTAAAAAAGCTTTTATTATAAATATTATAAAAAATATCTTTTAAAGTATTTAATAATATTAAACTTAAGAAATATAATTTTAATTATTAATAATAAGTAATAGCTAATAAATTTATAATTAATTATTTATAATAATTATATTTTTATAAATAATTATTAATTATTAATTATTATATATAAAATAATATTAATAAAAATTAATAATTTTATCTTATATCTTAAAAATATTACCTTATATTTATAAATTTTAATTATTTTTATTTTCTTAAAATAACTTTAAAAAAAAAATATATTTTAAAATAATAAGTATAAATTAATTACTTTTTAATAATATAATAAAATAATTCTTTATTAATTTATAAATATTTATAATTAATATTATTAAATATTATTTTAATAAAACTTTAAGCTTTTTTATATATATAAGAAAGAAATATATAACTTATATTTAAAGAAAACTATTTATAAATAAAGCTATTTTTTAATATAAAAAATTTAACTATTTAAGATTAAAAGCATTTAAATATTTAATAAATTTATTTTAAGGGGTATATATTTATAAATTAATTAATAAAATATAAAGTATATGCCCTTATTAAAGTTATATAATAAATTTATTAAAAATTAAAGAAAATTTATAAATAAAAAGATAAAAAGATTGCATTAAACTTTTATAATTATAAAAAAGGAATTTATAATTATATATTATAATTCTTATTTATATATAAAGTTTTTAATTATATATAAAATTATTACTTTATAAATTAAAATAATAATAGCTTAATTTATATTTTTAAGTTTTTTTATAAAATAATAAAATAATAATATAAAATTAAAATTAAGGTTATTAAATATAATAAAGAAATTTTTAATTATAAATAAATTATTAAAAACTTTCTTAAATTTAAGTATATTAAATTAAAGCCCTTAATATTAAATATTTAAGTATAAAATAATAACGTTAAATGCTTAAAAAATATAATTAAGAAAAAAATATATATAATATAAATAAATTTAAAATTATTATACTTATTATAATTAAAAATTAAAAAAATAATAATATATTTTAATAATTAAATATTAATATATAGTTTATAATAAAAAATATCTTACTTTAAATTTTATAAAGTAATTATAATTTATATAAGAATTTTATAATTAAATTTAAAATTAAATTAAACTTACTTATATATCTTTAAATATAAAGCTTATATTATAATATTTAATATTTAATTAAAAAAAAAATAAATATTAATAATTAAAATTATAAATATAAATAAGCTATTTAATTAATTATTTCTTATTAAATATTTATTAAATATAAATTCTTTTTATTAAAAAGATTATTAATATAAGAAATATAATTTTTAATAAATATAAATAATTTAATAAAAAAAATTAAAAAGGATTTAAAAATAAACTTTTTATTATAAATATTAAATATTTTATAAAATAAATAAAAAATTATGCTCTTTATAAATAAAATAAAATATTAAATTTTAAAAAAAAGAATTTTTTTAAAAATAACTCTTTAAAAAATACTTTAAAAAAAGATTTATTTATATTAAATTATAAAAAAGATATTAATAAAAAGATAAAAGCCTTAAAAGGAAATATAAAAAATACTTAAAAAAGGTAATTTATAATAAATTAATAAAATAATATTTATATAAATATAAAATTTAAATTACTTTTTATATCTTTATAAATTTTTTTATTAATACTTTTAGCTTATATTATTTAAATAAAATTAATAAAAGAAATTTTATTTTATAATAAATTTATTATAAATATATTATAATAAGTTATATTTATAATTAATATTAAAGCTACTTTAATAATAATATATAATAAAAAAATATTAAATAAGATATAAATTAAAAAATATTTATATTAAAAGGTAAAATTATAAAAAAATAGCCTTTTAAAATTATTATAATAATATAAAAATCTTAAGAATTATTTTTTTAAATATTTATTTAAATAAGTAAAAGTTAATTACTTATAAAATTATAAAGAAATAAAATTATAAATTAAAATTTAAAAAAAAAACCTTTAAATAATTAAAAAATAAATTCTTAATTATTTATAAGTTTATATTTATAAGTTTAATAAATATAAATAATTTAAAAAGTATAAAGCTTAATTAATTATTTAAAGAAAGTAATAAATAAAAAAGTAAATATAAGATATTTATATAATTATTTTAATAAAATAATCTTTTTATATATTTATAATAATTATAATAAAGTTTAACTTAAAGCTTATATAGCATAATATTATAAATGCTTTTATATATATTCTTATTAATTAAAATATATTTATATAAATATTATATAAATATTAATAAAAAAGAATTATTTTATTATTAAATATAATGCTTTATAATCTTTAAATCTTATTATTATTATAATAAAAAGATTTATAAAGATATTAACTTAATATAAATATAATTAAGTATTATATAAGCTATATTATTATATTAAGAATAATATTTTAATTTTTTTTTATATAAATAATATTATTATTATATATTAAAAAAATTATTAAAACTAAGTAAATAAATTAATAAAGCAATTTTAAAAAAAGTATAAAATCATTAAAAAATACTTTATTTAATAATTTCTTAAAATAAAAATTATTTAAAATTATATAAATTACTAAATTTAGCTAGCTTAAACTATATATATTAAGAAAATTATTAAATTAATTAATAAAATAAATATTTTTTATAAGATTTTTATAACTTTTAAAAAGTTATTATTATATATTATTATTATTATAAAAGCTAAAGTTTACTCTTATTAAAAGAAAATTAAGTTACTTTTATTTATTATAATCTTTATATAATTAAATATTATCTTTATTATATTATAGCTTATTTAATTCTTAATTAATTTAAGCTAAAAATATTATAATATAGTTAATAAAGTGCTATTATATTTTCTTTATATTAAGCATTTTACTTTATGCTTTTAAAATTTAAAAAAATTTATAATTATTAATAATATATTTTTTATTAATAACTCCTTAAATTAAAAAAGCTTATAAATATTTATTATAAAGTTATTTAATAAACTTATTAAATAAAAAATAAATAAGCAAAATATAATTATAACTTTTATTATAAAAGTAAAGTTATTAACTTTAGCTTAAGCTATAAAAAAAATACTTTTTATAAGCTAACTTTTTACTAAGCTATTTATAAAATTAAATAATAAAACCATTAAAATTAAATATAATAATATTTAAATAATTAACTTAATAACCTTTAAAATCGCTATACTTAAAATTAAGCTATAATATATAAATATTTATAATTATTAATTAAAATAAAAGGTTTAAAATAATAAAATTATAATAAAATATATATTATTAATATAAATAATAATAAATAAATTAATAAAAGCGCTACTTATTAAAAAATAAAATGGGTTTTTATATTAGCTTAAATTAAAAAGCATTAAAAATAACTTATATAAAGGAACTTTAATAAAAAATATAACAATTTAATAATAGCTAATAATAAAAGATAAGTAAGGGTTTAGCTTATTAATTCCTATTAATTTAAAGAAATATATTAAATTCAATTAATAATAAATATATTATAATTAAATAATCCCATAATGAATTTATTATAAATTTATTAAGGAATAATAATTTATTAATAATTTATCATAAATTTATAATAAATGCCTAAGGCATTAAAATTTATAAATAAAAACCAGGCCTTACTATTTATTAGCTTAAAAATAAAATAATAATTAAGCAATCATTATATTAACTATTAAAATTAATTATATTTACAAGGATTCCATTATAAGACATGTATAAAATTTAACATTAATAATTTAAAAGGGTATGGCATAATAAGTGCATATGATTTTTGGTATGAAGTGTTATGTATAGGTTATTAACGCTAAAATGGAACGTTTAATTGCATATGAGAGTACCATCCATTTGCATTAATTAGTCTCTGGATTGCATTTAAGACAACCCATTAAGATGAAAATTTAATTCGCTTTATGCTGCTATAACAGCCTCAACAGGACAAATTCACATGATATCAAGTCTCGCTTAAGGTGAACATTTGGTTAGAAAGTTAGATATGAGTACCACGGTACCACAGAGCAAGGAATACACTCGTTTGTCATAATGATAGTTTTATTCGACTTTTGGTGTAGTGCCAACGTGCAGAAGAGCGCAGATGTGCCGCGCTTGCAGCCAATCACGAGTCTTACCTCCCAACACGTATTTTGCATCAGACATAGGCTCAAAGACTATTCAACACATATCGCGTGACTCACCTTATTCGTTTTTATTCTTCTCTCTACTTTGTATCGCCCGGCCAGACAGACACTCCCGAAAACCTGAGTTACACATCGTTGACTGCTTTAACTCAGCATGGAGGACGTGACTGTGTCAGAACCGTTCGTGGACTCCAACCAAGATAGCCACACAGCTCTGATCACGATCGTTTCCGTCACATCTTGTCTTCTCATGATCATAGCCATTATTGCGAAAATCTTCATTTGCCAAAGCGCCGGTACAGCCGTCCACAACTTCGACATTGTGCTCTTTGTTGCAGCATTCTTGATGGTTGCCCAAACTGTATGCGTTGTCTTCGCCTCGAAACTTGGCCTAGGAAGATACCGGTCTGAGATATCAGATGAAGGGGACAATATTCGCAAGGTGATTCATCTGCGACTACCATGCCATTACAAGCTAACATTTTATTCCTCCAGCTCCAATACGCAGCTTCCATTTTGTCAGTCGTGTCCGTCACAGCCACGAGGTCTCGCTGTCCTTGCTTATCCGATTGATCCATAATTATGGCCGAGTACGACTTGCAAATCAGATCTCGATGGGAATCATAATGCTGTGTTTCATATCTCAGCTGTTCTCGACTTTCTTTCAATGCCCGCTTCCTCAGCCTTGGGGCGCGGTATTTTCCTCCAACTGCCTAGCCATCGGACCTATATACATCTACAACGCAGCTGTCAACATCATGACGGATCTGCAAATATACGTACTGGCTGTCGCCATGGTTTGGAACATCCAGTCCAATCTCAAAGCAAAATGTATTGTTATTGCGTTGTTTTCCTTCCGGGTACTGTAGGTCACTCTCAGGTTTTCCTTTCACCAGGATTTCACGACTATGACCCATGGTATTTTGGACTGATGCTTGACCGCGTCCTGGTTCAGTTGTCCCATAGCCTTGGCACCGACATTTCTCAGTCAAGACTACCTGAAACCAAGCAACGACTTCACCTGGTTAGCTGTGGAGCCTACGATCTGGATGCAAGTATCCTTCAATCTCTCTGTCATTACAGCATGCATCCCAACAATGAAGAACATATTTGACAGCTTGTCCGGAAACTTCTCAGTCGCTATCGATGCACCGTACACCCTAACAACGATATCTGGGAAGAGTGGGCTTCAAACAACGGCTCTTAGCAAGGGAACAGCAGCGTCGGGATCCTATGCAATCGTGGATTCTGGCTTCCGTGACCTCACCGCAACAGCATCAAATCATGCGGACTGTTCATCGAATGGAGTGCGTCCAGGAGAAAAAGGGCGGAAAGAAGACAGAATAAATGAGAGCGTACAGAACTTGACGGATACAGTCGTCGTCACGGAGGAAGTCAGCGTCCATTTCGAACAATACGGGCAACCGTCACCGAGTGGTTCGCACAGTTCTTGGCAGAGTGTGGATCCTGTCACGAGGATGATACAATTTGATCTTTACATGACAGAGCTCTTGTATTAAGACACATCCATCTCGGTACAAAAGGGATCATCAGATTTGCTGGGTAGCGCCGGACGAGCGCAGAAACACCATCCTGTTACCTCATGGTCGATACACGTGATGCCGAGCCTTCTCGGGTTCCAGTATGGGGGCTTCATTGCTGTCAAGCTGCAAGTCGTATTGGTCGAAATTGGATCTGATCTCGCTCACACTTGTGTACTTTTGTAGACATTGATCGGCTAAATACGTGAGGCCAGCCCCCCATCTCCTGTCACTAAACATTCCGCTATACGACGGCAATTAGCGCAAAATGTCATCAAAACGGTACCACGATTTACACAAGCATTGTAGGGCTATGGGCAGTGCAGGTCCTCCTCCACATGGATAAGAACACTTGGGCAACTCGAGAGGGTGTCTGCTGGAGTCAGGGTCTCTACGACAGGGACATCAGCCGTTAGAGAGGCCAATTCCTATGACGATCAGGACTTCTATGTAGCTGGTCATCAAGTTTGATATAGTCTCATTCGTCAATTGAGGAAGCATGGGGATATATATATGCATGGTGGCTTGGGGGGAGTACTTGTAATAGGTTAGGAAACTAGAATGCTGTAAATGGGTACCCCATTCAGCACAACAATAGTTTAATACCTGAGTACAGATGAAACTTTGCAAATTCTTTTCACTGATTGGCTTGAATTGGCTCATGTTGAATCATCTAAAGTAGGAGAATTGAAATGGTCAGCAGAGCGAGAAGTGCAAGGTAAATGCTGTCAATGAAATCACATCAGCAAGGCTGCTCAAGTGAATCAAGGGATTGTTCTCAAATGGAAATTGATGGCGATACCTACCACTTGATAGAATCTTCTATGCCTTCGTCCGACCTACATCCGCCGAGGAATGTTGGGTTGCGCTAGAAATCATGTACATAATGAACTGCGTATGCAGCTTGCCGGAGCCAGCTATCCGATTTTCGATCAAACGAACGAAGGAACAAAACAGCCCTGATGTTTCTCAGCATGATCTGGATCAACTCTACACCTTCTCCCAACATTCTGTCACCGTGGATACATCAGCTGATCGCTGCGCAGGTTGAGCAGAATTGACGAGGCCTCCTCTGCAGCGCAACAGTATAAGGTTAGTCACTGACGCGCAGCTGTCACAGCACACACGCCTACAAAACCTCTGGCCGACAGCGAGTGCTCGACCAGGAGGTTTCCCATTTCCTGTCACATTTCAAACAACACACAAAGATGCACATCAACAGCAGAAACTTTGACCAATATGCTAATCGAGCAGTCCTCAAATCAGATTACCCCAGATACCCAACCGCAACGTTTTCGATATCGCTGGGGACGATGGCATTGGACATCAATCATCACTGGTCAGTACATTGGTCAGTTAGCCCTGATCCTCCGCCGGTGGTGACTGATCTTCAAAGCCCTGTCTGTTCTAAGAAGGGCAACAGACGATGCGTCAAGCTAGGACACCTCATCGAATGTGAGATACACAGAGGCAAATACCATAGCCGGATCCACCAGTGTGTCTCGTGCGCCGAAGCTTGCGCCCGCGAGGAGAAGGCCGCCAAGAAAGACCACGGCTCCTGCAGCCCCAAGGACAAGAGCAAACAGCAGCAGAAAAGTAGGAAAAGTGGCAAGGTCAAAGGTGTCCACGAGAAGACTATGAAGCAGCTCAGGAGGGAGATGCGAGATCAAAAGAGGGAATCACCCGGTGACTAGGATGGAGGAGCACACGCATAAGACCAAGCCAGCAATGGCGGCCATAACGAGACAGACGCCTTCGAGACGAGCAAATTATTGACCGGACAGACGACACGACTTAATAAAATAGAGGAAAAAATCTCTCGCGCCCAGAGAAATGCATTGTTGCATTGAAGTGGAGGCCGAGGGCTACAAATCCAACCTAGGTGAAACTACAAGGCTGAAATCGGGACATGGCCGAGCCACCGTTGTCCAACTTGTTCCACATGCTTCAGTGATCATGCCGCAAGACAAATTCCCATGCGTTCCGACTGTCGCCTCTGCGGCCGAAAAGCGGGCTTGAAACCGAGAACTGGGCGTTTCGGTCATGTTCTAGCCCACCAGGGGCGCAGGCGGCCGTGTTTTTGGCCGCTCGTTCCTCGGCTGAACATCCGATAGATTGAGGGCTCAGCTGCACGATCTCAGCTGCATTCAAGAGCCATTGGCTGAGATTTAACGGTTCTGGCCGGCCCAGCCATCGAACTGTAATGATGCGGTAAAGTTGTTGTGCCATGTCGGCCAAGTGCCAGCCATACTAACCCAGGCACGACCTCGCTCCACTTTCCCGCCCCGAAGATGACCTGCCCTCAACACCACTGCGTGGCCAATGGTTGTACGGTTCCTGAATGCTCTGGCGCTAGGGTGGCCATTGTTGGCCTCACGTTTTCATGCATCGTTTCAGACCAGGGCTTTCACCGGCTCCGACGGCGTTGACTATGAACGTTTGGGTGTACGAGAAGAATTGTCGAAAAGTGTATGCATGTGTTTCCACAACTATAATAGAGGCGCCGATCCCACCCTTTTCCAACCTCTCATTAGTTCTTCACCACCACCGACATTCATTAATCAGTCGCTCGCTTCCTGGTCGAACCTGTTTGAGTCCTTCGCTATGTGTTTTCACGCCAACTATAGTCAATCATTTGGCCATGGCTGATCTGCCACCACTCCACGAATCGACATGTTTCCTTCCCTGCCGTTCATTTACTCTCGGGAGCCTCAACTTACACTCTCTACCGCTCATCTGAGCAGTCGAACATCTCAACCCCACTCGTCCTTATATAATTGCAACATCTTCGACACATCTTCGCGCCTCTCATTTACAGCCACACTCATTCAATACTACCCTGCCGACAGCACCATCACCAACTATTTTCGGTCATTTCCCACACCTTCTAAGTGTGTCGTCCGTATATAAAGATCCCAGAAACACCCTCCTTTGCATCACTCCGGCGTATGATGATTTCGAAAATCTAGCGGCGTTCTCATAGAGACATCTGGTTTCATTGTCACATATCTACGTGAGTAAAATCAAGACGAAACTACCACCCAGTAACAAGAGATTGAGTACTAACTGTACCTAGGACTTTCATTATTCACTTATAGACACATTCGCTCAATTTCTACTCACTCTCAACACTCATTCAACCTATCTTATACGAATAACGACTCTGCATGTCGGTGGCCCTTCACAATTTGTACCATGTGAGTCAATCTGCAGGTCTTTGACCTACGGGCCCGAGCTTCGCTAACTTATATTCTGCTAGAATGGCTTAATGGCTTGATGTCCCAACATTTCGCATCTACTTTTCAGCATACCTGGATCCAGGCTATCATTAATTCCTCGCATTCATACTTCACGGCTCTTATGTTTATGATTCATCGACCTCACGACGCTCCTTCTTGATGACAGCATTACTATGAGCATGCATTTTCTGGTTGTTTCTTTCATAATAGGGGTCCACGGTGGGACACCTTGCGCTCCTTATGTACTTTGCATTGGTTTCAGATTGCTCTGAACCGTAAATAACACACTCGCTTTGTATATAGTCACTCTTTACACACACCTATAGGCACATACTTCCTCTTCAGGATCCCAATCAAATTGCATTTATACTTTACACAGATTTTCCTCCCGACCCGGAACTCTGTGCGTCAGTTGGCGAATGCATTTCCTGTAGCGTGCCGAGTTCTATTCCAGGACCAGTATCGAGTGCCATCCAGCGACATTTACAATGCTAGGCACCCGTTTGGAAGTTGGTGGATTACTGGCAGTCTAAATGACAAGCTTGCGGGCAAAGTTTAACATCTATTGCCTCTCAGCACATGATGATCCTGCACGTTGTGTTATTTGAACACCCGCCTAGTCAAGGCCGACTTTCCTCAGCCCAAAGGCCCGATGAAGGCAGCCTTCTTGGCGGCGGGAATTATGAGATTGATATGTTGAAGAGTCACTCTGTGCATGTGGGCGATTCAGCTAAACATCTCGTTCTCTCAGCCAATACTTCCGCTCTCGAGATGATAGTGTAGATGATGAATCTTGAAGCTGAGAGAAGACGATCCTCCACGCACTGAAATTATCCAGACACAACAGACCACTTCTCAGCCGTGAATAGAAGCTGCCCATCGTCTGCTAACTTGGCTGGATTTATGTATGCCCTGGCATCAACAATTCCACTGTCAACGTGGAAAACTCGCATTACAATATAAACCATGGACATGCTTTCCTTGTGGTGGCAAAACTGCAACAGCAAATCAGTAAATGCGATGATTTGGGAGCAGAACCGTGGAGAGGATGAGATGCTGATTTGAAGAGAGGATTGTGCAGATGGAAAGGCATACCCGTTCATACTGTCCCTTGCTCACAGAAAATGGCGTATCACACGGCCCTGTCGTGGCTTTCACCTTGAGGAAGTACATCGGCCTCTCATGTCTCCACACCTCCCCATCTAGGTGACCGGTATCGATCAGCAGCCGGGTGAACTCTCCTTTGACATCGACATATGTAATATCCGAGCTCTCTCTTCCTGACCACTCCTTGGTGTCGGCGTAGTCTGGATGGGCAGCGGCGTAGTGGCGTATGGTGCTTCGCCACTGGCGCATCGAGAAATTGGGAAGCCCGAGGCTTTTAAGCAATTCGAAGACCTACAGACACGATACCATGTTAATACAAATCGACCTGCGCCTCGGAACGAAGACTCTGTTACTGGGATGGGATAGGTAGTGACAACTCACATAGAGCTCCCCCGCCGCCGCTATCTTCTTGTCCCTCTCAAGCTTCGAGGTCGTGTGGAAGAGGTGCGATTCATGGAAGGCGTCATAGCTGTCTGCGGCACCATAGAAGACTGGGAGAGCAGAGGACATACGGGACATGTCGAATGAGCTCTTGGCAGGAAACCGTGACCTCCGTGCGGCTGAGACGACACGGCTGAGAAGGTCTGCATATTGGAGCCGTTCTGCTTCCCCAGTCTCAGAGGCTTTCAGGCTCCTGCATGCGACAGGGCTGGTTGGGGTTTGATGCAGGGGTGGCTTTGTGTTCCTATCACTAGAGGCTTGTGGGCTGTTTGACACCTGAGATTTAATGATGCTTCATTTCCCTGAGGGTTCATAATGGCTCACCTGACTTCAACTCCGTCGAACCAAGAATTTCTGGAGAGTGCCTTTTTGTGGTTAGGACTGTATTCCGAGCGAGACGGAGCAGTCCGCTGGACCGATGGCGTTGTTGGCAAATCCGATGACCAATTGTCGTCAGATTCTTCTTCGTCCGAGTCGTAATTAGACTCCACCTCCTGATCTAGTTCCTCAATATCACCGGTCACAATTCCGTCCTCGTCCAGGATCTGCGCAAGGACTGATCTCCTCGAGTTGATAATCTTATGCACGGTAAGCAAGCCCCTGGAGTCGAGCGTCTCTGACATATGTGTAAGAGGGTCAGTCATCAGCCACTGAAACAGACGTTCGTTGAGTTTCGAAGAGTAGCAAAAGCCCTGTTTCTTCTGATTTCTTGACACAAAGATTTCCAGTTGGGACCCAGACTCCCGAATATGAAGGTCGCTGCGCTCGGTTACATAGCAGTGGTCTTCGCCGTCTTGTGAAAGGTGCAGCTCGGAGGTGATCCCTTCTGTCGTGTAGACCTGTGCATTGCGCAGCATGTTGTAAAGGGCATGACCATCCGGTTTGAGTCTTGGGCTGTTAAGATGGAATGCGACTCTGCCATGTTCGAATTCAAGGTCAACTACTGAATGAATGACTGGAATCTGATATGAGAGTTTGGTAGTTATGTCAACTGTGGGAACATACCGGTAAAGTGCATGAGCCTTAGGTCCAATCTGTCGTTGACGACACTGCAGGGGCTGTTTGTCGCCTTCGTCTACAGCCGTAACCTCTCTGACCACTTCTGACAGTCGCTTCCTGTCTTGCCTGAGCAACTTGATGAATGGATCAAGCCGACGAACCTCCTCAACAGAGAAGTCCAGTGTTCTGACCTGAGGCGCAAAGATCTCTCCGAGATGAGCTCTGTCAATGATGACAAAATCGGTTTTGGCAGAAGCCAGGCTGACAGTCTGATCCGGCTTTCGGATCGGGAGAATATTGGCCTCGATCAACATGGTTGCGTCGGGGTAGTCCGCAAAGTCCATGTCCACAAGGATCGAATTGAGACTCGTGATCCGATCTCTGACATCGACGGCAGAGGCATCAGAAGATGAACCTAGGCGGATCAATTCGTCGTGGACTAGCTCCACCTTGGCGGTTTCAACTCCGAGCACATCGATAAAAAAGCTTTCGAGGCGTTCGTAGTGCTCGTTCAGAATGACCTTCCCCCTAACTTTTGCACTTCTTGACCAGAGACATCCCCGGACGTGATGCCACTTCTGATCGGCACCGCGTCGAAGTGGCGTATAGATGAGTTCTTCATTTTCAAACACGTTTCTATAGTAAGAGTTCGTCAGAATCCTATGCGTGTGATAGTATTCAGAATCTTGTGAAGTATTGCCTTACCTGAGTGCTTCGAGCTCACGAGTTTTCAAGCTCCGTGCCAAGGTCATCAGATATTCATAAAGTTGAGTGGTCTTTTCCAAGTCCGGATATCCTTGGTTCTTCAGATTCTGGAGCTCTTTAATCAAGTCACCCCATTCGCAATCTCGGACGCTGAGCAAATCGCAGAACAATCTTTCAACATTGTGCCTTCCGACATCCACGTCAGTGTAGAGTTGGTTGTACTTTGGCCGAAGGATGTGACGAGTAGTCATACATGGCAATCCTCGCCACAAACAGTGTTCTACTGAGGTCCATGAAGCTGGGCACTCGCCATAGGCAGGCACATAAATCGCGGCTCTCTGTCGAAAGAACTCCCTGTGAAAGGTCAGCAATAGGGAGAAGCCCCATGGAGAATTGATGAAAGGCTCGACTCCGAACTTACTTGATTTGCTGAGCCTGAATTCCTCGGGTGATGTTGGATTGGGCGAACTTTGTGTAAATTATACTGTACAAATCGACCACTCGAGCACCGGTATGGCCATTCGGCGCTGACACGCACAACTGGCCTAGAATAGCTAAGTAGAAGCCGAGATTGGCCTCAATGCTGACGCCAGCTAAGTTGATGAGGAAGTCCCAATTCAATACTTGAGTTGCGTCTTGCGAAATATCATCTTCGAGCTTGACAAAAGGGAATGCATGATTGTCTGTGAGAAATCTGATGCATTCCTCGCGCAGGTCACGCAGTGGAAGATAAGTCTTCGAAAGAGGCGTCATGTGACCATCACCGCAGAGTACGTCGATATTCTTCAACTTCGTTTGCAAAATGGGGTACGTGCTAAAGAGAAGTCCTTCAGCGAGTAGATTGAAGCGGAGTAAGCCGAGAAACTTGTCCGGACGATGCCTTGCAACGTAGTAGCACTCTGGGGAGAGGTCATTTGGTGACGTCTTCGTTAGTCTAAGCGTGCGACGCACGCTCGCGCGAGTTTCCAACCAATCCGACCATGTTTTCGAATCAAAGCTAGGCTTTTCCGGAGGATCGTTTGTGAAGGAATCATGCAAGAATCTGACGTCCATCCCAGGAGCCCCGGCGCCTGGCTCCTCCCCAGCGTTTGTGGCTCTAAGCAGCTTACTTGGCCCGTAGAGGCTTGAATCGGAAAGATACAGTGGCTCGCTGCTTGACGGACTCCACCACTTCTTGCATCGATCTTTCAAGGCGAGCTGAGGTCTCTTCCACGCATTCTGTGGGTCTGTATGGTCTGTGAGGTATAGAAATCTCAACTGGTCGACGACTGTGCAAACCGGTGTTGATGTAGTAAAGGTCAGGTAGGTTTGATGTCGATCATAAATCCTCTCTCTCACTTCGCTCGTATTGGCATAAGTCACACCAAGTAGTTTGAAGAATGCCACACGCGCTGGGTTTCTGGAGGCCTTCGACGTGACGATGTGTAGACCTAAATCGTTTGGAATCGGAATCCCCGTCTCTATCTCGGCAAAGCATATTTTCTGGGACCCTGAGCCGGTCTGTCGAGAAATCCAGTACGTGGGATCGCCTCTACACGGAATTAGCTTCAAAGTGCGCAGGGTTGACAAAGCACTTCCTCGGCTTGTGGCCAGCCGCAAGAGTCGAGTCGCAGCCCTCGTTTGCCAGTCGTCATCGGTCTGCTCAGATTTCATTCGGGAGTCCCGTAGGTCCAAGTCTTCCTGAACCATGGTCAGAGCCTCTTGTACGCTGATTCTGTGCATACCCCAGCCTCTGAGGATTCAGACATCTTCCCTGTGATACAGTCGGGATAACCACTTCTTCGGGGTGACGTCTCTGAACAACGGCTCCCCCTTGGAATCACAGAGACAAGGATCAAGTTCTCGAAGGTCGCTGATCTTACGCAGGCTGTCTTCGCTCTGTGGCAATAGGATTGAGGCGTTGTGCAACTTGCTTTCGATCAGATTGACCAGGATCGACCAGAAGTTGTCGTATGGGTATTGCGTCTTGTTGGGTAGAAACCTCATCCAGGTGTATCGAAGGGCAGGATGCTCGCAGAACTCCAAAACCGAATGAATGAACGCATCACTAATGTGTTCAATAATGCCTTGGTTACGCGGCGATGTTGCCACTATGTCCTGTCGGTTGGCCTGAGTGACGAAGTCACTTTGAATTAGGAACTAGGGCCAGCGTTAATGTACAGTCCCCAAAAGGTACCTTATTGGTCTTACTGAGAATCCCATGTGCCGCATAGGTAGAAATGCGAAGACATCTTGGGGCTTGATAACAGGTACCGAGGCATCTGAAATGGGGAAGGCCAAAATAATTTCGGCTCCGGCGTAGGCCCTTTTGTGACCTTCTTCCTCTGAGTACGTACGGTCGTCATGCTTGGGCAAACTTTTCACAGAATGCTTGGTGACGTGATAGATCTGGGAAGTGCGTGCGACCTCTGCCCCATTGGTGACCGACTTGGTCAGTTTGATGCGCCTGGCGTCTGTCTTCGAGGCCGAGAACACGGTTGAGCTTTGGACTCTGCCGTTGTTATCAAGGAATGAAATGCGTATTTCCCTAAGATTCCGCATAAACAAGAGCACATTCTCCTGTAAGTCGTTGAACTGCTGTCGTATTGCCTGGCGTTGCAACAGCAAGTCAGTCGGATCCCCCGTGTCACTGGCATGGAGGTGTAGTGTCATTCTGGTTCTGTTTGGGGGCAGATCGTCCACATGATCCTGCCAGAAGGGATAAATCATTCCAAGGCCTGGCTCTCCTTTTCGGTGCTTGAAGTAGAAGGAAAAGTCTCCGGATTGAATGTGAACTCTCCAAGCCGCCATGAACACAGACTTAAATCCAATGCCTTTGGCCCCAATGTAGCCTCGAGCGCCAACCTTGGAGCTCCTCCCAACATCGCAGATCGCCCGCACATTCTCTTCTTTGAAGCCGTCTTCGTTGTACTCAATGATAATGCGGTCGTTATAGACCTGGAATGAAACATAGGGCGCGTGGCCTTGCTCCTGAGCTCGTGTATAGCGGTTGTCCTCGGCGTTTTGAAGCAGTTCAAAGACGAAACGAGCATTGCTAGTATAGAGATTCTTGGCCAGACTGTCCAGGAGATTAATTGAAATGGTATCAGAATGGTGCCCAGCGCAGTTGAGATGTGGCACTGAATTCGGAACATGGAAACTCACGTCATGACGGAATGCGAAAGCATCTTATCTTTTCTGACAAAAGTAGACTGTCGTCTTGACCTAAGGCCGTGATCGTATGCTCCCAGCTGTTCCCAGGTATCGTTGTCTATATTTCCAAGGTCTTCGCATATTGATTCGACTAACTTCTTCGCCTCCGCGCGGGCAGCGCCATGCCGGTAATTGACTGGTGCGTTATTTACAGACATTTGAAACGGTCTGTCCGCGAGAAACTCTGGTGTTGATACTTGGATAAGGCCCTAGGGTTTGTATTATAGATGATAATGGGAGACCCCGAGGCAAGATCAAAGTGACCAAGAGGAGCAAGGAACAATGTTTGAAGAATTGGAGGATGGGGAAGCCCAGTCTGATCCTTTTTAAGCTTTTCTTCCCATTTCACTTCTCACATTTTCCCACTTCTTTGGCCTTCAATGTTGATACACTTGCCCCTCAGGAGACCCGCCTGTAGCTGCGAATGGGGTGTGGCTGGGAACGAAGCCAGCCATTTTGCGGACAGATTGGGAGCCAAATGCAACACTCCAGTCCCATTTATCGCTCAGCTCCCCGGGCAAACATCAACCAACACGTACATATGTACCCACCCATCCTGCCGTTCATAGTATGTCCATCCGGCCACTGTCTCCAAGATGTTACAATTAAAATACAAAAATAACAAAGTGCACAATAACAAGTTGCGCAATAAACATGCTGTAGTTGCGAGAAACAGCGCTGTGCAAAAAAATGTTTTCAAATACACAATTAGGCAGACTTACCAAATCCAAATGGATCCAATGTCACTCAACCAAAACATACTAGTAATGGCAATCCGAATCCCACGCCAAGCCAGGTAAACATCATCCCGAACAGGCGCTCATCTCAGGCCGCTGAACATAGACCAGAACAGAATTGATCAAAATAGCATGGACCACATCGAGCGCGACGCGACCCCTCTACAGCCAGAACGTCGAACATCAAAGATCAAATCTAGAACATGGTATCATTCGGCTTCTCGTGGACTTCACGTCCTCCACGGTCCCGGCGCCGCTCCCGCCGTATTTCTAGCCTCGTCGGAGTTGCTCTTCAAAAGGTCTACTGTAAAACGAGAAGCTGCGCGCATTCGCACAAAATATCAACGTAATAGGTGGCCGTGCAGATGTTAACCATCCAGTGTGCTTGGCGTAGCCAAGCCCAACAAGAAAGGAGCAATGCAAAGACTTTCAGAAATTTTGGTGGCGCAGTCCTGAGTAAATCACAACCTTGGAAGGAAATTTATTCTCAGTAAATGACACAAGAAGCGTCAAGGTAATTCGAGATTCGGAAGAATTGCGCTTGTGGTACACAAGATCGATAAATAGTAGTCTGGGCGATTGAGTGCGTCGATCACAGTGTCGGGCCTGGTGCACGGGAAACTGAGCACTGTCGTTGACGATTATCATCCAAGCCAATGACGACTCTCTCCGAGCAATATGACATCTGGATTCTATGAGAGTGTAGGAGACTGCTTTCATAATCTCACTCATGACACGCCAAGGCGGCAGTTTGAAACTCAACTCAATCGAAGGGACTTGCGATCTAGATGCGCGAGCAGCGTACAATTAGCGACTCTACTCGCCTGAATTTGCCCCTGTTTTGTAGCTGACGTAGACCGCTTCAGAATTTATTTGCGCTGGGAGTGATACCGTTGGTCCTGAACCTAGGGAGTTTTCTAACTCAAGCTCAGCTTGAGTCAGCCTGCTACTCCTGGGAGATCGCTTTCCCTAAGGAGATTTATGGGTTTCGAACGCTGTGGCCCAGCATTTCACGTTGATGGCCCCGAGCCAGACACTCATGCGTAAAGGTGTCTTGGAATGTGCCATCCTGAGCAGATGGTGTCCACAGCTTTATTCCTCCCTAATATGAGATAGAAGTAGACGGCCGAAACCATTGTCAAACGCAGCATGTATAGAGTAAGCACGGGACGTCCTTGAACTTAGCTGCTGTGTCCCTATCCTCTCACTTACTTATAATCATATTGTACAAGCCGCTCCACTCATCTCAGGAAAGGTATAATCGAGTTCAAAGCTCCGTCTTTAAGCAAATTTAGAAAAATGCAGTTCCTCAACCTCTTCGCTCTTTTCATGATCACTGCCGGTGTCAGCGCCAAGTGCATCGACCGCGGTGAGACGCTGTGCGCCGGCGACTTCTCATTCAGATGTGCTATTGGTGGAGACCCCAACCAGGACCGCTGCTGTGACACTCTGGAGTGTGTTTGCGAGTCCGAAAACTGCATCGACGCCTAAATGTAAGTATCCAAACCTCACCTCGTGCGCCCCTTCGCACAATTTGCACTGACGCAAGATTGGCTCCAGAAATGGTGGGGAGTTCCCAGGACAGAATTGATGACCCAGGACAGGATTGATGAACCAATACCATGAAAAAAATGTCCGAAGCGAGCTGGGAATACAGACTCTTCTTGAATATACACAGTAATTGTTGTCTTTGGCACTTGGTCTGTCCCCACTACTTGAACCGAAATTGCGTGTGCATCAAGTCCATGCTAGTGTCCCTAGCGAGATTACAAACTATCTTCCCCCGCAAGACCTGTGACAGCCACTACACTCGACCGGCTTTAATTTTGTTAGTTCGACATGAAGTGGATGTGGGTGGAGAAGTAGAGAACATCAACTTGCACTCAAATTCTGTGGAAGAAGAAGTCCTATTATTTTGTCTCCATAAATATCCGAAGAAAAGAGGGTATTTCAGAGGGTTAGGCAGGCAGGCGATCCAATCCAACCTGATAGCGAGGGGGAGTGGATGCTCATGCTGAACTAACAAAATTATAGCCTGTAGGTTCCCAGACGGTTGTCTAGATGTCGGTAAATTTTTCTTCCAGTACTCCCAAGTAGACTAAACTGCTTTATGTTCCGTGGGCTCATGGCGAAGGGCGGTTGTCCCCCATGCGGTGTGACGAAGCCAGGCCTTCCCACTGCGATACCGAAGTACCCTTTGTATCGGTTCAGGGCTCCATGGTCTCCTCTATTTAACTTCGTACAAAAGTAGTTCTTCCTCTCGTCCCCCAGACCCTTCGGCAGACTAGGGGTCTTTAATGAGTCCTCGAAGTCACGAAGACATATCCTATACAACATCTGCTTGAGCGCACACTAGGTACTAGGCGTTGGAGCTGACCGTGATCGTTCCCAAGGCTCGAAATCTCAGAATGATATCCGATCTGTTGGCATACGTTGCACTGAATGCGTGGCCGTTGCCATCCACTCACACCTTTTACCATTCCATGAGTTGAAGATTCGCCATCTGATGTTGCCTCAGGATGAGCACAAGTCTGTTGCTCACTGTCCAATTGATTGGTGGACACGGAAGGCCCGCCCCCTGGAGGGTGCATGAAGTCCTGGTCCAAGGTTGGCGAGCAACGACGATATCAACTCGCACTCTGTGCTGCCGAATTCCGACACTACCGTTTTCGTATATTTGTCCCTCCGTCAGTCCAGAAGAAGAGCATAACAGATCACATTCTTGGTCACAATTGGTGGAGCTGGGCACGGTCAACTTCCTCCTGCCAAGACTGTCCCCGTCAACCGAGACTGAATAGATTAACTTGCTGCGGCCATTGGTGGAGAAACCCTGCTGGGCCCATAATCAGCTTCTGCCCTTACACAGTAAACCGTCCTTTCATTTACAGCTTGCGACGAGATATATGGCAGCGTCCGACAGACTCATTATTTGCCATGGTTGAGCAAATCGTCTCAGGCTCTCCGTTTTCACAGAACAGCATTCACCATGTTCGAAACCACGGTCGCTCTGCTATTGCTGCTCCCTTGCATCTCGGGACACGGCGTCCTTCAGAAGCCAGTTCCTCGTGGGGTATGTTGTGATAAAGACACCAGAAATCAGTCCCTGGCCAAACCTAACTCTACTCGCATGACTAGTCCGGTGACGCTACGGTGGCACTCTGTGGCGAGGCTGTTACGAAGAAACTCGATGATGGTATGTACATCCGATAGAAAAACCCAAGCCACCCTTTCGTTTCTTCAATCACTTCACAAGTCGTAGTCAAAGCATCATACTAACCTGGTCACGCATTCAGACCCCGCCGGCCCGATCGAGAATTCTGTCAAGGTAGCGGACGCCAATTCCAAGTGCAACCTGTATCAGTGCCGCGGTTACCAATACGAAGACAACACCGACAAAGTCCAGGTGTACGCAGCTGGTGATGTGGTGACGTTCCATGTCGACCTTGTGGCAGCTCATAAACCTGGTTGGGCGGTAAGACTAGAATATCCTTGAATCGGACTTTGCATCCTACGATGTCTCAGGGCCCATCGCATTTCCCAGGCTGACGAAGTGGGCAGAATGTCTCTGTAATCGACCTTGCTCAGAATAAAGCCATCGGTAAGCCCGTCAAGGCGTGGGATGTGTGGCCAGACAATGTTCCTGGTGGAGGAGATGATGGTAAGTCCAATCAACAATAACATCACGACCTTGTCGAACCCCAGACCGAAGCAATAATTACTCACAAGAGCTTCTAGTGGACTTCAACATTACGATCCCAGACAGCCTTGGCTCTGCATGCAACGCTGGTGGAAAATGTGCCTTGCAGTGGTTCTGGTGGTCGAACAGCAATTCTCAGACATACGAGAGTTGTGTTGATTTCTATGTGAAGTAGCTTTGGCAATGCGACAGCCTTGTATATAGGATCTCTATCAACGAGCGACGTGCTTGCGTCCTTGGCGTCGATCTTCTTCTTTCCTCTGGACAGAACAACATTTTCCTTGCCGCCCTGAAAGTCCATGTTGGACCTTAGTGCGTTTGTAGCTACAGGCAGCCTGACAGTGGTCAATGTGCATGGTCGATCAGCTTGTGTGGCAGCTGTACTTCCCCGCCCCCCAACAACCGATTTCCGGAACTTCGGACACGGTCACCCTCGCCCAGTCCCTTCTTGTGGTGCTGGGAACTTCACATGAACACATATATACGCCTACAAAGTAAACCATCTCTGCATGAATAGATTTCTCTCGTTTTTTATCTACAGTGGTCGAACAGTCCAGAGCATTTACTTTGTTCCTCCCCTCTTGAAATCGGTACTAGATAGTCGCCGCGCTCCCGATCATTCTCACCTGGCCACAGAGATTTGAAGACTACAGCTCTACCATTCTGCCAGAAATAACACGAGAGAATGACTACCGAACGCTCTCAGCTGACATCAAGGGTGATTCCCTCCATCGTTCTCGGCGACGGGGCCCCAGGGACCCTGTCGGCGCCGCCCCCGCCCCTTGCACACAAGGACGCCCGTTCTAGGGCTCTGGAGCGATTCTCGGTCGCCGACAATGCTATTGTGACGGGAGCGACAGGCGATCTCGGGTTCACTGCCTGCCGCGCCCTCCTCGAGCACGGCGCCAGCGGGCTTGTGATGTTCGACCTCGACGAGACGGAGGGTGCGGTCAAGGTCAATCAGCTCAAGGATAGCTTCCCTGAAGCCAAGGTCGAGTTCATGAAGGTCAACGTCACGGACGCGGCGAGGGTCAACGAGGCTGTCCGGGAGACGGCCAAGAAGCTTGGGTCGGTGGATGTGCTGGTGTGTTTCGCTGGTGTTGTCAGCACCGTCCACGCGGTGGATATGACCCCAGAGCAATTCCGGGTCATCGTGGATATCAACCTCACGGGCTCTTTCCTGTGCGCCCAGGCGGCTTCCCGGGTGATGATCGAGCAGAAGAAGCGAGGGAGTATCATAATGACTGCCTCGATCTCCGGTCACCGGCCCAACTATCCCCAGCCGCAAGTCAGCTACAATGTCTCCAAGGCTGGGGTCCTAGCCTTGAAGGACTCTTTAGCTGCGGAGTGGGCGGTCCACGGTATCAGGGTGAACACAATTTCTCCGGGCTACATGAACACTATTCTCAATGAGGGATCGATGCTGGACTGGCACAAGACCCAATGGTTTCACAAGCACCCCATGGGACGCATGGGCGAGCCTGAAGAGCTCATGGGGGCGATTGTTATGCTGGCCAGCAGGTCTAGCACATACATAACTGGAGAAGATATCAGGATTGATGGGGGCCAGAATCTCATGATGTGAGCTCATATAGCCATGCATACCAAGTGGTGGAAATATTCGAGTAATTCTAGATTTATTGCAATACAACGTTGACGATTGCTATGCTATCAAATTAATAAACATGCTCTCGTAAAATACGTCCCATTCAGATCAGGCGCACTCCCTACTTTGCTTTCAGCCTGTCCTCCTTCAGGATATCAGCCGCTCTCTCAGCCACAGCATAGACGGTTGATTGAATGTTTCCCGAAGGCTCGAGTGGGAAAACACTGGCATCGACAATCCGCAGATTCTTGACACCATAGACCCTGAGTCGAGTGTCAACCACGCCACCAGCACTCTGAGGACGCATGGAAGCACTCCCACTGAGATGGAACACCGAGATCTGGCGACTCCTCACGACATCTCTCGCAGACTCCAGGTCGTGCACATGACTCTGAAGTCGCTTTCCGTTGGGCTTTAGGATGCTCGAAAATGGTTCGGTACCGATCAGCTTCTCCACGAATTGAACACCACTTGCAAGAAGCTCCATGTCGATTTTCTCGGAATTGTACCGCGGATCCCAGACAGGCTTGTCTTCCACATTGGGAGATGCGATGTGACATGTGCCGCGAGAAAAAGGGTGATTGAGAAACACCATCACGGTGATGTAGTTCTCGGGCTCAGTTGGCGTGATGTAATCCGAAACACTTTGAGGTTTTTCTGGAATAGCCACTTGCGTCGGGAATAGCAATAATTGATAGGTCGGTTCATTGGTCGTTTCCAGAATATTCCTGATCACTCCTCTGTCCAATTCAGAGCATTGGCTTGACGTGGCACTTGCCGTTTTTTCGGTGTTCATTTCGAAGAACTTGCTGCGAGCCTCCATAGTGAGAATGCCGGATGAATCAGCCACTATACATTACATGGTCAGTACAGAAAATCTGAACTTGTGGTCAAGATATGAAAGCATACTTGGTACATATGCCGAGCTGATGATGCTCTGCCCCAAGGGCCCATCTTGGCTGCTTTGGTACTGAGCCACAATCGCCTTGAGCAGGTCAGGGTCTCGGAGAATGTCTCCTGAAACCACACCATCTGCAACCTCGAAGCTTTCACAGACGATGGGATGATCCTGAAGGTTTCGCCCGACGTTTCCATTCTCAACAATGACTGGAACTTCTCGCTTCGTCAATATCTCTCTGTCTCCTATTCCGGACAATTCGAGAATCTGCGGAGTCTGAAGAGCACCAGCCGCCAGCACGACCTCCAAACTGGCACGAATGGTGCGCTTGACACCATTACTGAAGCGAATCTCCACTCCTGTAGCGACTGCCTGACTGGCGCCATCATCAGATTTGTTCAGGATGACCTGGCTGACTACAGTATCTATCAGTATCGAGAGGTTTGGACGGGCTCTGACCTCTTCGGTCAGGTATGCGGATGCCGATGAGGTTCTGGTCTTCGTGACGGGTTCGATGTTCGCGGCTTGCTGAAACGCGCCCACAGCGGACCCGTTCCTTGGGTCAGCAGCCATCTTCAGACCTAGCTCCTCAAAAGCATCCATCCACGCGGAATTGTTTGGCCCAAATCCCTCGCCGACTGAGATGGCTAATGGACCTGACTCTGAACTTGAGATGTCAGGGTCATAATGGCCTTCCATTCGACATGTGTCGCTCGTAACACGAGACGGCGGATGAGTCTTTGCGAACTTTCGGAAGTATGGGGCCAGAGTCTCGAAGTTCCAGCCCTCGTTTCCAATTGTCTCCCAGGCATCAATGATGGACTTGCCAGGATACACCATCATCAAGAAATTCAGAGCAGAGCAACCTCCTAGCATTCGGCCTCTAGCTTGACTGACGATGCGGTTGTTGAGAGTTGGCTATTTTGGGTTCAACAACTGTGAGATCGGGCTGTTACGCATGAAGCAAGGAGCAGTTGACCAACCTGTGGAACTGAGAGGAAATTCCAATCATATTCATCTTTGCCGTATAAAGCCCCCAACAGGCCTGGTGTCATGACAAAGGGGTCTTTGGTCTTGTCCCCGCCTGCCTCGATAACGAGCACAGAGACATCGGCATCTTCACTCAAGCGAGAAGCGACCACGAGGCCGGCAGTACCACCGCCGACAATGATGTAGTCGTACACATCATCATCCTCCGAGTGTCGTTCGGCCATCCTGCTCGTCGAAACAAGTAGTTTGGTCACAGAAGCCGGCGTCGAGCTGAGGAAGGGCGAGAAGAGATAACAAGCGAGAGGATTATCAAAAAAACCGAATCGGTCAGCAGTTATACCTGTGGGGTTTTGTGTGAGCTGAAAAGGCGCATGATCTCGGCCACCGAGCAGCCTTCTGCTCTAGCATGCATGTGTGGGTACAAAGATGCCAGCGGCTTAGATTCCACCTGTCAGCCCCGAGTGTGTGCCTGCGTAGATATGATAACTAAATTTCTGCATAATTTTGGAATACCAGATGCCTAAAGCAGTAAAGTGCGAGTCCACGGCACAAGGCTTGATCCGTAGATCGGTAGGCAAGGAGAAATGGCGCTCGTCGTTCCGCTCGACCCTGAATTGTGGAACATTTACCCTGTGCACCAGCGGGGACCTGTTGTGTTGTTCGAGACCTGAACCGAGAAATGCAGACGCCCAGAACAAATTCAGGCTGCCTAAGAGCACATCTGGTATAGGACATGCCATACAGCTGCATTGATGCGATTCCACACTTGTTGCCGAGAACAACTGTGGGAACCAGAAAATAGCTGCCCAAATCGTCTGGGATTTTTCATGCCTTCCAGTTAGTTGACGGGCGAAGCAATATATGTGGTTGCAATGAGGTGGCGTCAAATGTCTGCGTACAGTCAGATCACCGCGATGTGGAATCAAAGAATGGTGCTGTGAGGTAACGAAGCCGAGAAGTTATCACAATGGGCAATCAGGACTTGGGGGGTGCCACCTGAGTACGGAGATCTTTCACAAGACGTCTTTTCTGATACCCTCCTCACTTATCCCTGTGACTGGCTATAACCGCTTTTGCAATATCGCAGGTATTGTGTCAAGATGTTTTCAACCTTGAGAGTGCCATATTCTTAACGGCAAATGAGAAGAACAGAGCCAACCCACGCCATTATCTCCGAATTCACCACCGTTTCATTTGATTATAAACGTTACTTCAGTGGTGGTAGTCGACAAACTCTATGTATTCAGGGGCCATGATCAGTCAGAGTCGAGCAATAATTATGAAGCATGGTGGTAGGAAAAGTCCCATTGGGGTGGGCGATGGTGGGTTGAGACTCGAGTGCGAGGACACAGGATCCCTACCGTAGGCGTAGTGGTGTACCTAGGGAGGTATGATCCCGTCAATGGCCCGTGCTCCTACCGGCTCTGAGCGGGTCCGGGGACAGCACTGGAGCCTGGACAGGGGTGGGTTACACCTCACCTCACCCAGCTGCTAGCACATGCCAGCTGCCTTGAGCTTGTGACCACACTTTTCGAGTGGGTGGCAGCTTCTCCAACACAACCCGACCCTCCTACTGACTTGCTCAACTGGACAGTCAGGTCTCTCCCGTTGTTGCTCCACGTCGACTGTGATTTTCTGTGCTGTTTTCGTCTCCGCTTCTCTTTCAGGTCATCAAATGGGCTATTAATTCGCCATCAATGTGCCTGTAGAACTTGGCCAAGCGAGTCGCCCTCGACAGCTCGCAGAAGCGGAGGCAACAAGCCGACAGTAAATCGATGATTGCACCTCGCTGAGAACACAAAGCAGCATAATTATGGCGTCTAAATCTTCATTCCTCCCACGCCTTTCCCTCTCGCGCACCGACAACTCCTCCGTCCTGCCCTTTCACAACAGCACGTCTCGATATCCCGCCCTCCGAAATCAGCACAGCGAATACGACCTGGACGAGCTGTCACCACAAGCAGAACGAGATGGTCTCCTCCCCCACGCATTTGACGGGTCCGTCCCGGCTAGCATGTCCTCGAACCGCAAACCCACCGGGGCCTTGAATCGTCGGCCCTCCAATTCCTCCTCCGGCGGCTCGACCGATGCGAAAATCCGAAAGGAGAGGGGTCCCGGCAGGGTCATGTTTGCCGGCCCACCTCCTCCTATCGCCATGTCGAGGGTCTTGTACCGTGACGCCGAGGCACACTATGACGATGGCGAGGAGGAGGAGGTGCAGGCCGGCGCGGCTTCCTGGCTTCCTGGCAGCGCGCGAAAGGCCATCAGGAGCGTCATGTGGGATCGGTCAGCCGTCGATCCTCCGCGCCGTCCTGACGAGACACCGGTTGCCTACGATCGCAATTCCGTATGGCGTAGCCTACAGCGGCGTGAGCGTGCCATTGTGCAGGATGTGCAGCAATTCCTGCAGATCCAGGAGGACGTCCTGACACGTGTCCGGTCGGGCGATGACGGCGATGAGCATAGTAGTGGGAGTGCCACCCCCACAAGTGCGAGTGTCTCTTCGTCGCGGCGGCTTCAACGGTCAATAATCGAGCCTGTCACGCGTTCGGGGCCAGGCGGAGAGATCATCCCTGTGCGCCAGCCCCGGCGAAAGAAGGCCGGGATCAGTGATGCAAGAAAAGGGATCGCGGGAAGCATGGCGCAGCTGGCCAACTTGAAGGTTGAGGAAGACGCATCGATCCTGAGCGCCCTCTCCACGCGGAAACAAGCCATTGCAAAGTTGCGCAAGCTGTCCACAAAACACGACGACATCTCGGAGGAGCTGTCCGCCCTGGAGACAGACGAGGCAGAGCCACTTGCCAGGGAGCTCGAAGAGCTGGGCAGTGAACACAGGGGCGTGTGCTCCGAGATCGAGGAGCTGCAGAAGAGACTCACCGAACTAAGAACGAGACGGCGTTACTTGGAGCGCAGAATGGACGGTGTAAAGAACCGCCGAGAGGCCGGGTTGAGTGGCTATAAGAACGCGCTGAAGGAAGTTGAAGACACTACGAGTAGCTTCCTCGCGCGACCGCCAGTGAAGCCTCTGGATGTGGAGGCACTGGCTGACAGCACTAACACGGAAGAGCCGAGGTCGACGCCCGGAGGCGTCGAGTTTATGCATCTTCGTCCTGAGCGCCGGACAATCGACATGGCCCGCGAATGGTGGGAAAATGAGATCGGTATTTTGGAGAAGCGCAAGAAACAGGTAGACACCGAGCGAGCAGCCCTGGATGAGGGCGGCCGGGTCTGGGAAGAAGTCGTTGGGCTTGTCCTGGACTTTGAGGCAGGTCTCCGGAAGTTGATGACCGGAGTAATGGCATCATCAGTCCACTCCGGAAAGGGCAAAGACCGTGAGCTTCCGCCAAAGGAGACCATTCTGAAGCTACAGTATGAAAAGATCAACACTGTAGTGATAGGTTTGGAACAACGGCTGCGCATTGCAGAAGACAAGGGCTGGAATCTACTCATCGCAGCCATCGGTGCGGAGCTCGAGGCTTTCAAGCAGGCCCAGAAGATCAACAGGGATATGCTCAAGGAGTCGGGCATCCTGGTCGATGATCCGGCCCCGAGTGAGATGCCGAGGGAGAACTCCGGTATAACTGCGAGCACCAACAACTCCTTTCACACTGTCAACGGCGGCAGCGCCAACCTGAAGGATCTCCAGGAGCAGCTTCTGGATCTACCAAATAACCGTGAGGACGAAAAGACCGACGAAAGCGATAACGAGGTCCCCGCGGACTTGTTAGTCACGCAAGCGGACAGCCACGAAGGGGAACAAGACCAGGACGACGCGCGCAATGTAGACGGGGCGAATGAGGCTCCTTTGCTGGACCGCGAGAGCAGTGACAACGAGGTGCCGCCCGAGTTCCTCGTCGAGCACCATGATGGTAGGGAATGATCAGTACGATGACTTTACGATGTTCGTTATTCGGCTGGCAGAGGCGTTAGACGGCGTAGTTGGACTTGTCGGATATACCCACATCATTGTTTTGTTATGGATAGCACGTAGATTTAACATGCGGAGTTCAATTAAATGACAGTCAACACAGCAAGGAAAGCGGAGATGGTCTCCTGCCATAATATTTCCAAGTAGTGACTTTTCATCAGCTGTTGTGAAAGAAGACAAATACCAGACGCCAACCCTTGTAAGCCCCCAAGACCACCCGAAAATAGGTGTGGTCGTCGTTGCGCTGACTAGACGATCTCATCGAGCCAGTATGCATTATTCTCGTAGCTGCGCTGTTGTCGCCCCTGATATCTACCTGTTCCGCTCGAACCAGCCGCTCTGGCCGGCGGTCACAACAGCCCAGTCCATAGCCGTCTCGCCGACGGCCAGGTACCGGCTAACCCACTTCTGTGTCTCGTTGCTATCACCTGCAATCTTCTCGGACTTGAAACTAGGCCTAGGAATCCCCAGCATGGGGTGGGAGTTAGCCTTTGTGGTCGCCCTGTGTGTATTCCCCCATCCGGCTCGGCTGCTGCAGATGGGTGGCTCCTTTCTTCTTCGGAGTCGCGGTATAGGATATGATGGTCTTCACTCACGTCAAGCCGGTAGAGCGTCGGATTCCGGCGAGGATGGTCGAGACTGTGGGGAAGGCAGAGGGGTCAGCCGAAACTGTCGCGACGGCGGCGAGGTATATTGTTGCTTGAGAGTAAGACCTACTGAGGATGGCATCGACGCCATAGTGGACAAGTCTTCCCAGCTTCGACCACAACCCTAATGTCAGCAAATCGAGGAGCTGGAGAGATGTTGTTGTTTAGCACCCATGGCGCATGTGACGATGCATGGATGGCCGACCATTGGGCAGGGAGGGGGAGGGAAGATCCATCGATGGGGATTCTGGGGCGCGCGAGGGGAGGGGGGGAGACCCACAACCATCTTGACGTGGCTTCTGTCTTGACTCTTGTTCGCTCGAGGGGTTCGGGCACAGGGTGAGGCACAGGAGGAGCGAGCCTTGGGATGATACGCCTGAGGGGGATGGGACGCAGGGCGGGCGAGAGGGTGGCCTGTTCTGGCTTTGGCTCTGGTGTCGGTGTTTCTGCCGGAGTTATCGTTACTCAGGACAAGAGGTCTGGATGGATGCTCGTGTCAGGTCCGGATGGCTCTGTCCATATGCCGCCGTGTCGAGTCGTTGATGCCAAGGGCAGAAGCCAGGAGGCACGAGACCCTTGCAGAGGCAGGACTGCAAGCAGGAACCCCCGGCAGCTTCCGAAACCGCGGCAGAGCATCCGCGTGCACAGCTGGCGGCCAGACAGGCGGATCTGCGCAGGTACGGGAGTACATGCCGGCCCAGGCGGGGATTATATAATGACAGCTGGGTGTTGTACAAGCACACAGTACCGTAATCAGTACTTCTACATCCCAGCTTATCACCGGCAGGCGTGGGTTATCGAGGCCTGGTGATTGGCGAGGGGGAGCTTCGTCCCCTAGCCCCGATTATTTTGGGGAGGAGGGGTCGCGACCTGCAGCAGCTGGGTGCTGGGCAAGCAGTGGGATGTGGCATTTTTGGGGGGCGGGATTTTGGGGGGACATGAGTCTGACACCCGCTGGCATGGCATGTTGAGATGGAAGCCCGCTCCAGGCCCGTACCGGAAGCAACGTTGAGGGACTTTTTTTTTTTTCTCTGTGCATTTTTTCCAACAGCTCCCAGCTCCCAGCCGAGACAAGCCAAGCAATCGCAGGATTTCTAAACTCGGCCGCCCATCTGTTAATAATAACTCGCTCTCGCCTCTTCCCACTCGAGCTCTGAGACCCAGCTCCTCGACACTTCTCATTCCCAAACCTTACATTCGACAGCCGCGTGTTGAAGCCAGAAAAAGGTGAGCTGATTCTCCAGTTATTGCCGCTGCCCCTTGGACCTGGGACTGCCGGATCAGCCGTGGATGACGTTGGCCTGCGACTGTTGAGGCTCGCGGGCTGTGGGCTGTGCAGCAGGTCTGGACCCCGCCAAACGCCCCGACAGCCTGTGCTGCGTGGTGTGACGGTGGCAGCATTCCCGAGACAGCTTTTTTCCTCGCCGATATAGAGGCTGCCCATAACCCACCCAGTCCTCCCTGCCTTCTCATCTTCTGGGTCGCCATCTCCTTTTCTACCACTCGGACCCTTACCGAGCACAATAAATAAGTTACGGGACAAGGCTGACATTTAAGAGCCTTGCTGCACCAGACAAGAAACCATATCGGACCTCCGTTTCCCGCTCTCGACTCAGCTGTTGACCCAAGATACCAACCAATATCCCGCAACCCCGAACCAATCTCTGAAAAAAAAAAAAGTCAGCACCTCACCTACCAACTTACTTCTACTCCTGCCACCTCGCCCTTCTTTTGCACTTCCACCTAGAGATTCCTCGATCCTAACTCAAGTAATTCCATCAGCCCTACTCACAAGATGGCCACCGCTCTTGACCACCTCGCCCTTGGTGGCAGAATCGACTGGCTCGCCTCGCTCGACACTGCCTTCCAGCCCGCCCAGAACTACCGCCGAACATCCATTGTAAGACCCCACGATACAGGAAAGACTGCGCTGTGTGATGGTTTTCGAAACTAATCATCAATCCGCGCGATCAGATCTGCACGGTTGGTCCCAAGAGCAACTCCGTCGAGGTCCTGAACAAGCTCCGAAATGCGGGTCTTAACGTGGTCCGAATGTAAGCTTGCTCCAGCTCCAGCTCCAGCTCCAGCTACAGACCCAACTACCTCCGTGCTTCTGAATGCTAACGCGAGACTCACAGGAACTTCTCGCACGTATGTCTTCGACACTTGTCCATGTACCCAAGACACAAGTAGCTGACAACCTTGTAGGGCGAGTACGAGTACCACCAGTCTGTCATTGACAATGCTCGCGCTGCCGAGAAGTCCCAGCCCGGCCGTCAGGTCGCCATTGCCCTCGACACCAAGGGACCTGTATGTGAAGCTCCGCCAGGATCATAGGAAATCAAAGACTTACCATGTCGTGAATAGGAAATCCGAACCGGAAACACAACGGGAGATGCCGACCTTCCCATCTCGGCCGGCACCGAGATGAACTTCACAACCGACGACAAGTACAAGACGGCATGCGACACCGAGAACATGTATGTTGACTACAAGAACATCACCAAGGTCATCCAGAAGGGCCGTACCATCTATGTCGACGACGGTATCCTGGCATTCGAGGTGCTGGACATCGTTGACGACAAGACCCTCCGTGTCCGATGCAAGAACAACGGCTTCATCTCCTCAAGAAAGGGTGTCAACCTGCCCAACACCGACGTCGATCTTCCTGCCCTTTCCGAGAAGGACAAGAACGACCTGCGCTTCGGTGTCAAGAACAACGTCGACATGGTCTTCGCCTCGTTCATCAGACGGGGTGAGGACATCAAGTCCATCCGGGAGGTCCTCGGCGAGCAGGGCAAGCACATCCAGATCATCGCCAAGATCGAGAACCGACAAGGTCTGAACAACTTTGCCGAGATCCTCAAGGAGACTGATGGTGTCATGGTTGCCCGTGGTGACCTGGGTATCGAGATCCCCGCCGCCGAGGTGTTCGCCGCCCAGAAGAAGATGATCGCCATGTGCAACATCGCTGGCAAGCCCGTCATCTGCGCCACCCAGATGCTCGAGAGCATGATCAAGAACCCCCGGCCCACCCGTGCCGAGATCAGCGACGTCGGCAACGCCGTCACTGACGGTGCAGACTGCGTCATGCTGTCTGGTGAGACCGCCAAGGGCTCCTACCCATGCGAGGCCGTCTATGAGATGAGCGAAGGTATGTTGCCCCCACACCCCAATATCGAAACTTCGATGAAGGCGTTGGTGCTAATAGACTGTCACAGCTTGCCTCAAGGCCGAGAACACCATCCCATACGTCTCCCACTTCGAGGAGTTGTGCTCACAGATCAAGCGCCCCATCAGCGTCGTCGAGTCTTGCGCCATGTCTGCCGTGCGGGCATCGCTGGACCTGAACGCCGGTGGTATCATCGTCCTTTCCACCTCGGGCGAATCCGCTCGTCTGCTCTCCAAGTACCGCCCCGTGTGCCCCATCTTCATGGTGACCCGCAACGCCAGCGCCTCCCGGTATGCTCACCTGTACCGTGGCGTGTACCCATTCCACTTCCCCGAGGAAAAGCCCGACTTCTCCAAGGTTAACTGGCAGGAGGATGTCGACCGCCGTATCAAGTGGGCCGTGGCGAGGGCTAAGGAGCTCAACGTCCTGTCCAAGAACGACACCGTTGTCGTCGTTCAGGGATGGAAGGGCGGCATGGGTAACACCAACACCCTGCGGATCGTCAAGGCCGACACTGAGGACCTTGGCATCGGCAAGCTTGAGGGCTAATGGTCAACTGTTGTCCGGGATGGGTTTTCTATTGCAGTGGATGTTCTTGGGTGCAAAAAAAAAAACAGGAGCCGTCCGCGTTGCACAAAGAGCGTGCCGCACATGGTATGAGGCTGTATGCTTTTATGAGGGATACATCGGATAGACTTTGGCAGTATGAAATGGAATGAAAAAAAAAATAGAATTCATGACCACCTCTTGTCTCCAGTGATAGCACACTCAGCTGGTCGTCCCATGGGGTTTGTCAGCCGCATAGCATGTGAGATGATGTTTCTTGCACGTCCGTATGCATTGGAGCCGACTTGATGCGGAGAGCAAGAGGAGGTTTCCCGACCTAGGATTCACCCAAGGTTCAAAAGAGAGGTCCAAAGGATGCAGCCAAGGACTGAAAAGCACGATGAGGGTCTCCCGTCTCATATATTGCCGACCCGGGCGAGTGGGAGCGAGCTTTTGACCTCGGCACATCCCTCCGTTCCTGCCCGAGAAGTCTCCATCTTGGCTTTTGCGTGACTCCTGCCCTGCCTATCACTGCAATTTTTGGGCCGAATGCGTTAATGATTTTTCCATTCCTGTCTGAGCACTTTTCCCTGAAATAACATGGGAATTTGTGGTATTTCCCATGGCTGCTCGGTATCGGGTTTTCCGACTTTCTGTGGGTGGGTGGACCGTTGGTGAGAGACGCTTTGGGACCTTCCCCCCCCCCCCCCCCCCCCCAACCGGCACCAAAACCCTGCCAAACCACGCTACCCTCAATCAAACGGAGAATCTAGGGTCTAACCCTCAGGACTTTGCTCCACGGGGAAAACCATCAAGTTTGAAAGTCAACGTCGCACACTGGTATTTGGGTGCGTCCCTGACTCTGCATGTGCATGCATGCATCTCATGCGGGATAGAAGCTTAGATAAATCTTGGGGCTGGTGACGACAAGAGTTCTCATGCCCACGGCGACTGAGTTTGGGGTCCGTGATGGATCCATCATCCCCATCACTGATTATCTTCGGGGTGCCGCTCCTAGCCTACACTGCATGTGCCTGCTGACAGTCTGGACTTTTTTAGGTCAACATTTGAATACTGACCGCTGTATTTCTTCCCCAAGTAAGCCAGAGTGTACCAGATGTTGGCTCACAATGTGACGATTGCAAACGCTTCACACCTCGAATTGCCCCTAGCCGTGTGTTTTGGGCCGGTAGCAGTGTGGCCATCAGCTCGTTTCCCTCTAAAGATGGCTGGTGCAGTGTTGTCTATATACACCGTTTGCTCCGCTCAGACCGCCTGGTCTAGATACAAGCTAGGAAAGGTTTAGTGGCCAGCACTCTGAGTTATTTGGTCTTGTAATTACTGCGTAGTATCCTATGTCTTGCTCACCTTCGTGTTGCATGTGGCATTACTCCACTTATCTGTCATGTATTCCTTCTCACTCGGGCATTTGGGGACCCCTTCTCTTACCCAATTTTACTACCGTCTGATGACCTGGGCTTTACTTTCAACACAACATCAGATGCGCGCCCGCCTGGGCAGCTCCACGTTGTTGTCATGCTGATGCCGCCGGGCGTTGAAAGCACATACACAAGGAGCCTATCTGATTGGGACTTGCTCATTGTCACACCAATTCTCACTGTCACATCACTTGACAGATGACTCGAAGCCAGCAGAAAGCCACGCAAGGACGGAACTGTTGTAATTGGCCACGTGACAATGTAGATCCAAGCCCTCAGGAATGTTGTATCACGTCGGTCAGAGGATGATGTTACAGGTTCTTGCTTCTGCCATTTGATGGCAACTCACACACCCCGCCGTTAGTTGTGCGCGCACCCCGGACGTGATACCTATATAGGACTTATCTTATTCCTCCAACGACTCCTCATCTTTATAGCAGTCCGACTCCCGGCATCCCAGGGTCTTTCCGGGTTAGTGGCGTATGGGATCGACCTGACATTGGTTGTCATGAGGCAACGAAACCACCTGCATGGTGGGCCAGTCAAGAGCCTTTGACCGTGTCAGCTGGCCAAGACATGCTTACCTAGGCACGTCCGTTTCAGGCGGATGGACACACCTGCCCGCACACACACAAGTCCTGGACCCCAAAAGTGAGACAGCCACCCGGGGCCCGGAGATGACGGACGCCCCGACAAGTCCAGGTTCAAATGCCGGGCCGGAGGCCATAATTATGCAGCGAGTTATGCAGTGGCTGGAACGGGATTCGGCACTGATGCGCAACCACAACTAGTAGCTTGTGCAAGAACGAGTAGTTGTGCGCGAGGAAGGGTGGCAGGCGTAGAGCAAGGGGGCGGTTGCCCGGCAGCCGGAATGCACCAAAAACCGCCCGTAGCTACGTACCAGAATCAATGCCACGCAATACTTCCATTTATTTATCCACCACAACCATAACCATTATCTAAAACATTAACATCATTAGAATCAGAAACTTATTATGCACATCTTTTTGTAATTAGAGTTAAGCACATACTATTTGGTTGTTGAGTAATTCGGGTTGTAATGTGAAGAGTTTTGGTGAGGTTTGGGGTTACGGTCGGTTTTTTGTGCATTCCGGCTGCCCGGGTGGTGTGAGGCGGGGACGGGGTTCCGTATTCTCATTCCCTACTCAGTCTCAGGGCACCGACCATTTTCTGTCGCATTCCCATTTAGTTGATGCATTCTCCTGCCGAAGCTGGCGTTGAATCCCGTTCCGTTGTGGAATTGGCACATAGGCTGATTTCTCGCCCAAAGTTGACGCGACACCTCTTCGATCGCGGTCAAACCTCAGGTCGCCGATGAGCTTTCTACAGTCAGATTGTTTGCGCCAAACAATCCTTGAACCAGCCACAGCCACAATCGGACGCACAGTGCCACGCGGCTGGATTAAGGTCTCGGAAGTGCCCACCAAGCTGGGGTAGGACCTGGAGAGACGGGGCCAACACTCTGGGGAGAGCTAAGCTTCCTGGAGCGAACCACTCAATACTTCGTGAGCTTCTAAGGATTCCCATAATCAGATTACCCAACTCAATTCGCATTTGCATAGCATCGCAAAATCGCCGCCACCATGGCTAACAGGGTCAAAAGTGATCTCAGGGGTTGTCGCACCCGATGGCTGGTGCAGAACACAGCGACTCAGGCTCACACGATGGGGCCGTGGCAGACCACCACACCACATCGAGCACCACGGAGACCGAGAACGAGAAGCACAATGAGCTAGCACACGACGACCCGGACCGGGAAAAGAAAATCGAAGCAGCCCTAGCAGAAGGCCACGACGCAGACATCCCCTCTAATATCGGCTACCTGCTTGACGAGCGGGGCGAGCTGAAGAGGCAGCGCTCCATCGCCGAGCAGGCGAACCTCGCGCTGGCCAAGAGCAGGAGCAACGCGTCCCACCACACCGGCACCGGCGACCTCGAGAAGGGCGTCACTCCAGACGGCGAGGGCAAGGATGCCCATGCGGCCGTCGAGGGCGAGAGTGACCCGAACATTGTCTGGTGGGACGGGCCCGACGACCCGGAGAACCCAATGAACTGGCCCAGCTGGCGCAAGGTGCTCACCTGCACCATCATCTCGTTCCTGACTTTCGTCACGCCGCTCGCGTCCTCCATCTTTGCGCCCGGGATCCCGGACCTCATGGCCGATTTCAAATCCGACAGCAAATTGCTGGCCTCTTTCGTCGTGTCCGTCTATGTCCTGGGCTTTGCCTTGGGACCGTTGGTTATGGGTTCGTAATTTCCTGTGCTTGTCTTACCCGGTTTCGTTTATTGAGAAGACTTTTGGCCTACTCTCAAATGTCTCATTAGCCGGTATGCTTAAGAGGCATGCCCTTTGCGCACCACACGTTCTACAAGCTATGTCCTGGTGACAAACAGGCGTATTAACAACGACCTGAGGGGGCGGGGGTTCACAAGAGGAGCTTGCATGAACATCAGATTGGAGAGTGGAACTTTTACTAACCAAGCTTTTAGCACCTATGAGTGAGCTTTATGGGAGGAGCATAGTGTATCATGTCAGCAACGTGGGCTTCGTCGCCTTCCTGGTCGCCTGCGCGCTTGCCCCAGATCTGAACAGCCTTGTCGTCTTCCGGTTTTTCTGCGGCTGCTTCGGCGCCAGCCCACTGACCAACGGCGGCGGCTCCATCGCGGACATAATCCGACAGGAAAAGCGAGGCAGCGCCATGGCCGCGTTCAGTATCGGCCCCCTTCTCGGCCCCATCATCGGCCCCGTCGCGGGCGGCTTCTTGACTGAGGCTAAAGGCTGGCGTTGGATCTTCTGGGTGCTGGCCATGGTTGCTGGCGCGGTGACGGTGGCCATGCTCCTACTTATGCGCGAGACATATGCCCCCGTGATCTTGCAGAGGAGGACCAAGAAGTTACGCAAGGAGACGGGCAACGAGCTGCTGCGGTCGAAGCTCGACATCGGGTTGTCCCCGCGGGACCATTTCAACCGCGGTATCATTAGGCCGTTGAAGATGCTCATCCGGTCACCTATTGTTGCTCTCTTGGCGATGTACATCGCCGTGGTCTATGGGTATCTTTACTTGTTGTTCACGTCCATGACGCAAGTCTTCCAGGAGACGTACCACTTTAGCACCAGCATCACCGGCCTGGTCTTCCTTGGAATGGGTGTTGGTTCTATGTCAGGGCTGGCCTATTTCTCGGCTACTTCCGATCGCTATATTCAGAAGATGTCGAAGATAGAAGGCAAGGGGATGAAGCCAGAATATCGTCTGAAACAGTTGCCAGTTGGTACTTTCTTGCTCCCAGGTGGCTTCTTCATCTATGGATGGACGGCGCAATATCACGTCCACTGGATCGTTCCTATAATAGGGACTAGTATTATCGGGATGGGCAATATCATCATTTTCATGAGCTTACAGCTGTGAGACAACCACCTCCCCCCCCCCAAACTTTCCCCAAAGAAACAAAAACGCGCCTGCACTGAGATTATTATACCACGAGGCCAAAGCTAACTCTAATCCTTCCAACAGATATCTTGTCGATGCTTTCACCGTGTTCGCCGCCAGCTCACTCGCCGCCAACACCGTGGTCCGTTCCGTAGCAGGTGCCGTACTGCCGTTGGCGGGACTGTCCATGTACGACGCTCTTGGTTTGGGATGGGGCAACAGCCTGCTGGGTTTCATTGCCTTGACGCTGGCTCCACTGCCATTCTGGATCAGTAAGTTACTTCCGGATACGAGTTCAACCCTCTCTCAAGCAGAAGTCTCTGTCATCTTCTGTGGCCTACGCCTCAAGTAAGGTTTTGTCAGACTGCAGATTTGAGACACATGTGCTCACACCATGGCCATTCTCCCCATATCCATTTGAGACTCTTTCGGTTCTTTGATGGCTGACTTGAAATGCTGCAGTGGCCAAGGGAGAGTGGCTGAGGACAAAGTATGCTCTCAAAGATTTGTAGACGGATTGGCATTTTCTGATCGTTGGGTTTCTGCATATCGGGACTAGGACATAACTATCATACAGTCTGGCACGGAAAGCGTCGCATGCAGCGTATTGACCGTTGCTCTTGGCATTTTCATTTGGAGATGTGGCCCGCTGACTGGCCCATTAGTATATTTTTGTTAATTACCGTCTGTCCCGGGGTTCTCGTGCACAGCTGGTTCTCGTGCACAGCTGTGGGACTAGAAAGGCAATTATTTGCATCCGGTTAGAGATTACTTGGAAGATTGATAATCATTGGAGTTTGTTCTTTCCCTACTGTCACTATCAAGGGTTTCAGGAGCCGCCGTCGCATCGAACCGCCGCGCCTGCATCCGAGTGATGGATTCGTCTATTCCCGCCGGCTTGTCGGAGGTCAAAGTTGCCAGACTCGGCAGAGGAACTGTTGTCTCGTCTCAACCATCGGCCGGCCAATCTGCCTTGGTAGATAGCATACCCATTATTGGAGTCGAGACTGAGCACCCCTGCATCAAGAACCCCCCGATTGTTTCTGTATTGTTTCTCCCATCTGCACAATGTTTCCAGCCAATTGGGTCAAAACCCCACAGGGCGCTTGTTGTCAGATCTGTGAAGGGCTCTGGAGCCCGTCTGCGCGGTGTGGGGGAACAAGTTTCACAGGTACCTGTGTTCTGTTTCAAGATCGCCCCTCTCGGCGGCCAGGTTCCCATGAAGAGCCGGGGCTGCCGGGGCTGCCGGGGATACCCCGGCACACGGCGAGCCGCAATGCTCGGACGGCCCCAGATAAAAGTGAGAGAGTTGTGGTTGCCACTCGGCGAAACCAAACATCGCGACAAGGTACCCTCGTGCATGCCTTGCGACTCCTAGTTGCGCAGACGCGAAAGGCGTCCAGACTCATGTAGGCGCCGTGCCAAGTTGCTGATGTCTCAGGGTCCTACTTTGTTTTACCCGTGTGACCGTCCGATACTGGTTCTGTCTGATGTAGAAATTTTGACCTGTGAATATGGAGCTGGTCTGATATGCGTGATTTTGGGCTGAGGGCTTCATAAGATGGCAGCAGAGCCTCCGCATCTGCCAGAGTTGGCGGTGTTCATCCAACCCACAGTTGAACTTTCCATTTTCACTTTTGAGGCCAGGAGCCATACTTTCTCTTCTCTGTTGGTCTTGACGACTTCTTTTCCATCACAATTTTTGTAATTCACCGCAGCAGGACTGTATTTCTTCTCTTACAGCTTTCTCCGCCACATTTACTGAGAAGTCCTGCCACTGTCAAAATGAAGTTCTTCATCTCCATCCTTCTTCTCATCTCATCCGCCTCAGTCCTGGCCGTTCCCACAGGGATGCCAGTCATCAGAACGAAGGGAACTTCTTCACCCTCCACATGCACAGGAGGCGGTACGACAAATAACGCTGGCCAAGCCTCATCAAACTCTACAACAGGGGGCGGCGGCAACGCATCAGGAAACATCAACCCAAGCCTGGTCCCAGACTTCGGCGTGGCCCAGAACGCCAACGCCAACGCGCGGCAGCAAGGGTCATGCGACGGCTTCAACGCGGCCAGCAACGCCGTCGTCAACATCCCCTGCTCCTGCCCGCCGTCCCGGGCGTCGTTCCTCGCCGCGCTGGACAAGAACGTCGCGGCCGGGAGCGTGCAGGGGGAGAAGGTCCAGTTCAACAACGACGCCGGCGACCAGAGCGCGGCGACCAACAAGCAGCGGGCCACGGCCATGCTGGTCACGCTGCAGAACCTGAATGGCGCCGGCGTCGGCTGCCCTGCGGCGAGTGCGCCGAATTTTGCGGTCATGCAGAAGACGGGTGTTCTCTCGTCGAAGGCGTTTGTGCAGTAGATTTGGGGATCTTTTGGTTGCATTCTCAAGGGGATATGAGGTTATGATGGTTTTCTCGGAGTTATGGGTGCGGATCGGAGGGCGCCAACATTTGATATGGGCAGGCATTTGGGTATGGGTTTCTTGGCCCCTGAGTCACAGATTGAAGTGGAAAAAGCTTCGAGATTCATTGTTTATATATCAGAGTCAACAAAATATGACTGTCTATGAGAACCGTTGTCTTCTTGCACTTGTCTGATCCTGGGACTTTTTATTACCATGTGGTCGCATGGGTCTCACCTGGGGATGTCTTGTCATCTGGGTAGGACAACTGCATAATGGGCGCTTATTTGGTGGAAAGTTTCTCACTCATGATTTCTGCTCCTCTCAAGTGACAAGACTCTCACTCCAGAGCGCCGCAATTTGTTCATAATATGCATAAAACTGGGCAAAGCCATTTCTTAATTTCTGGTTTGTTTTCAGTGGTCTGGAAACATAAGCCGCCTAGTGCTGGAGCCAAACTTGGCATAACCTTCCATCCCGTCTCATGACTGGAGTGAGTCTAAACAGAAGACAATGTCCGAGAACACAACGCAATCCTCGTTGTGCATGCAAGGCAGCAGGCACATGGTCAATTGAGGCCAACGTGAGACCAGGCAGATTTGCAAAGTCCTAGAGTGCAGGCCTCCTGCATGGCCAACAACTTTCCCAGGCAGCCAGGCCCAGCCCAGGCCTCAAACTGGGCTGTGCATGTCAGAAGTCGATTTGCTGCCTACATGCACTTACCTGAAGACCGAGGACTCTGGTGTTGGCAAGAAAAGTCTGACGTGCCCGCATCACTTCTTCTAGACCCACACATTTCTGCCTCTCTTTGAGCTCTGCCCTGTCCTCACCTTTGCACCAGCCGTCAAGCCGTCTGGAACTTTCTTCTCCTTACAAGCAATCGAAACTTCGTCGTGACCCGTTCTCGTCTTGCCGTATTACGCAAAGATCCGTGGAACACCAAAGAAAGAGCTGTCTCGACTCGTGTCCTCGCTATCCCTCGTTCCGAAGACAAGATACTTCTAGTGCCATGGCTTCAGATTGCACTGTTGCATGTGGCTGTAGGCGAACCTTCCTCAGCAAGGCCGCCCTCGAGCAGCATCGTCGAGATAAAACACCCTCAGCCTCTGCGTCGGTAGTCTCCAACCGTTGGGCCAATATCAAGGTCTCTCGCGTGCCCGATTCGGTTCCCAGGAAGTCATCCAAGGTAAGCCGCCTGCTTTTCTTCTCTTTCTTTTCCTTGAATCTCAGGCTATGGATCTACTGTTTCTATTACGCGTCCTTGGTATTGACTGACACCAAACAGGGCCCCGAAATACGTGACTTCAAAGATGTATGGCTGGCCAAGGGAGCTGGAAACGTGGTTGACACGCTCACCAGTGCATCACTGAAGCTTTCCAGCTCAGAACCGCCCATCTCGAACAACGATCATTATGATCTCATTTGCAGCTACAATTGGGTGAACAAGAAGACACCAGAAGTTTATGTTCCAGGTCAGTTTTCTCATCCCGGCATTTCGTTTGCGAATCTATAATAATGATGAGGCGGTTCAGGCGGTGCGCCCATCTTCAAAGCGATTTCCCTTCCCATGACCATCAAGCCAGACTCCTGTCGCCACTTCATCGAACAAAAAGCCATGAAACTTCCGGACTATCCATTTGAAGTTGTCTTTCAAGCTGCAGAGCTGATGAACCCAACTGTCCGTTTCGACGAGATTGACGTACTTACCAACCGGAACAGCTTGCTAAAGTTCTTCGACTTCTGCGAGGGCCGCGTTCAGAAAAGCTTCCGCGTCAATTTACATCTGGTAAACGACACCTTGATCATCGAGCGGTGTGTGAGGTCGACAGCCGAGTACTTTCCCGGGTCAGGCGCTTCAGGATTCGGCCACAATTTCGAAAAGGTCGCGACCCGATTGCCTCGAGGTCTTGAGAACAGCTCAGGCCATCATCGCGTTCTTCGATACGACTTTGGAAGACTGAAATGTGCTGTCTGCTTTGAAGTGGATTCAACTTATGGTGATCCCGAGACCGTCAGAGAGAGTGAGACCTATATTCCCAAAGCTAAATCATATGGCGAGGAAAGTAAATCTCTTGCGACCGCCTTCTCTTCGATTGCAGTGGACAAGGCCGGCTCGGAGTCTACTGGAGGCTCAGCAGACACGATTCCCCGCGGCGCAGGGACAGACCAGGCGAGCGTTGCGGAGTTAAAGAGCAGGCAAGACAATCGTTCGAACCCAAAGCCGGGTTGGTTTCCTCAGCTCTGGTTAGGACGGACGCGGTACCTGATCACGGGCCATCATGAGAACGGCACCTTTGACGATGTTCGTGTGCAAGACCTAAGGGAGGAACTTGAGGCCTGGGAGAAGAACGAACTCAACCAAGAGACTCTACAAAAGATGGCCGTACTGCTTTCGCGCCTTCGGGACACGGTCCGCGCGACGGAGGCCAAGTCTTGCGTGGCTCTCTGCGAGAAGACTGTCAGGCCCTATACTTTGCGAATTCATGCGTCCACCTCCGGAAAGGGACCTCTACCAGACTCTGTCGTGGAGAAGTTTTGGAACAAAAGAACAAACTAAATTTAGCGCTGTATTCTCGCATGGCACATCACAGGATGCCATGCCGGGATGATTGCTCACAAATTGTAATTATAATACTGGTTAGATAGGCTTGATGAGTGGCAACATTGAAGTACATGGTGCCACGCTCATCGATGTGCCAAGACTTGTTTCAACAGGTAGACATGTCAATAGTGAAAGAAGAGAAATGAGAGGCTTGAAAAAAGGATTCAATCACCACCGTTGCAAGTCACTAGATGCGATGTCTCACCCCTGTCATTTCCGGCCTTTGTTTCCCCTGAGCGCCGTCGACAATTTGGGGCAGCTCAGCTGCCATGGGTCTTTGACGGACGAACTCCATCACATACCACGCTGTCACCATGTGACAGAGATGTAAGGTCGGGCACCCTATAAAGATGCCTACCCTCTCGAGCGGCGATTAAGGATTTCGTATTCCGATAGCAGCCAGACTCTTCAACATCTTTACTTCTGATCTTACGTGTTTTTGCAGCAGGCCTGCGTTCCAGATACATAGTTTTATGAGTGACTCGGGCCTGGCGTCCTCTCCAAGCTTGCCACGTTCAGCTTTCGTTTCAAACACACTCATACATACACCAGGCAGCCTCTTTGTCGCAAGCATGGGTTCACAAACAGCGGCGAAGATCCCTCGGCTCAAAACCTTTGACTGGCCCCCTCGGGGCTCCATTGAATTCATGGGTAGATGGACCTTCCAGAAGGGCATCGCTACCTTTGATACGCGCACGGGCATGCAGGGCCGTCAAGCCGAGTCGCCTCTGCTCCCCCCGGAGATCAGGACGCCGCGGAGAGACTCGCGTGCCTTCCTGCCCTTCACAAAAGCCAACGCGACTCCAAAGACTAACTACTCGGAAAGCTTCTCTGAAAGCATGTACCCAGGCGAGTAGTCATCACGTCATTCCCGATCGGAAGGCTGATCTGACGGATTCCAGGAGATGAAAGTACCCTATACGTCGGCTCTGGGAGCTCTTCCAGGAAAGACACCCATCCGCCCAGCAAGTGCTTCCACTGCGGCCTTCCCTGGCTGCACACGCGCCAGCTCTCCCCGGCGGGGGACAGCTCCCACTGGTTTGTGGACATACACGACGGAGTGAACAGGAAAATGGCGTATCTTTTCTGCTGGAGATGCGTGGAATTGGTGCAAAGACAGATGCGACCGCGTCACATAGGGTGTGGTCATTATTTCTCGCCGCCGTTCCTATCGACGGCTGACAAGCTCAACCGGGAGGACTTAATGTTGTGTGTCAGGTGCCGAGAGTCTTTGAGAAATGGTCTCGAGGGGTAAATGAAAAGAGGAAGTATTTCATTGGTGATGGGTGATTGGTGACTTGGGCACAGTAGGATGACCAGGAAATAACAGGATGAAATTGCAAATTGTGAGGAATCATGTTTCTAGAAGCCGCCATTGCTAGGCTTGCCAAATCCTATTGCCGTCAATTTGAAAGCTTGCCTATGCCGTGATGCAACTTGCTCAGGAACAGCAACATGCGCAATATCGGTTTGCTTTAGAGAGTTAACACAGTGTCTTCTACTCGAGTCACTTTGATTGCACAGATGAGCCGTCTTTAAGGCATAGCACTGCATAGCGGAAGGGCTGTTGTGAAAGCGTCTGGTAAGCAATGGCTCAGCCGCTTCAACGGCGGGTCATTAGATGGCAGCTCGCATCTCCGCGATCTGTCAAACGTCGTAATTCGCGATATTTATGTCCTTAGTCACCCAGTTCCCAGCACACAGTGCCCAATGTTTGTTGATCGCAGCAAGCTCACCCACTCCCGTGTAACAGTGCAAGAAACCAAGAACAAATAAATACACCACATCTATTCATGACATCGGCAAGGACTGCATGGTCTACGTTAGACTGAGCAAATTCTTGATACGGGCTACCGCGGTTGGTGCCGGTTCATTTTGTGTGGAGCAACCGCGCTTAGAGTTCAAGGTGAGATATCCTTTCATCCTGGTCCCTGGGCAAAATCGCAGGGTGTGACTGCCTGCATATGCAGGTAGGGATGTGTCACCAAGGTGGGATGACTTCAGTGCGGAGCATGATGGCGAGAGCAGAGCAGAGCAGAGCGGCAATCTTCGTCGCCATTCACTGCCAGAATGGTGAGATCAAACCCATTATGAGGAAACGGAGTGACTGAGCCACACGAAGCTCCCAAGAAACAGCCACAACTACGATCGCATTTGTTCTCCAAAGGGCGTCTCCGTTAGTTGCGTCTTTCTCCGCAGTGCGGCGTTTAGCCTGCACGATATCGGCCGGATCTGGCTGGGTTCGGCTAGAACTGGACCCTTGCTGCAAATTCCCGTAGTTCGAGTCAGATTTTGACTCGGGGTTTTGTTATCAGTTCCCAGTCGCAATACTCTTTACTCGGTGTGCCAGGAACCGCAGTTCCAGTGCACCCTCGTGTTTTCTTCTCCAACAAACATTTTCACCGCCGATACATCAACAAGTCCTCACGTCGACGTTGCTGCCGTGGTCTCTCACTACTATGGATGAGACCACTCCGCTGCTGCCAGATGCAGCCACTGCACCCATTCCAAGAGACGACCAACTGCACAGAGTGCCGAGCAAGGACTTTGTTGATTTCGATCCCAATGGCGACGATGAAAACCCCTTGGACTGGCCACAGACTTACAAATGGGTGATCGTGGCTTTGCTATCGATGATGGCATTCACAGTGTAAGTGATCAGAATTTTTCTACTGAAGTTCGCCACACACCCGCACGCGGGGGTCGACGACTGGAGCTAACAAGCGTCTTGTAGAACCTTCACATGTATCTCAGTGGTGCCGATAGCCAACACCATCGTGGATGACCTTGATCGTGGACACGCCTCCAGCTCTTCAAGCGTGCTACTTGTGACCATCTGGGAACTCGGCGAAGCTGCTGGTCCTTTACTCATCGCACCCCTCTCTGAACTATACGGACGTTACCCAGTCATCAACATCGCCAACTCGCTCTTCACGGCATTTACAGTGCTCTCCGCTGTGAGCCCAACCACGGGGGTTCTTATCCTCGCGCGCGCTCTGACCGGTGTCGCAGTCGCCACCAACGTGCTCAGCCCGGCTATCGTCGGCGACATCTTCGTCTCTGAGAAACGTGGCACAGCCATGAGTTTAATCTCGCTCGCCCCGCTGATAGGAGGAGCCGCTGGCCCAGCTATCGCGGGCGCCGTAGCGCAGACCTTGGGCTGGAGGAAGGTCCTATGGATGAGCGCCGCCCTTGCCGGCGCCTGCGAGGTGGCCTTCTTGCTGTGCTTCCGGGAGACTTACAGGGTGGAGATCCTGAAGCGCAAGGCTGCCCGGCTCAGGAAGGAGACCGGTAACTCTGCGCTCAGGTCCGAGTTTGACGCCGAGGAGGGCGGGCACAGCTGGCAGCTCATTGGGGAATCCGTGCTGCGTCCCTTGATCGTTCTCAAGAGCAGCTTTGCGCTGCAGATTCTGGCACTGTTCGCATCGTTCACTTTCACATACTTTTACATTATGTCGACAAGTCTGCCACCGATATTGCAACAGTACTATGACTTTACGCCAGCGGCCACAGGCTTTGCGTTCCTCGCCTTCAGTAAGCATCTCTGGCCTTGAAGCTCTCCGCGAATCAAGCTAACCTCATTATTCCAAGGCGTCGGATCGACGGTATCTGTCATGATGTGCAACGTGTTTCTCGACAAAGTCTACGTCAAATTGCGCAACATGCATCAAGGAGTGGGTCAGCCAGAGTACCGCTTGCCATTCATCATTCTAGGAAGTCTGCTCTTCCCTTTCCCTGTCCTGGTCTACGGATGGGCGACTCAGTGGCACCTGCACGTGGCTGTCCTGCTCTCCGCCGTGGTGATGCTGGGGGCTTTCCTGATGCTGTGTTTCCTACCAGTGATGGCATACGCCGTTGACGCGTTTGGGATCTACTCGGCCTCTGCGGTGAGTGCTGTCATTGTGACACGCTGCCTTATGGGGACATTCGTGCCGCTGGCTACGGAGCCTCTTGTGTCGAAGTTCGGGTACGGCTGGGGCTTCACGGTGTTCGCAGCAATAAGTGTCGCCACCATTCCGATTCCTATATCTATATTCAGATACGGATACAGATGGCGGCAACTTTCCAAGTATACGAGGGACTGATTATGGAATATGAATGGTTGCAACACGCAACAGGATACGGTACCATTCACAGCATGTACGGCGAAACTCGCACTGCGGAGATCACGATGGTGAGACCGTCAAGGGTGGAAATGTTACCTTTTCGTGGATGCATAGCCAGTTTATGGAGTTTCAAAAGTGTTTATACCTAGAAGAATACCTAACTAGAGAGCGCCTGTTTGAGACGACCGCGCTGACTAAAGTCACTACTAGCAATCGTCGTGTCTGAACCCATTAAAGCCACCCGAGCACCCTCTCATTCTTCACGTTCCAGAAAGTATACATGAAATAGAAAAGGCCACTCATGCAGATTGGGAACCACATGACCAGCCCTGATACTTTCTAGAAAATATCAGAAATGCTCCCGGCCATGTTCCTAGATAGCCTGGCAGTGAACTTGCATGTGCTCTATTGGGGGAAAATAGTCTATAACTCATGTCTTCAGAGTCTCATGCCTTTCTAAAGTCTCAATAAACAATTGAATCTTCTTCGTCTTCGTCTCTGGTCTCTTGATGTTCATGAGCCTGAACAGAAAGGGGAACTTTTTCGTCCTCCCCAGCGTCCCCCAAAATGCTTTCGCCCGCGTATTTGCATCAAGCGCCGCCTGAAACTCGTCGTCAGGCTCCGCAGTCTTCATCCGGTACGCAGCGTCCCACCTCCCGTCGGCCTTTGCCCGGTCGACTTCCGCCAGGCCGCCCTCGCGCATCCTCCCCTCGGCTATCAGCTTCTCCACGACCTCCCTGTTCACCTGCGACCAGCGGCTGCGCGCCCTGCGTGGCGTGAAACACCTCTCTTGGTATTCATCATCGTGGCCACGTGCGGTGCTATCAACCCAGCCGAAACAGAGGGCCGCGTCGCGCGCGTCAATGTAGTCGATCCCTGGGGCGGTGGATTTGGACTTGCGCAGAAGGAGACGGACGCCGTCGTCAGGCGGGTCGTTGGTGAGGAAATCTTCCCATTCTTTGAGGCTGAAGGGTCCAACCAAAGCTTTGTCTGCGGAGGACACCATGCCGTGAGCTCGAGAATGGCTGAAAGCCGAAAGCCGTCGTTCCCTTGATTGGGTGGGACGGCGCTGTAAGCTGCAGCTTGAAGTGTTCTGTTTGAGGATGAGCCCTGGAAATACCCTTGACCGCCGAATCAACATTTGTGTCAGTCCAGACGAAGCTTCATGAATTTTTTGCAGGAACTGCGCTGTAAGTAAGCGCGATGTCTGACAGGTGAAAGGTGATACATACATTCAAGTTCCCGCCAAGGTCTGTTCGGACAAACTGATGCCTGGAAGCTACTGGGTAGCGCCGGTCCGTTTGCGGCCGGGTTCAACCCTCCAGTGTCAACTAGAGGTTGAAATTAGCCTGGGAATACACATAGTCAATTTCCTTTTGTCAACATATATTTACTCTCTACAATGCCTGCTTCTGTGTTGATCTTGGACATATATGATTGAGAAATAAGCCTTGCCCGGCATAAAAGAGTGCAAGGCTTCCAGTATACGTTGATTTGCATCTAAGTCACAGAGTACATGTCTGCAAAGGAATACCTGTACATGAGTAACCACAATATCCATCATATTATCTAAAATTGTAGTGGCAGTGTTGCGATGGCATGTTGATCTGGTACATATGCTTGACTGAAGAGCCTCTTGCACGGCCAACTTGCACATATGCCCCCCAAATATGTTGACCAATAAAAGTACCTAGATATTTCAGCTACACATTGGTAATGTTGTCGGGCGCAGGGAATGCATTGCAGGGACTTCGGCTATTCTTTTCTCCGAAGGCTATTATAATAGCTTCGGTTTTCTTTCGTTGCTTTAGATTCATTCTGATCAGAACAATTAACTCCCCTCTATTATTTTTGAAGCTATAATTTGCAAATTCTGTGACTATTTGCTTTGCCCCTAAGCACTATGGCCCTCTTTTATTCCTCCTCGCGTTAGAGTGCCCTTGAGCGTACTGCTGAGGCATCTAGCAGAACTCTGCTCCACTGTATTTGTGGTGCTCGTTTTCAGTAAGAAATAGTCCACACGAATGATCTGTATGCCAAAACCTCTGTGCCGATCTGCGCTGTCCGTTCTTCCGTTGTTTCTTCCTGCCTGGAGGCACTACCACTGAAACAATCGGGTGCCTTCCGTTGTTAGTTGAACCCGGCGGTGCGATGGCTCATGGCCTTGGAGTTGTGCGAGTTTGGTGGCGTTTCCCTGATTGTCACAGCCTCGGTTCAACCAGCAGGTTTTGAATGGCTCAAAGATCCATAAAAAAAACGTCCATCAATCTAATGGAAGCCATGCGACCTGCACTCATGCCCACACCCTCTTCGAGTGTCGTGGATAAGCTTATGTATCCGTAAATATCTAGAAACGTTGGCATGGACTCGGTGATGTCTAACTAATACTGCGGTCGTGAACTTCTGTTGCAAGAGCTTGCTTGGCTTCAAACTTCCACTCGAACGTAGTCACTTTCACCAAGGCTTTACGAGACAAAGGACCAAGATCAGATCAAGACCTGGAAGCATTGCTTCCTTGGCTTGGGGCAGCATGTTGATGCAATCAAATCATTTGGGTATCCAACTTGCTTCAACCATGTGTTACATGGCTTCCGAGTCTGTTCCAAAATTGAAGACGACTGATGTTTGTTGGGGATCACATGAGCAACACTTAAGACATTCAAAGTTTGATCTCTTCCATCCTGGACACATTGTGCTGCATGACTGGACCAAGTACGAAGAGCAATACACACAAACACAAACACAAGCCAAGGCACTAAGGAGCCAAGCCTTCCTTCACGGCCGCCATCGGAAGCCGGGATGCTTCCAGTCCAGATCCGAGGCCTCTTCAGGAGAGTATCCCGCCAGCTCCTCCTCGAGGCTGCGGTTCTCTCGCTTGTGGTTGTCGCGCTTCATCCAGAACAGCGTCAAGGTGGCGGTGATCAGGATGGTGCTGCCGGTAGCGAGGTTGAGCCCGTTACCGATGTGGTAGTTTGGTGCATCCCAGCTGAAGAAGCTCCACGTGGCGACCAGTCCGCCAATGTTGCCAAACATGACTGTGAGGGAAAGTGTCAGCGCGTCTCCCCTAACGTATTCCAGATCGTGGAGGACTTACCATTTGTGCCGATCGCCGCGCTCCGTGCTGTGTCGCTCACGACGTTTGCGCTCACTTGCGCGTTGGTGAGGGCACCGAGCATGAATGCGGATGCGGTGATGATGAAAGTGGCGCCGTAGCGGACCTGAGGGTTCTCGCTGGCCAGGAACATGATGTAACCGACCATTATGAAGGGGGCGGCACCCATGATAAAGATCTGTCGCCTGTCGATCCTGGAGCTGATGAGAGGCAGGAGTAGGGTGAAGAAGGCGCCGACGATGTAAGGGGGAACTGTGTACAGCTGCTGCTTGATGACGGTCTCTTTCGGATAGATGGTCTTGACGATGGTCGGCAGGAAGAAGGCCAGGCCCTGGACAGTGACATTGTTGAGCAGGAAGGTGAAGGATGTGGACAGCGTGATGGGGTTGAAGATGCCGCGGAAGATCTTGGTCTTGTCAATCTTGTCGAGGACCTGTGTCTGCCCGACACGCTCGGACTTGACGCGGGCGACGGCGAGGTCCTTTTCCTCTTGGCTGAGCCAGCGGGCGGTCTCGGGTCTGTCGGTAAGAGTGAAGAAAGAAATGAGCGCGAGGCCCACGGTGATGATGCCTTCTATGCCGAAGATCATGCGCCACGTGTGCAGACTGCCAAAGCCCGGCAGCTTCAGGATCGCCGACGCAAGAAGCCCACCAAATGCACCTGCTAGGGGCGCCATGACAATATCTAAAGAGTATAACAGTCAGCATAGTCCCCGGGCAAAAAGTCGTCGAAGCCCATCTGCGGCCTCAGATAGGTTGGGAGTTTCGTACACATCGCCAGGCGGAAAGCAAGCTCGCTTCGTCGATACCATCGAGACATGTAATAGGCAATGCCAGGTAACATTCCAGCCTCGAAAATCCCAAGAACAAAGCGGACTCCGGAGGCCTGGGCTTCCGTCTTCACGAACGCGGTGCCAATTGATGAGATACCAAAGCCCAGGGAGGTAAGGGGGATGAACCAGCCCGGGCCCATCCACTTGCAGAGGATATTTGCTGGGATCTCAAACAGGATGTAGCTGATGTAGAAGATGGAGAGAAGCGCATTATAGTCATCCTTGACGAGGTTCAGGTCCTTTTCGAGTCCCGCAAGACGGGCATTTCCTAATTCTTGGTCAGTATCCCGAGTACATCATGGGCTCTTCGAATGACGTAGTGGTGGCTTACCGATGTTAGCACGATCGATGAAGCAGAAGAGATATAGCAGGGCCACGGTCGGGACGATCATCAGGTCAATCTTGCGTCGAAGTTTGGCCTCCGCCGCTGGGTCCAGCTCCACTAGGGACTGACCATATCTATAGAATAGAGAGTCAGAAAAGATGCGAGGTTAACGTAGCTAGACTCTGATGGCGTACTTGTCTGTGGCATATTGACCCTGCCCAGCAGCGGTCTGCAGCCCTGTGCCCGTGTCCTGGTGGACATATGACACGCCGTCGTCCTTGTCAGAGCTTGCCATGGTGTCGTCGGAGATGCTGCCGTAGGTTGCAGTTGCGAGTCTGGCGGCGAAGTGTGCGGGTAGAACAGAGGGTCAACGACACACTTGACTTGGAAGACAGATAACCTTTATGGATATCGTCCTCGGACGCAATCTTCAAGGGTTGGAGGGACAGTGCAAGGGCCAGAAACCTTGTTAAATGGAGAGACGTGGGGCTAACGGCCCTTTTCTGCATCACAGGGCGAGCTGGGAGTCGGCCTGGGTGCATGGATGTTGGTTGGGATCTCATCGGATGTCGCACCGCTGCCACCCATCCGCCTGTTTAGCAAGAGATGGGCTATCGAGCGACAGGGCAGCTAAGTTCCTGCCACGCGCTGTCTAACCCCCTTTCGCCGCTGCCCTGGCCTATCAGTTCCTTCCTTGGCTTCACCGTCCGTGACAAATGTGGGAGGCAGAGCGCGGTCCCCACAGGCGGTAGTTCCCACAGCTTTGGGATGGCCCCCGGTCCATTCTGGGCTCCTATGCCTATTGTGTTGACGGCATTCGATTGCGGTTATCCACCGTCGACGCCATAGTGCCTCTGTGTGTGGGAAACGAACCTTCCCCCCCTGTCTTTTTGACTCGCGCTCCCCCTCCGCTGCAGAACAACAAAAACTTAAAAAATACACTGTTTTTTAATAACTCACTTTAATTAAATAATAATATAATACACACACACACACACACACACACACACACACACACACATATATATATATATATATATATATATATTTATAAACCTTAAAGTATTAAGTTTTTTAATAAAATATTATAAATAATATAATATAATATTAATATTACTTAAGTTATAATTTTATTTTATAATTAATAAAATATAAATATTAAAATAATATTTTAAATAATATATATATTAAATTTATTTATTTTTTTTATTAATATTTCTTTATAATTTATTAAGAAAATAAAGTAATTTAAAATATATAATTTAAATTTAATATAATATAATATTAAAAATTAAAAGAATATTAAATTTTAATATTTTAAATATTTATATATATAATTAATGTTATTAAATTATGTTTATGTATTTTTAGTTTCATATTTTAATACTTAATATAAATTATAAAAATAAGCTTAATTATTATTATTATATATAAATAAATAATTAATATTATTAATAAATATATATTTAAAATTCTTATTATATCTTACTTAAAGTAAGGATTATAAATATACAACTTATATTAATGAATTTAATTTTCTTATAAAGTTATGATAGATTATAGTTAGATTGAAAAATTGGGATTTTTGGGGCGGAGGGGGGAGCGCGAGTCAAAAAGACAGGGGGGGAAAGGTTCGTTTTCCACACACAGCTTGTTTCCTAGGATTCCCCGCATCCTCCCCGGGTTTCCCGCCCCAGGATTTGGGGAATCTTCGGACAAGCCAAGATCTCTAGGCGCCCACCACTGTCTCCAGTTCACGATCAGATCCACGCAAAGATGATGTTGACGATGCTAGCATGTTTCTCTGGGAAGGCGGGAGGTGTCCGCATACTGTTGTATTCGCATACGTGCATATGCGAGATAGTGAACTGCCAACAGATAGGAGACTCGGGGTTGCAACGGCGCAGGGGTCAAAACCAAAACTCACTCTGCATATACATGATGTACACACACAGATGATGGATCACAGTGAGGAAGAGTCCTTACCCCAAGCGCCACAAAGCTTCCAAATAATTTACCTTGTTTGGTCTTTGCCTCTGCGCCGCTGGATGATGTGACTGAACTCCAGAGAGGCGACAGCGATGTGGATAACCACTTAGCACATGCTTTGTATCAGGAAAGCCGAGACCACTCCCGAGACCCAACTCCCAAGAAATACGACCAATGCCACCCCCAGCATCGGTCCGTTCGTCTATCTTGGCATGCAACCATCACCGTTTGTTCGGAGTCTGGACCCTGGAGCACCCCGGCAAACCCGAGGTTTTACCAATTCCGGTGTGATCTCCTCCCCCGGCTCAATATTCTATTCGACTTCATGCCTTCATACCAGGACTTGAGATTCGCCTTCATGCCCTCAACACACAATTCTTCACTTGCACAGAAGTGGTTCGTACGAGTCTTGTTCTAAGTCTTAACGCGTCACCTTTCATGGTGGCATATTACGCGCGCTTTCCACGTCTCGAAGCACAGGAACCAGTTGTTCACGCGTAGTTGATCCCAAGTAATTGATCATTATATTGAACCGCCGCCGCCGCGGCCTGTGGAAACCATTGAGCGGAAACATCACGCTGAGGAGTATCCTGTGTGCAAGCCTTGTGTCCCGAGATCATAACTCGAGCCAACGATGCTAGAATTTTTACCCGTCAAACCATGAGACTAGGAAGTAACTGTGGTAGAGATACTAATTTGACCTAGTGTCATGTTGACATTTTGGATGTGTTACAATGAGGAAAATGTTGACTTCATTTTTCTATTTCGCAAATGACAAGGTAGATTGAGTGGGTGATATCTCTATGTTTCTTTAAGCCGACACTCCGGCCACTGCCCGAGCCCGAGGCTATTCGGCACGTTCGGCTAATAATCCATGTAAACAGCCAGTACCCACAGTCCCGCCTCCTCCCTGAGTGCAGAATACTAAGGGTCCGAGGCTGTATTAGGAGGCATTGCTCCACAGCAGCTTCAAGATGATACGAGACTCGGCTCCGAGCTCAATCATAATAGACCACCTCAGCTTGTATCAATATGGCCATTGTAACAAGGAATCCATGTCTTGAGTTTCGCAGAATTCAAAGTCTCGTTGATTGTGAGCTTGAGCAACTACCCACTACCTTGCTTTTCAACGGGAGCTAGCGTCTTCGAGCCAGGCCCAGATCATCTTGATGAGACATGCAGGTCTTAACCTCTTGCGAACACTGACACTGCATTACGCTCTTTTACGATTGGCCCATCTGACACACCCAGTTGGTAGGGTAGATGAAGTCCCTGGTAGGCTGATAGCAACCTCTTACGCGTACTCGCATATCAAACCCGCTTTGGGCGGTCCGGTCTGTTGTCACCTTCTGTTTATGGTTCAAACTGAGATTTAGCAGAGTTACACAGGCACGCTTGAATGCTTAACCCAGGCTCAACATTCAACCTGACTTGGTAGCCGGCTATTCTTTTTCACGGGTGCATCTGGCATAGTAGTACATCGATATCACGTCACTCGACTCACATCGTGCTCAGTGGGGTCACTGTCTATAGTTCCTGTTCATACAGGAGGTTAGCAGGTTAGCTCCTGATACAATCCGCGTATGGGCCACAGGATCTTTTCAAACACACTCGGGCACAAATATACAGCGTGTAAAGATCCCAAATCTTTCCCTGCAAATGCATTTAGCCCTTACCCTTTTTGGAGGAGGTCACTCACCCATATAATTTGGCTGTGAAGAATACAGATCTTCAATAATTCTGGAGAAACCCACTGTTCCTTAACATGTTCTTCCAGTAAGAAATCTTGGTCAGAAAGACTTCGCCACAAACGGGCCAATCATGAACTGCGTGACAGGGAAAGATTTGGGATCCTTACACGCTGTAGGGAAATACAAGATGCTTTCCACTCTCCTGTGGTCAGATCTATGACCATTGTTCTTGCAGCAGGCCTCGAAAGCGATCGACTGCTGGCTTTCGTGCCCGTCCATGACTAGTATTTGATCCACGCACTTTCCTACACCTTGGTATGTTTGTCGAAGTACTCAATCTATTCCAGGCCTGTCTGGTCGTACACGAAGTCTTTGGAATCTTGTGCAGGTGGCCAAAAACTGGGAAGGCTGCATGCAATATGCCAGCTGGCCAGTTGAGACGCGCCTTGCACAAGAAGCAAAACGAAGAGGGGAAAATGCACAGCAAACTCATTCCTAAATAACTAGTTGATGATTATGAACTGTTTATGAAGATTTACAACTGTGCTCAGGAAAATCTGAGATCCTCTTAATCGGCTGGAATATTTCATGCCCATTTTCACTACAATGAGAACTTAATGCTACCTTTACTATACATACAGTTACCCAATAATCATGGTAATCCCATGGATTCCAGCGAAACTGCTCTGTCAGTCTCGGAATTCCAGGTCACTTTATAGAAATTTTAAAAGTGTCGACCGTATTACGTTGTCGTAGCCTGTAAGAGTATTGCGGTATACCGATTCATGTTTTCTTGGTGATAGTGAGTTTTCAACCATATTTGCCTGAAGAAGAGAAAACAGAACAGGTTCCGAAGATAAAATTGCAGCTGCTACGGGTGACAGCAAAAAGAGTTGGCGATGTGTTGGGTGGGTAAGCAGTCTCAAGGGGCGTTGCCTGCCGCGACACACCAACAGACTTTAATTACAAAGACGCTGCTCTGATCATGCGAGCCTTCTCTTCAGCTCTCACCAACTTTCAATGGCTGTATGGAAATCCGGAGCAGCCCTATTGAATGATCCCAGAGTTCGGAAAGGTCGGGTCATTTGAAACTCGCACGTCCGCCACAGGCATGCAGGAGACCCATTGTCGCCGGGGCCCTTCCACCTCGTCGTCCCGCCAGATCCGGGTTCCGCTGCTTCCACTGTGGTCGTGCTTGCTGCTAGTATTGAGCGCAGGACCGTCCGCGTGCGCTACGTTGCCCCGGGATCAGTCTGCGGCTACGGAGTCGTTGGCAACGGTACCGGACTATGTAATTCGCTACGGTGACTCAACCCATCTCGCCCGGTGACAGCGGGCACTCGAGCCGGGACCCGAGGCTAATCTTGACCAGCACCGCTCGTCTGGCTACACTCAGAGGACCCGTTCAGGCCGTCAGACCTATTGCAGCATGTGCGCCATACCGCGCCCCTGGCGAATGGCAAGCCCGTAGAGGAGCTGCCGGAGCTCGGCTTGGACAACCTGGCCTTGCTCAACGACAGAGGACTCGACGGCAATCCGGTCGCATTGACGGCTATCGACGAGGTCACGCAGCTGCCCGCTTGGTTTTCGGGGGAGACGCCGGACGAGTCTGGAAGGCTCCACAACGCGACTGCCTGTGTTGTGGTTCTCGTTGAGTCCGAGAGGGACTCGGGCGACCTGGCGGCATTCTACTTCTACTTCTACTCCTACAACCGCGGCGCTAACAGCACTCAAGTGCTAGAGCCGCTAAAAAGCATGATAGAGAAGGATATCGAGCCTGGAATGAATTTTGGGGATCATGTTGGGGACTGGTAAGTACAAATGGGAACTTTGGCATCGCCCATGGCCTTGGCTGACGTGCAATTTCCACCAAGGGAGCATAACATGGTTCGGTTCCGGGACGGGGAACCTACCGGCATCTATTTCAGCCAACACTCTGACGGCGCTGCTTATGAGTGGGACGATTCGGCTCTGACAATAGAAGACGAGCGGGTGAGTTTGTTGCAACACATCTCACCGACTGTCTATATGCTAAATCTGAAACTCCCGTAGCCCGTTGTATACAGCGCATATGGGTCTCACGCGAACTATGCGTCTCCCGGGTAGGTTGAACGCAACCAATCATCCATTGAGACGATTCAGCTAATCCCGACCATTCCAGAGCCCATGTCCACGATGCGGTGATAAAGGACAACTGTGACGCAGGCCTGCGATGGGACCCCGTGTCTTCAGCATACTTCTATCGCTTTGATCCCCCCACCTCCGAGATGACCCGGATATTCCCACCTGGATCACCCCAAGGGTCCAACTTCACGTCAGCAATCTACTTCTCCGGGCTGTGGGGCGACGCGCAGTATCCGGACAGCGACCCTCGCCAGAAGACGGTTCCGCGCTTCGGCCTGAAACGCTACGTCTCCGGCCCGTCTGGCCCGATAACGAAGAAGCTTGTGAGAAAGGGTCTGTTCCCCGACCACCGCGAGCCCAAGTCCTGGCTGCAGTGGGGCGTCGGCCTCTTCATGTCGCTCTACCCATGCTGTTTGCGTGGATGGAGAGTCTGGGCTTCGGGCACGATACTCCTTTTCGTGTTGGTTTCGATGATCTTCGGCATCGTATATGCTGTGAGGCGGTACAGATCGAGGAGGGCAGGATACAAGAAGGTCGATACTGGTGCGGATATACCGCTGAATAACCTGGACTATAGGGACGACGTCACTGGACACGGCCACCCTTCCGATGACCACCAACGATGACGCATACGGAAATTCCCACCTCGCATTTCATAGATATAAAATGGCCCTCGCCAGGAGAAAGCATAGTACCTACCAAGTGTACCCGGTTTTGACTCAAGGTAGTCTATACGGCAGGCTTGGAGATGCATAGAGATTTCTAGCTAAAGAGACTCTCGTGTCTCGTACCTGTGTACCAGTTTCACTATCCGTTAAGCTGGCCAGCAGCAAAGATGAGACCGCTCTGGGGGCTGCTTACCAAGTCAGCTAGCCACCTTGAGGTCTACTCTGGTCAGAACGACCAAACATTCGAACCTGATGTATCCTATTGTCCGTATTTGGGCACTTGCTGCTACCGAAGAGAGGGAGAAGGAAAGAGACCGGATGGCTTATCCAGGCTACAGGCACTCATCGGAATGGTTTGTGAATGGAGGGTCTACTAGTAGTGAATGCTGCATTCGCCGTACCGTAAGTGTGCTATAGTCAGGCCAAAGATTGTGGACTCCCACATTAAACGAGTTGCCCATATTCTGTTGTTTGTTCAACAGTAAAGCCGTCGTCCTCATCTCTCACACTGAGATGTTCTCCCGAGACGTCGATCTGGAGCGGCGATGGAACGGACGCCTCCATCGCCGCCCGATCTTGTTCATCAAGCATGGCACCCGTCTTGTAATCGGACATGAACTTCCCTCCACAACACGCCAGCCCGCCCCCGGGATCCCCCAATTAAAAAAAAAAAAATTAAAAAAAAAAATTTAATCACAAAAAGGTTGCCAGCTTGTTGTTCTACTGGGTGCATGATTGCCGCTGGGGGTTCAAATGCGAATGCACTTAGAAAACAGGCTGGTAAACTGAGACTTAATGATTGGAAAATATCATTTGTGTTGCGATGGATGCAACTTAACACGATCTGAGATGAATTTATGAGGTAGGCGGTATGAGTCCGCGGGGTGATTCATGGACACTGATGACCTGCCCCTTGAGGTTAGAGAAGTGCCTGAGGGCGAGGATCTTCGGCAATGGCACGCCTTAATCGGCACCGATCTCGTGCTTATCAAACGGCCCACAGCTTCGCTGGCCAAGCTCGACGTCAACTCTATCCGTCTCCCCCTCCATAAAACCCTCTGCGGGTCAGTGAGAAAGCCCGGAAAGTACTGGGCATTGGTTGTGATCTTGGAAGATTCAATCGACGGAAGGAAAAGATGGATGCGGAGAAGAACGGACAGTTGCCCCCGTACAGCGCTGTCGCTGGTTCGCCGGCGCAGCCACACGCATGGCATCAGCAGGGCCGACGGCATGTGCGACGATCTCGAGCAGTGCGCCTGATGGCGCTGTCGTTCCTGGCCTTCATTGTCTACGCACAGTGGAGGCAGATCCCGGCTCAGCCCCCTCTCGACAGCGACGGCAGTCATTCCGTTTCGGTCAATGGGCTGTCTATCTCCAAGCTGCAGGCTGACCTTGCCGTCTGCTCGAAGCTGCGCGCGACGCCCAGCGACCCAATCGGCCTGGGCCGTGAGCGCAACGCCAGGTACATCGATGGCCACAAGCCCACACTCATACGAAATGCCACCGTCTGGGTCGGTGAGCCGGTCGAGGGCACATCCGCCGAGGCTGCACGGGCTGGGGAGGGCTGTGAATGGATCAACGCGGACGTCTTCCTGGAGTATGGCCTCATCAAGGAAGTTGGCAAGGATATTGCCATCGCAAACCTGCCCAAGGATACCATCATCTGGGATGCAAAGGGGCGACAGCTGACTGCCGGTGTCATCGACATGCATAGCCACTCCGGAGTCGACTCCCTGCCGGAGTTGAAAGGCAACAGCGACGTTAATGAGATGTCCTCGGATACCACGCCGTACGTCCGCTCTATCGACGGAATCCAGCCCACGGATCATCAGATCCAAGTGATCAAGTCCGGCGGCGTGACCACCAGCTTGGTCCTCCCCGGATCCGGCAACAACATCGGCGGCGAGGCATACGTGATCAAGCACGCCGTAGGGAAGCCCGACGGCCGCGAGGAGATTAGTGCCGAGGACATGCTTGCGGACCCGGACAAGAACTGGAGGTACATGAAAATGGCGTGCGGCGAGAACGCCAAACGGGTCTACGGCAAGGTCGGCGAGAGGGGCCCTGTGAGCAGGCTGGGCGAGTCGTGGGAGTTCCGCCACGCCTTTGAGCAGGCGGCCAAGGTCAACCGCGAGCAGGACGACTGGTGCAACGCCGCGGGTGCCTTTGGCGTGGAGAACATGAGCTCCTACCTCCCGCAGGAGCTACAATGGGAGTCCCTAGCCGCGGCGTTGCGAGGACAGGTGCACATCAACACCCACTGCTACACCATTCCAGATCTGGAGGCCATGGTGGATCACACCAACGAGTTCAAGTTCCCCGTGCGGGCTTTCCACCACGCACATCAGACGTTCCTCGTACCCGAGGTGAGTTTATCAGCTGACATTTGTTGCTTTTGGAACAATTTAAGCTGACATCGCGCTAGATTCTCAAGCGCACGTGGGGCGGCCGGCCCCCTGCGTCAGCGATATTCGCTACAAACATGTATTACAAGGCCGAGTCTTACATCGGATCCGAGTATGCTGGAAAGTTTCTGTACGAGCAAGGTCTTGCGACGGTCTATGTCAGCGACAACCCAGTCTTGAATGCCCAGCACGTCATTTTTGAGGCAGCTAAAGGCTACAAGTTCGGCCTGCCATACCATGCTGCCTTGGCTGGTGTAACAAGCGAGCCCGCCGATCTGCTAGGCCTCGGGAAGCGACTCGGAAAGATCAAGCCTGGCTACGACGCGGACGTGGTCGTCTGGGACAGCGACCCGTTAAGTGTCGGAGCGACTCCCGTCCAGGTATGGATCGATGGTACAAGCCAGTGGGAGGACCCAGTCGAGCTGAACAAGCCCGTCACCGCACCACTCGTGCCAGACCTGGCGCTGAACAAGACGAACGAGGAGACTGCGCAGCTCAGGGACGTCCTGTTCACTGGTGTCTCCAGTGTTCTGCTCTCCGACCACGACGAGGTCGCCGGTGCTGGAGCGACCTTCAACGTCGCCGTATCTGGAGGAAAACTCACCTGCATCGGAGCTTGCGAGGCGGAGCTGCGTTCCGCCACCACAGCAGGAACCAAGGTGATCAGCCTCAAGAACGGGTACCTGACCGATAGCTTCACCGCGTTCGGCTCAACGATCGGCCTGAACGAGATAGACGCCGAGTCGAGCACCGACGACGGCGACAACTCGGACGTCTTCAGCCGCGCGGCGGACGGCCTGGCCCTCGACAACAAGAAGCTGAGGGTAGCGCACGAGTTCGGCGTCACGCGGGCCATCACGGCGCCCAAGTTCGCTGGCGGGTCCAACGCCGCGCGCCAGGGCGTCAGCGTGGGCTTCACCACCGGGGCCAGGACGGCCCTGGACGAGGGCGCCGTGTGGGCCGACGACGTCGCGGTGCACTACACGCTCAGCCTCGCGGCGAAGCGGGACAAGACACCGTCCACGTCGAGCGCGGTCGGCGCGTTCCGCCGCAAGCTGCTCGCGGCTCTCAGTTCTGCTGAAGAGATCAAGGACCAGTACTCGGAGGAGGCGTACCTGAAGAAGGTCGTCGCGGGCGACCTGCCTCTCGTCGTCACCGTCCACAGCGCGGACGCCACCGCCTCGGTCCTAAAGGTGAAGCACGTGGTCGAGAAGGAGGGCGGCAAGCTCCGCCTGTCCATCATCGGCGGCGCCGAGTCGTACATCCTCGCCGACGAGCTGGCCGCCGCGGGCGTCGGCGTCGTGCTCGCCCCGGCGGAGAGCTATGCCACCGAGTGGGACCAGCGCCGCGCGCTCTCCGGCGCGCCCTTGACCAACGGGACGGCCATCGACAGGCTTGTCGACGCCGGCGTGGTCACTGCCATCGGGCTCGAGGAGGACTGGCTCGTCCGGGACCTCGCCCTGTTGGCGGGCCGGGCCTACAGGAATGGCGAGGGCCGGCTGAGCGAGAAGGACGCCCTGGCGCTCGTCTCGGCGAATGTGTACAAGATCCTGGGCATCGAGGTGCCCAAGGCGAAGGATGGTCATTTCATTGTGTCTGAGGGGAGCCCGCTCGAGATTGGATCGAGGGTGAAGGCTGTTGGTGGCGGCCTTGGGAATGTTTCCGTGTTTGAGTAGTCCGGAGGTTCCTGGGTGGGACGAGGGCGCACCTCTTTGACGATTTGAAGAGAGGAGAATCTCATGGTGATCATGTTGTACTTTTCTCCTGCAAGGTTTCTAGTACTCACAACGCAAAAGTTTAAGTAAATCCACCTGAGCAAATTCATGTTCACCTGACATACCGAGTGCCATGGCCAGTCTTTCACGCAACATGCCAATGTGTTTTCTTCGGTGTGCAGTACCAATGTCGCCGGACTATATGGTATAACATGCGATACTGTTTGGGGAAGTTACGCCTGTCCTTGAAACCCGGTAACCATTTCCAACGAGGTCACTGGAAATTCATAGGTCCTCCGGTCATTGCTGTGAACAAAGGTACACCCTGATTTCAATCTGTGGTTCCACTTTCGGGCATGAAAAGAATGGCTTCAATTGATGCTCGGCAAGTTACGTGGCAGAGTGAACGAACATTCCCGATTGGTATCCAGGGGACTGAGCGTGTGAACAGTTGTAGCCAAGAATGGGCACAACACGAATACTGGTCAATATTCCGATTACCAAAGGTCTCTTTCGCGACTATGGATAATTGTTTGGATTTATCCGAAGCTGACGCGAAATTCACCTTCGTTGGCACTAGCAAACCCTGGAACAGCCTCAGATGAGGAACATTCGCATCAGCTGTGCCTTCGCTTGATTTTGCGTGATGGTGTCTTTCACCATGACTGAGCTTGTCCGACCATTTCCGAGATTTTGGCATCACTGGCGATCCTCCAGTGTGCTGCATAACGAAAAAGATGCAATATGCCGTCTGGACGTTTACATTTTGACCATATGATCATATGCTTGGACTGGCGGAGATAGACGGGGCTGCTGCGGAACGATTATCATCAAGCACATGCTTCCGCAGCTCGAAGCTCAATCTCGGGCCCTACAACTTGTCCGAGACCTTCGCAGCGAGCCACTCACATTCGGTCGGGCAGTTTCGCGTCGGTCCCGAATAAGCCAAATCGGGTTACACGTCCACTCAAAGCCAATCAGAATCATTCACCACGGAGCTTTGTCAGTCCGTTCAAGAGCGAGGTTCCGCAGGGCTCGGCCGCCAGCTCAAGCTTCAAGCATGGGCTGTTTGATAATCCAGCTGCCTGCACTTAAAGGAATCGGTCCCGCAACACACAACTAGCGCTCTGGAACAACTTGGTCTTTGATCACAACGCCTAGTACTTTTCAACACTCTCAAGACCCTTTCGTCACACCACGTACGCTTAACTTGACAATATGGGTGGTCCAATGTGCCCGATGCAAAACGGCGGTGGCTTCCGAGGCCCCCCAATTCCTCTGGTCGTCGTCCCCGTGATCTATCACTTGATACAATCGAATCCCGATTTGAAACTCACCAAGTACGTGAAAGACTTGTTGAACAAAGGCGGTCCGGTCAGTGTCGCCGAGAACGCCCATCATATCGTTCAATGTAAGCATTTCCTCCTTCACGTTACTGCTTGGGCGGATGGCAGTCCCAGTGAATGCTTGATACTGACATGTCCTAGATGTATTATCGAAGGTCCCATCCAACGTGCTGTACTGGTTCGGCACCAAGGTTCTCCAGCTGAAGCCGGAGCTCGCCATGCAGACGACGGAGTTTCTGAAATCAAGGACACAACTGGAGCCTCCGCCCGAGAAAAGTATTGTGGGGAACGATTTGGGGAGGCTCGAATCCTCTGATGCTCTCACCATTCCATCGGACATTGAGCGACGCCTTGAGAAGCTCGAGATGGATTATCAGATGCTCCAGGAGAAGCACACGGAGTCACTCAAGCTGTTGACTTACAAGACGGAGGGCGTTGTGGAGATCCCAAGAGAGCTCCCCTTGCCAACGCCTCCGGAGTCGCCAGAACTCCAAGCCCTTGTGTCGACTGAGCCGGGCCAGCTAGCAGCGACTCCTGAGCAGCCCCGGTCTCCTCGACCAGCTGCAAGCGACATGGAGACCCAGGCCTTGCTGCAGGAGATTGGTCTCCGGCTCGGAAAGGTTGTCCTGGAATGGGCTGGTGACATGATGAAACAGAGCCTGATGTCTGCTGCGTCTGCGAAACTTTCGAGCGACTCCAAGTTCGGCGCAGCAGGTGTAGATCTTACCAGCCGGCTCGCGACCTCGCTTACAACTTGAGTAATTTGGGGGTCCAAGCTGGATGCAAGAATTGCAGGAACACGAAGACATTCAGGCGACGAATTCCGCCCGCGACAGCAGACACAGCAAAGCTCCCTATCAGAATGATCGACAACGAGAGGGGAGCTGATAACTTTAAATCGGCCCTTCTGTGACCACTCAGGAATTCAGGCAACTGAGTATGCTGCGACAACTGCAGCGGACGCGAGCGAAGGTTGTACCACAGCTGATCGACCGTGAGCCAAGTCGGGGCTGTTTTTGAGACGGCGAAAACGACGCTGCGGCTGTCGATGCACGGAGGGCTCAATTAATTAGACTATCAAACTGGGCCGACATAGGACCGGGAGGTGGGAGGCCGAATAAACAGCTGGCCCGCGCCGCGCGAGGGGGGAACAGGTCGCACGCATCGATAACACCGCCACCAGCAATTGGCACAAACCCTCAGGAGCCATGGGCCCCGCCAACATAACTTAAACCCTGAAGCCGGCTGGCACCCGCCTGTGCAACCTGCACGCAGGTGGGATCGGCCAAGTACGACCCAGTCATTCTAAGGATCCGAGAGGACGGGGGGTGGTCTAAAAATAGACACAGCTTGGGGATGATCCATCAGTTCGGACCGAGCCTATATTGCCGGCCCGCCCGGAGCAGATTCGAACGAAAAGAAGCAAGCGAGCAAGCAGGACGGGCAGATGGGGGGGGGGGGTTTGAGATAGAGGTAGCTTGGGGTAGTACAGTAGACACGAGAATTGACTCTATCACCGTCTTATATTAATGTTTCGCCGGGGGGCTGTCGTCCCAAGTATTGACGCCTGTCGGTCGAGGGATGATGGAAGTGACAGATAGGATTTGTTGGTTGGTCTGGACGTAATATCATGATGTGCCGGGGTGACGACATGTCAGTGGCTTGAATGCAACCCTGCACATGCACACTTCTCCATTCGGGTCTTCTGCCGACGGATCGTTTGCTGCAATCTCTCAAGCGCGCCCCAACCGTGGGAGGCGGGAGTCAGATTACTGGGGACGCATGGTGCGCGGGTCAGGCAATGTGGCCGTCAGATCCGCCGTTGAACAGGCCGTTCGTTCTCTTAAAAGTTTAGCCCAGCAGCAGGCAAGTGGGCAGCGCGCAGTAGTCGGGCAGGAGAATTGAAGGAGGGATGGGATGGGCAAAGGCGATCCTCTTTCCTGCTATTGCTCGACACCCGCCTGTTTCACTGCAGGCGGCAGGGAAGCAGGCGGGCCCAAAATAGGGTGGCAACCTGTTGGGCGGACCGGGCTACTGCGGCACTACTGCATGCGTACTTTAGCACATGGCCACAGAGGATAGAGGGTAAAGTAAAGAGAGGATCGAGGGACATGCAAGAAGGATGGCACCCGAGCAGGGGTTGGGGCAAGCTCCACGGCCCCCAAAGTTGCTTGGTGCTCACATGTCATGGCCCCCCCCCCCGTCTTGCAGATTTCCCGCCTGCAGGCCCGTCACATATGTAAGATGCTGCCATGTTCACTTCCGCACTTCCTTCCAGCCCTGGCCAGAAAAGATGACGATGTCTCGGCCTCGATCCTCTCGCGAAGACTGACTGAACAAACCCACGACGCGCACCAGCAGCCGGAGCTGTTGGAGCTGCCGCGATGCCGCCCGACGAGACCATGTCCTCTCCAGGATTCCAGACTACCCGCAAAAAGGAATCCTTCGCCTCCCCCTGGCCCACCCCACCAATGAGGCGTTGCATGCGGGCCCAGCGTAGGCTTGAGGGATGCCATGTGGCCCAGTCATCATCACAACAAAACTCCCGCCGGTCGGGCGACCTGCACTTCGCCCTCTATGCCCCGGACTGCCCGTCGCGCATGTCCTTCTCCAGCCGGACTGCAGCTGACGACGATCCGTTACGTGCCGACCGACATGGTAATGGTGATGGTGATGGTGATGCAGAACCTTCAGCCGCAGACGCAGACGCAGACCGCCGCCGCCCAACAGACCGACTCCGACACCGCCTGACCATGGAGTCCAGGCCAAGGTCCATCATCGGTTCTGCGTGCCTGGCGCTCGAGTCCACCGTTGGCAAGACCGTCGCCGACGTCACAAACTTTGTCCGCCACTGCCGCCCCGCCAGGGCAGACCTCACCCCGATCACCCGGGAGCTGTCCGAGCTGCAGATGGTCCTGGAGCTGCTTAACGACTTTGGACAGTATGGGCAGTACGGAGAGAACCGCCAGCAGGACGCCATCCCCCCAGAGCTGCAGGCTCACCTCAGGCCCATCCTCAGCAACTGTATCACGGTGGTGCTGCGCATCGACGGCGTGCTTCGGCGCCATGGCCAGGGCGAGGCCGATGGGTCTGCCAAATGGACTGCACAGGGCAGGACGGAGATGGCTGAGCTGCGGCCCTCGCTGGAGGTGCACCGTGGCGCACTAGGTCACATCTCTGATCTCATCTCGATATCTATCTCGAGGGCGTCCAAGGACCGCGACCCCGGAAGCACTCAGGAGGCCGGGCTTCAGGTCAAGGATGTGATCGAAGATCTCCAGGACGTGAGGTCGTCTATTCTCGTCAGCGACAGCAACGCCACCCTGGCACGACAGCACTTTGCATTGCAGGTCCACCTCGGCCAGATTATCGCCTACGCGGAGACGCTCAACAGACCGGATGCGTGGGACGAGGCGGTAAAGGCTATTGATGCTGCGGGGGAGGACGGAGAGGCCGGACCCTCAGAACCAACTTCGGAGCCAGTATCTCCCATCACGTCGATAAGAGAGAGCCCATCACAGGATCGCATTGTCGAGAGCCTACGCGCAAGGCCCAAATCATACTCCCCAGCATTGTCCAGCGCAACCATCGGCGCAGCGAGGACAACAAACCACACAACCACACTAAGTATTCCGAGCAGGAAGGCGATCATAGTATCGCCGCTGACCACCGGGGGATTATCTGTCAACACTTTCGGCGGCTCAAATCGAGAACAGGGGGGGTCAATATCACCAATGACATATAGAGGACCGGCAAATGAGGAGAACACAACAAATGCTCCAGAACCTGCCGAGGAGGAGTCGGAACCGATATCGCCAATGAGTTTTGGGAAGCCTGCGTCGGCAGAGGAAGCAGAAGACGCGCCTGCACCCATAGAGACACCACCGACCGACCCGGGGGTGTTCGATACAGAAAACAAGGCCATTTCAGGTGAGTTACTCGTGCCGGGGGCAACCGCGCACAGGATAGGAATCGCGCCGAGCAGGGTGAGCACGGCAGCTTCCAGCTACATAGAAGACATGGAAGACAGGGAAGAGGAGATCACAGAGGAGGCCCTGGCCTTCGCCCAGGTCCCCGTCCACATCATGGGGCGGCTATCAGTGAACCTGGTCGGGCAAGTCTACACCAACAACTCAGGCCGGAGCTGTTCGGACGGGACGAGCTTCGACAGGTCCATCTCGACGTTCGAGACGGAGGGCGAGATGGAGGAGGCCGAGGGCGAGGGGTACGCCGCGTCGACGGGGACGAGCGACACCGGCAGCCTCCGGGACGGGCACCTGCAATTCTCCCAGATCGACGTGACACAAGTGACACCACCCGCGGCCACCCAGGAGGCCCACCCCGGCGAGCAGGTGCTGCCACAGCAGGCGGCGGGGCACCCTCCACCAGCGCAGGCGCCGCAACCACCACAACCACCACCACCACCATCGCCCCCGTCGCGCCAGATCCGCGAGCAGGCCTCGATGTCGACCATGAACACGCAGACCTTCCTGCAGGGCAAGCCGCTCCCCCGGACCCCCCTGGTGTACGTGCCGCAGTACCCGGGGCCCTTCATCCGCAAGAAGGTGGTGGTGGTGGGCAACTTCAGCTGCGGCAAGACGTGCCTGATCACGCGCATGGCGCGGGGCCACTACCCCAGGGGGGACGGCAACGGCGACCGCGCGGGCGTGACGGAGACGGTCAGGGTGTCGGTCGACGAGGAGCCGGTCGAGCTGTCCCTGTGGGACATCCGGGGCATCGACTACGACCCGTCGTGGCTCGGCGGCGCGCAGGTGGCGCTCATCTGCTTCAGCGTGAACATCGCGTCGACGGACGCGAAGGGGAAGCACCTCGGGCGGGTGAGTAACCGCGCCAATCCCACAAGTGGCGAAACGCAATGACATTCAAACGAAAGACTGCAGTGCTAACCTGTGTGACAAAAACAAACAGTGGGTAACAGAAGTAAACCGCAACTGCCCGGGCGCCGCCATCCTCCTCGTCGGCCTCAAGAGCGACATCCGCTGGCACGCCAAGACGGTCGAGAAGCTGCGCAAGCACGGCAAGACGCTCGTGACCCCGGAGCAAGGGGAGCAGCTGCGCGACAGCATCGGCGCCACCCGCTACCTCGAGTGCTCCGCCCGCACGGGCGACGGCGTGCTCGAGGTCCTCGAGGAGGCGACGCGCGCCTCGCTGCTCGTCAACAACGAGGGCTCCAAGAAGGGCCACCGCCGGCCGCTCTCGCGGATCGGCAAGTTCCTCGGCCTGGGGGGCCGCTCGGACTGACCGGGCCGCCTGTAGGGTCGAGATACCTGATAGTGGTAATTGGGAGGGAGAGAGGGAGGGGGAAATTCCCTCTCTCTCCACATAATATTTGGCGCCCTTGAGAGGCTTCCGGGGGTTCATTATGATGCCGTAAAGGGTAGGCACTGCACATTTGCAAAACTTCATGATACGCTTGGCGTTCATCATTGTGGGATCTGGTACATATCGGGATGTATGTACCATGCGAGGGTTGACGACGTGTGTGCATATATTGTTTTTCGGTTTCGTGATAGCGTGCCTCGGTTTGATCAAACAACGGTCGACCGTGTCGAGTTGCACCTGGGAGTTGCGGAAAGCTGGGCTTGTACCCGGGAATCGACTGATACCGGCAGAAACGCAACAGTTTAGGAACGGGATATCGTTCCAAGCCCATGAACTTGAACAGAGCCCCTTGTGACCGTCTAAAAAGCTCAATGACCTCCGGGTTTGCTAAAATCGCCGTCTTATTCCAAGGGCTTGCCACTTGCGCAATTCCCCATTTCCGAAGCCTGACATTGTCGAAATACTCTCTAGTAATATTGGCCGGCACCATGATCATATCGCTCACTAAGTAAGCACATATCGGAGCACGTATAGGTACAACAGGCCGCAGGCAATTCATTAAGAACGGACGTGAGAGGTCATGCAGCAAGACCTCATTGGCTATGCCATTGCAACATGACGTTTCAGTTTCAGAATGACTCCAGTAAAGATGTTGAATAGGCCGCATTGTTTTGTAAAGACAAAAGCGGAAGGTCGTTGTCATCCTGTCGTGACAATGATTCAAATAGAAATGAGACATCAAGAAAACGTAACTATTAGTGTGCTCTTCATTTGTCGAAACGGGCTGTAATATTCACAGTAATAACGAGTATGTGGAGATCAAGAAATTAGTGAGTAACAATATGCCCTCTTTCAATCGTCCTCAATAAGTTCCAAGTCTGTTCTGACAATCTGAGGACTGAAGGATTTCAGACTTTAAAACCTTACAACTAGTAGAATTCTAGGCATAACATGATTTTAACCTCAGAGCAAGGTGTCAGAAAACACACGGCACGGCAAGTTACACTCGCAACGGCAGTCCTGTCTTGATAGCGAGTTGCTAAGCTCTGAGAACCCCACCTTGTGCTTTTTTGTCTCTTCGACTGTCGGTTCAAAGTGCCCTTTTGGAAGCGGAGATGCTGTGTTCTCGCCGGTAATCAGGGTAAATCGTGCCGTCGCGACTGCTCGAAACTCGAACTCAACAGGTTTTTGTTTCGCTTGACCCTGGTAGTCCATAATCGGACTAGAGTTGTATGCAGTACTCAGCCAGTATGGTGTGTCATCATCTGCGACTATTAACCCACACTTGGTGAGGCATTTGTGTAGTTATGTTGTCATTCAAGTCCTTTAGAGTTCCAAAGCATGCCGGAGATGAGGATCACAAACACTCGTCCATTCTAAAGCAGGACATTTGCAGATGTCCACGTGGGCTGATTGTGATGCGAAAGCTTCATGTCTGTATTGGTAACCGCCGCGAAGAGGCCCTCTGAGCTCTTCCTTTGTGGTGGGCTGAGCAACTAAAGAGTCAGTAGCTGCATTGCCGTTGCTGAGGAAAGAAGGAAGAGAGAGACCTAATGGCCTATAATCCAGGCTATGAATACTCATCGGAGTGGTATTTTCCTGGAGTCATGAAAGATTGCCAACATCCACCCAACCAGATCCTTCTATCCGGGTGCATGATACCTCAAATCAACGTCTACACTGCCTAGCATGAATGTGGAAGGTACAAGGGAAGCATAGAAGTTGTCTCGTTTGACCCAAATGGTTGAAATAGTGTGCTCTCTATCACAGAAACAACCAATACCAGGTCTAGGACGGGAGGATGAAAACTATCCGAGCAGTCCAAGTCCGACCGAGTCACCTTCATTCTTCGCAACATGCCAAGAGGACGCGTCGACCCTACCCCAGAATCTGAAAAGTCCCGCCATCGAGAATGCGGGGTCTGGGGAAAAGATGTCTAACCCAGAGTCATCATCGCCGCGCACTAGGCTGTGTTCGACGTCCTGAACCACCTGGACGGTGCGGAGGAGGATCAGCCGGCCGAACTAGAAGTCGGACTTTCCGAACTCGACAAAGTCGGCAGTTTTCCCCGTCGCAGCGGCAGCCCCACATCAACCACTGCAGATCCGGGCCCTGGCCCAAGCTTCCCGTTCAGCCTTTTCGGCATATTATTCCGTGGGGCCCCATCACTGGCCAGCCTGCTCCCCATGCGCAGAAACGACGTGTGCCGGACAGTGTCTCTGCAGCTGCCATGTCACGGCCTCGGCCACAGCCACAACCACGGGCGAGTCCGTTGATTCCGCGGCCGGTTCCAGCACCCCAACCAAGAACAAAGAGCTTCTCCCTACCAAACGCCCTGTCGCGCGTGGGGACCCCGGTGGCCAAAGGGACCTGGATCTTGGGTCGTGGAAACGATTCCGAGGACAATGGGTACGTCCGGTCCATGAACCAGGCCCCGTGTGCCTGGGACGCCGCCCCCGGGGCAGAACCACCCAGCTGATGGACGACGCCCCGTGTAGCGACGCCGCGACGCCGAGCGAGTCCAGCCGGTTCCTGGTGGCCGGAATCGACATCTTGGCGAATCCTCGCCTGCCAGTCGTCCCCGAGTCGCCCCTGAAGGACCGCAGGGAGGCTGTCCTCTTCATGCACTATGTGCACACGCTGTCACTATGGGCATGTTCACACAGCTCGCCTTGCCCACCCCAACACGGCGCCGCTGACAGCCACCTAGATCGACACGTGCGACAAGAAGGCACACTTCGGAACTGAGGTGCCCAAACGGGCGCTTCGCATTCCCCTCCTGGCATACGGGATCGTGGCATTCGCGTGCCAGCACCTGGAGCTCACCACAAACTCGCAGGACACCGAGTCTGCTGGGTACTACAACCAGGCGCTGCGCCTGCTCATCCCCGAGCTGGACCGCTCGGCCGACCACTTTGACGAGAACGTCCTCTGCGGCATCGTGCTCCTGCGCCTCTACGAGGAGAGGTCGGGGCGGCCCAGCGGCAAGGACATCACCGAGGGCCTGGTGTCCGAGGAGCTGGACATGGGGACGCACCTCCTGGGCAGCTCCCGCGTGCTCAAGAACTTCACGTCGTCCGCCTCGGGCGGGCTCGCCGAGGCCTGCTTCTGGGTGGTGTTGAGGCAGGACATGTTCATCTCCCTCACGCGGTCCCAGCCCCCGAGCGCGCCACTAGAAAACATCATGGGCTCGCGCGCCTTTACTGAATGGGACCCCGAGTCCATCGCCAACAGGATGGTCTATCTCTGCAGCAGGATACTCTCCTACGCCCTCGACCCCGTCAAAAACACCCAGACCACGTGGTGGGACCAGATGGATGCGGAGGTCGACGCCTGGAACAAGGCCAAACCGTGGCATTTCCAGGCCCTGTGGCTCGAGGAGCCATCGCAGAGCACAGCGGCCGCTACAGCGTTCCCAACCGTGCGGCTCGTGCGGCATGGCTACGTCGCGGGATACCAGCACTACCACATGGCCAAGATGCTTCTTGCAATATTCGACCCTCGGCTTTGTTCGAATGGGTTTGACACGTTCCGCCAGAGGCAGAGGGCGGACAGGACAGCCCTCGCGCACCTGCGCACACTCATAGGGATCTCGATAAGCAACCCGGAGGTGGTCAACTCCAGGTTCACGGCGACTCACTGCATACAGGCCTGTGGGTCGTGCCTGAGGGACCCACGCGAGCGGGAGGAGGTCGTCACCTTCCTGGAGGACATGGAGCAGCTGTCGGGATGGCGGTGCAAGTACGTGATCAAGAGGCTGAGGGAGGAGTGGTCACAGGACTACATCAGGCATATCTAATTGACTCGAGCGTCACGGCGAATAATATCATTGGTTTAGTGGTGACCGCAAGGAGCCATGCAGTCCCAGAGTGAGAGTGACAGCAGGCCGGCGTGCGGTAGCGAAATGCCATGCCCACGCAGGCCGCTGTCGTATAGATGCATACTCGCCAAGAGAGCAGCAAGCAAGGTCAAAGCAGGAGCCACCCGCCACCCCCACTCCATACCCAGTGTTTGGCCTGCACAGTACCCACCTGAGGCTCGAGTCTATTCTGACAGCCGCAGCAACCTTGATCTGGGGGTTCCACTTGAAGGAAGACGGGCAAACTTGCCCTGTTGAACTCCGCACGCGGTTGTCTGGCGCGAGACATGCCTAGTCTGCTGAGAGGGGCAATTCCCCCCGGGACCCTCCTTCTCCGCATTCTCGGGGGAACTTGACGACATGCACCCTCCTTCCATCGTGGGGTAGTGGGTACACTGTCGTCTCAGAGCTGGGGACAAGCAGATGCGCTTGGGGTATTTCCAAATGTAGTGATCTCCGCCAAAATTCGCCGACATTGTACTGCTTGAGTATACAGTCTGGTAGTTTTGGCACCGGTCCCTCATCCTGCCCGTGGGCGACTGCCAACCTAACCATTGGCGTACGTAGGAGAAGCCATGACACCAAGAATATAAGATCGTTCACAAGCTGAACCCCACGAAGAACCCCGTTGTCGATGTATTAGAGATCGATGCCAAAATATCTTTGCTGTTTGCACCCACATCTAAGCACAATGGCCGATCCAGTCTTCCAACTCAACGCGAGCTCATTAGCAAATACGTTTTTCCAAAGGGACGCTCTACCCGCTGAGGTGGCCCAAGTACTACGGCAACTCGCTCCCTCGTCTTTCGCAGATACCGCTGCCCTAGCCGCAGTCGGCCTCGTATCATCAGCATTTCTTCTCCGCCGGTACACATGGGACAAGCCGGACCCGCACGAGTATATCTTCTTTGAGAAGCCACAGGCTCAGGAGGGGTTCTTGAACAAGGTCAAAACCACCAGGAATATCACAGAGAGGCTGGAAGAACTTGTGAGTTGAGCTGAGGCCGTACAGACAACGTGCTCAGTGTTAACTAGATTTCCGCACGCAGAACAAAGATGCAGTGGTCTTCTGGGGCTCCCAGTCCGGCACGGCAGAGGGCTTCGCCAACCGCCTCGCGAGGGAGCTGCACCAGCGGCTCGGGCTAGACGCCCTGTCGGCAGACCTGTCGGACTTCGACTCCAAGACGATCGCGCTGCTCCCCAAGACCAAGATCGCCATCTTCATCCTCTCGACCTACGGCGAGGGCGACCCGAGCGACAACGCAGGGCCGTTCTGGGACTGGCTGACCAAGCTCACGGGCAGCGGCGGCGCCCCGCTGTCCTCGCTCCGCTACGCCGCGTTCGGCCTGGGCAACACGCAGTACAGGTACTACAACCGCGTCGTGGACGTGGTCGACGGGGCGCTCCAGAAGGCCGGCGCCGAGAGGCTTCTCGACGTCGGCAGGGCCGACGACGCAGCGGGCGCGACGGAGGAGGACTTCCTGGCGTGGAAGGACGACCTCTTCACCTTCTTCGTGAGGGGGCTCGGCATGCAGCAGCACGAGGTCAAGTACGAGCCCCAGCTGTCGGTCGTGCAGGACGACTCCCTCGACCTGGCCGACCTGCACCTGGGCGAGCCGCTCCGCTCTGCGGACAAGGGCGCCAGCGAGGTCCGGCCGCTCAAGATCCGGGGCGCCCGCGAGCTGTTCAGCGACACCCCGCGCAACTGCCTGCACCTCGACCTCGACCTCACCGAGCACCCCCAGATCACCTACAAGACGGGCGACCACCTCGCCGTCTGGGCCATGAACCCGGACGAGGAGGTCGAGCGGCTCCTTACGGTCCTGGGCCTCGCGGGGCGCCGTGACGTCCCCCTCCTGGTGCAGGCGCTCGACAAGTCGGTCAAGGTGCCGGTACCCTCGCCCACGACCATCGAGGCCGTCCTGCGGCACTACCTCGAGATCTGCGCCCCGATCTCCCGGGACGCCGTCAAGGCACTCGCCCAGTTCGCGCCGACGGAGCAGGCCAAGGACTTCCTCGCCGCCCTGAGCGAGGACCGCGCCAGCTTCTCAGAGTTCACCGCCGACAAGCACCTCAACCTCGGCCGGCTCCTCGAGATGGCCGCGCAGCAGGGCCAGTCCGGCAGCGACAACAGCAGCACATGGGCGTCCCTTCCGCCCTCCTTCCTCATCGAGACGCTCCCCAAGATGCAGCCCCGGTACTACTCCATCTCCTCCTCGAGCATGATCTCCCCGCGCCACCCGACCATCACCGCCCTGGTCTCAACCACACCCCTAGCCACCTCCACGCCAGGCACACCGTCGCCCTCAGCACCAGCCTCCATCCCAGGCCTGGCAACAAACTACCTCCTCGGCCTCTCACACTCCCTCACACCAGAGACCACCCCCGCCCCAACCCACCCAGCAGGCCTGACATACCCCCTCGCCGGCCCCAGCGGCGCCCTCTCCGGCGGGCGGGTGTACGCGCACGTGCGCAGGTCGCGCTTCAAGCTGCCCGCGCAGCCGTCCCACCCGCTGGTCATGGTCGCCGCGGGGACGGGCGTGGCGCCGTTCCGGGCGTTCCTGGCGGAGCGGGCGCGCATGCTGCAGATCGGCAAGGAGGCCGGCGAGATGGTCCTGTTCTTCGGGTGCCGGCGCCCCGCCGAGGACTACATCTACCGCGAGGAGCTCGAGGGGTACGAGCGCGAGCTGGGCGGGAGGATGCGCATCGTCACCGCGTTCTCGAGGGAGGATGGCGTGCCCAAGACGTACGTCCAGGACCGGGTCAGGGAGCTTGGTGCGGATGTTGTGAGGCTTGTGCTGGAGGGGGGTGCGTCGGTGTACATGTGCGGCCGGGCGAGCATGGCGAGGGAGGTTGGCGGGGTGGTGGGTGAGCTGGTTGGTAAGGAGAAGGGGTGGGGCCAAGAGCAGATCAAGGAGTGGACCGAGAGGATGAAGAGGGGCAGGACATGGCAGGAAGATGTTTGGGGATAGACAACCTGAATTCTGTTGGTTTTCCATTTTGTCCATAGAAGCGATCATTGAATTATAGACACATGCTATTTCCATGAAGGCCATGAGTGGGCTGTAAAGATCATGGCAAATATATGTTTCTCGGGAGCTTTACGCCACAGAGTTTGATATGTTCGAAGTACCAGCGCCAACGAGTCCGCATATTTGCACAAGATGCTCGACTCCCAGCGTCACAACACTCATTTGCCCACATCACAATATACTGCTGCTCGGAGCGCTGGACAAGGCTTCGGCATCACGCACCGCCCCACCGCGTTGTCAAGTCTGTCTCAGAGCCTCCCGCCTACAGAAAAGTCAGCACACAACTCGTCTTTCATCACGTCGTTCAACTCACGCTGGCAGGGTCGACCAATTTAGCCCCTTCTCCGTCCTGAGCAAAACATCCAGCAGAGCCTGCTGCTCATCAGGGTCGTCGAAGCGGTCACCGGCTAGGGCAATAGCCATGCTCGCGGCCAGGTGCGCAGTGTTGACATGGCTGATGGCGTCGGCAATGCCGCACACGATCCTGACGTCCTCGCGGAGCGTCTCGTCCATGGACCGCACCGCGGCCTTCTGCTCGAGCCCGAGCCTTGGTATGCCCGGGTCATAGGCGATGAGCAGGATGCGCACAAGGTGGTAGTACTGCAGCCCGAGGACGGCGTGTTCGTTTAGGAGGAAAATCTCCGGGAACGGCCTGTCCTCCTCCTTACAGATGAACACCGGGCTGAACGTCTCAGGCCTGTTCTTCATCCACTCCTCTGCGTACTCGACGAGCGCGCTGTGCTCGGCCAGGCTCTTGTCCTCCCCGAAGCAGTAGCATATCACGTCCACGAGAAGGAGGGTGATCCTGGCGGCCCATCTCCGATCATCACCCGGGCTCGTACTGGTCGGGTCGATATTGAGGCACTCCCTGTACAGGATGGGCGTCTTCTGATGCATGATGGCCATGTAGATGGCCTGCCGGACACTTGCCCAGAGGACTGGCTGCCCCACAAAGTCGACGAGCTCCAGCACCAGCTTGGACTGGATGAGCTTCATGTCAAGAGAGTCTGACTCTGCGATCGGTTTCTCCCTCGGTGTCTGGATGACCATGTGGTGCTGGAGCAGGACAGCAGCGGCCAGCAGGCCTGTGCTCTCATCCACCATGCCAACCACGCAGCCGTTCAGCACGGGCGCCAAGTCCTGAAAGGCGTCGCGGAGGTAGGCCTCCTCCTCAGCGGACGGAAATCCACCAAGGCCGTTCCGGGCACTCTTGACAGTGACGGCAAGGATGGCTTTATACAAGAGAGGGCATATGGAGGATTTGTTGGGGAGAACGGAGGCGAAGGTCTTTTCCTGGTCGCATATGTCAAATTGTGGTGCTATACCTATGCTAAACCGGTAGATGAGATCTGCCTCATGGGCATTCTTCAGTGGCAAGAGAGACGCGTCGACCTTCGGGTACAGTGGATGTGGGTTATTTGAATGTGCGGTCTCGGGTGATGGAAAGGATGACGGGGTGGGGAAGACATTCAAGGCGGGCGTCCGAGGTCCTTTCGGTTCTGAGACGCCGTGTCTTGAGCCAGCATCTTGCTCATAGTAAGAGCGGCCCGATGACGAAGGAAGGGCACTGCCGGTGTCATGGAATAGCGCGGACCTTGAGGCCGGCAGCCGAATAGTAGGTGTGGGACTGAGTGCGGTCGAGGCATCGGGAGAGGGGGGGTCCTGATAAAGTACGGGGCCCTGGAAGCCCTCCTCGTCGTCGTCACTGAGGTCTCCTTCGTAGAACGAGGCCACCTCCTCGGTCTCGTCGACGAACCTGATCCTCTTGTTGGTGGTCTTGCACCACGTCTGGTCCGAGGTGAAGGTATACTGGCTCTGGTCCAGGCTGTAGCACGGTACGGCACACGGCAGCCCAATCAGCACACATGATCCGAGATCCTTCTACAAGGATGGTGCCAGGGACTGGGGACAGGGCGGCCTGCGGAGGCTGCTTACCCCGGATTGTACGTGTGACGGAACCGGACCCTGATTCCTCGCACGCAGGGCTGGCCTCTCTTAACACACTGGGAGCACTGCTCCTTGGTGTCGCCTGTGATGGCAGTGGCTCATTAGTAAGGCCGACGCCGTGATTGGAGGCGTGACAAGACAGGGTACCCACACTTCAGATGCCTACAGAGGCAAGACACAAGCTCAGATTAGCTTATGGTTAGGTCGAAGGGCCGGTCGTACGACCTCGATACGTGTAAGAGGGTACGCCTAGCAGGAGAGCGTGCGTGATACGAGTGTGTGTATGTGTTTTATCCGGGCCCAGCTCGCAGACCGAGACTCGGGCGGCAGTGGCGCCGAGTCCCACAGGTGTGCTTGCTTACCTCGACCGGCATCCCTGGGAAAGGAGCAAAGCACCTGGGTCAATCTCACGGGCATTTCTTTCTTGTTTGGGAAGACAGCACTCACATCACACCCTGGCCTCCTCTTCTTTGTCTCCGTCTGAGGTCCAGGCGGTGGCATCTTGCGGCAGGACGCGTAGCCGAATCCCAACCTCGAAGAGGACACGAGGGAAAGACAGCGCGCGCACCGTGGCCAGAATCAGAAACAAGGGGTGTGGAAAGCCAAAGCAGGGTGGGTGACGGTGGGCTCGCTGGTTTATAGCTGTGTTTGGCAGAGGGGGAAAGAATCCCGCGGTGCTTGATCGCTCTGCATTGCTGGGGCGCTTGTCAAGTCACAGGTCTTGGGGCGTCTGGGGTGTCAGGGAATCTGGCGAATCTGCGAGCCAGGAAAGCGTGTGGGGAAGGGGTCTTGCCCCTGTTGAGGATCGGATTGACATGTGTGTGGGGGTGGGGGACGGCCCCTGCCCTTTCCTCTTTTCCAACGTGCTCTTTTTCTGGGGTACTCCTCCAAGGCCCTGCCCTGACATCACCCGCTGGACTGCATTGCATTACTGCACATTGGACAGGCTAACTGTGCCGAGTCGATCCAGCCCTCCACCCAATCTGGCCAATATGTGTCCGTGTGCGGGTTGGATGGAGAGGCGGAAGCTTGCACACCTGCCAAGTCTGCCCAACCCACACTAGCCAGCATCATCGTGAAGGGGTCACCGCACACCGGATGAGGGGAAGGTCGTGTACTGTGTCAAGCACTTGCGTCAGTGGCCCAGGTGTCTGTGTGGATGGACCAAAGGCAGCGTCCCAGGCTTGAACAGGATTCGTTCGCCGATCAGGCTTGTAACTATCGCACCCGCGTTTCCCAAATTATACCCAAAGCTCCAAAGTAGGACACTATCTCCATGAAACCTCTGCGAGCCTCGTACCCGTTGCCGACGACCCGCAAGGGCGACTGCTGCCCACCTATCCCATGCCATCCCTCCCATGCCATCCCATCTAGGACGCACCGCTTACATCGCCAGCCCGGCTGGTGTCTGTGATGGAGGGTAGGCAGAGGTCGCGAATATTTAGACTATGTCCATGTTGAGTAGTGCCCGTGTCGAGTGTATCTCTTTGACAACGTTCACTTCCTGCTCTATGCCAACATCATCACTCTCTAAAACAGTCCTGTCAATACTAAGAGGCTTCGCTTAGACGTGGACTTGATATTGTAACCTCACACCTTAATCATTCAACAATCATATTTCCACCTAGCCTCAGCCCTTGACAAAGAAGACAGCACAACCTCCAGCACCGTCATGGGGACTCCTCTGGTGTCGTGGGCATCGGCCCCTTACGCCGCAGCCCTGCTGTTGTTCGTCGTCTCCTACTTCATCATATACCCCTTCGTAGAGTACATCCGAGATCCCAAAGGTAAACAAAATACCGGCACCCAGACAGGAAGATAGCAACCAGTTGGCTGACAGTTATGCCCCAGGCCTGCGAAGGTTTCCCAACTTCAGCCCCTTCTCTGGCATCTCCAGCATCCCCTTCACCATCCTGGCCCACTCGGGCGACCGGTCAAGGCGCCTGGCCAAGCTGCACAAGGACCGGCCCATCCTGCGCACGGGGCCCAACACCCTCTCGTTCGGCACCGTCCGCGCCATCAAGGACATCTACGGCCACGGCACGCCCTGCGTCAAGGATGAGTCGTACGCTCTCCTCGCCGGCACGCACTACCACCTGGCCGACGTCGTGGACAAGAGCGACCACGCCCGCAAGCGCAAGGTGCTGTCGTCGGCGTACGCGCTCAAGAACCTCGAGAGCTGGGAGTACAAGGTAGCCGACAAGGTGGAGCGCATGATCGGGCAGTTCGACAGGCGGTGCGCCGCCCTCCCGCAGAAGGACGGCACGTTCCCCGGCGCCGAGGAGCTCAACATCGACTACCGAATGTGGACCAACTTCTTCGCCCTCGACGCCATCGCCGACATCGGGCTGAGCGACCGCCTCGGCTTCCTGGACCAGGGCACCGACCGCGTCGTCGCCCAGCGCAAGGACGGCTCCACGTACGAGACCAACCTGCGCCAGTGCCTGTACCCCACCGCCCGCAAGCAGTCGCTCCTGATCTGGTCCTACGGCTGGTACAAGCTCATCGACAAGATGGCCAACGTGATCCCCTTCTACCGCCGCATGACAGAGTCCTCCCGCGGCTGGGACGACATCATCCTCGGCCGCGGCAACAAGCGGCTGGAGCGCTACCGCGCGGGCGAGAAGCTCGACGACTTCTTCCAGGCCCTCATGGAGGACAAGTCCGGCTCCCCCAACCTGCTCGAGTGGGGCGAGATCCTCGCCGAGGTCAACATCATGATGAACGCCGGCAGCGTCACCACCGCCATCGCCATCGCAAACGTCACCTTCCAGCTGCTCAAGAACCCGGCCTGCCTGCGCCGCCTGCGCGAGGAGATCGACGCCGTCCTCGATCCGGACGAGGTCGTCGCCCCTTACGACAAGGTCAAGCACCTCCCCTACCTGCGCGCCTGTCTGGACGAGTCCCTCCGCCTCTTCCCTCCGACGCCCCACGGCCTGCCTCGCGCCACCCCGCCCGAGGGATCAATGATTCTGGGCGAGTGGATCGCCGGAAACACCACCGTCAGTATCTCCGCCATGGTCGCCCACCGCGACGAGAGCGTCTTCTACGAGCCCGAGAAGTTCATCCCCGAGCGCTGGATAGGAGAGAAAGGCAAGGAGCTGCAGCCGTACTTCGTGACCTTTAGCGCCGGTAAGTAGCTTTTAGATATAATGTCAACCCCCTTAAGAAGTAACCTCTCCCATTTGGAGCCTGTACCTCAAGATTTCCGTCAGGCGGCAGATTGTGAGACAGGCTATGACCACGCTGTGGCCTATTCCTCCCTGCACTTGCATACAGCTACTCCCTCATTACTTTGAGCTGACAAATTTTAGGGGCCCGCGGCTGCATCGGTAGAAACATCTCGTATCTGGAGCAGACTGTCTGTGTGGCGAGTATACTACACAGATACGACATGGCCATGGCGCCTGGATTCGAGTTAGAGAGGCTGGAGACAATGAACCACATCCTCGGGCCGATGCCTGTGAAGATGTGGAGGAGGCAACTGGATGCCGAGTATGAGTGATGAACTAGCATAGGCGCTTAACGAGTTAAATTTGTCAGAATAGTTTGGGTTATCACGAGTTTGATAGAATTGAGTCATTACCTAAATATGTCCTCTATGCCCTCCAATGCTTGAAAAAGAATCACCGAGTGATGCCAACGTAAGACCAAGGCTTTGCAATGCTCTCTAGTCCCAATACCGAATAACTCCATCTGCTCCAGCTGATACCAGCTTGGAGGTCTCCTGGGGGTGCCACTTCACGCACGTGATGGGGTCCTTCGTCTCGATCTTGTGGTACATCTTGCATGTCTTCCAGTCCCAGAAGACAAGATATCCCGCCGTGTCACCACTGGCGATAAACTGCCCATCGGGACTGATGTCGATGTCGATAGCCGTTCCTGCGTTGTTGTGTCCGCGGTAGCTCTTCTTCCGGTTCTGGCGGAATTTATCGTTGGCATTGTATACCACAATTTGGTTGTCGGAAGATTGGTAAGCAACGTATTTTCCAGAAGGATGCAAGGCGGATCGTGTCATCGGGTACATGTACGTCTCGGCGATGTACTTGATAGGGACGGGGATGTTGTAGTCCCATGCGCGCAGCGACTTGTCGTCCGACGTGGTCATAAACCGGTCGCCGTCTTGCGTGAAGGTGATGGTGTTGATGGCCGCCAGATGGTGGTCGTACTCCTGGACAGTCTCGTTGCCTGCACGCGTGTCGAACTGAACAATCTTCTTGTCGGACATGCCAGCCAGGAACTCGTGGCCGTGCTCAGCTGTCGGGTTGAAGACCAGGCAATGGGGGGTTTTGCCAGTGCTGAATTTGCTGATGCACTTTCCGGTCTCGGTGTCCCAGAGCTTCATCTGCCTGTCATACGACCCGGACAGGAACCTCGTGCCATCGTTGTTGAAAGACAGATCTGATACCGCCTTGGAGTGGCCAGAGAACGTCCGCAAGAGCTCCTTTTGGTGGTAGACGTCCCAAATCTTGATGGTCGTGTCCGCCGAGCCCGACAACAACAGGTGGCCACTGTGAGGGAAGAATCGCAGCGACGTGACCGCCTTGGTGTGGTGCTTCCATGTGTGCACCATCTTCTTGGGAATGTAATTGGTGACACTGCCCGGCTCCTTTCGCAGGTCGATGTCCAGATCTTGCGGGACATGCATGTACGTCCGGCCCTGGTAGTCGTACTCGCTTTCGCCGTGGAACGTCGTGGTCTCGTCGCCCAGCTCCTCGACTGCTTTCCGCCTTGCCAACGCTTCTGTGGGTGCAGCGACCACGGCGCCGCTCTCGATCACGTCGTCGCCATCTTCATCCTCGTAGACAATCTCGTACTCCTCGTCGCTGCCCAGTTCCGCCTCTTCGTCGACCTCCTCGTATTCAGTCCTCTTGTACTTTGCCCAGGGCCCTTTGTACTCGCCGTCGCCCTCTGCGATGAGTGCGCTGCCTTTGCCCTCTCTCTTAGCCCGGATGGCAGCAGCCTCTTCCTTGATCTGCTTGCCGCTCTTGTCTTCCCTTTCTGGACCCTCGCCGCGTTCTACCGCGCGGTGTTTGGCTCGGAAGGCATGCTCGCCAAGGTATGTCTCGGTCGCGTATCCGGTGAGCACGTTCTTTCGCTTGAGAGACGGGTGGGAGACCTCGTCGCGAAAAGGGTTGGCGGGTCCGACCTTTGGTCGCGCGAGGTCTTCACCAGTGTAGGGCACGACTGCGTGGTCCGGCTCGGCTTCCTGTCGGACGATGAGGGCATCTTGGGGCGCCATATTCGGCGGGTATGCGCCAAAGTCGGCCATTGTGGGTGTCGCGAATGAAGACGGTAGCGAGTTCTGTGGTGTGTGAGAGTGAGAGTGGGTACGTCTGTACGGCGGGAAGGCTCTCTGCGCAACGCAGGAAGGCTCGATTAAATATGTTATTTTTGGGCAAGAATTGCCTACCAAGACAGAAGCCGTTGCGCAGTTAGACCGCTGTTAGACGGCAGCTGCATGAGGTAGGGGTGAGAAGCCAAGTCTTATCGATAAGCGCCCTGCACTGCTGCTTGCTTTTGGTCCCACGCCATCCCAGCGATAGTTGTTCCAAGGCTATAGTATCCCAGAAGAGATATCTCGCAAGACAGTCTCCCACAGGAGAGTATCCCACATTGAATTATCCTTAATTATTATAAGACATTCTCCTATAGGCAAGTATTCCACAGGAAAGTATCTCATAAGAAAGCATCCTACAGGAAGGTATCCCACAGGAAGGTATCCTCTAGAAAGTATCCCAAAGGAGGGTAGCGGACAGGAGGTTAACGGTCATCCGCGGAGAATGGTATGCTAGGTACACCGGAAGATCAAATTTTGGCTCCCTGCAGCCTGTTCTGGGACACCGAAGAGCCAAGTATCAAGCATACCTCTCTGCTGCAGGGACTGGCTGACAGTCCAGCTTGAGTCCTTCTCAAGTTCCCAAAAACGCCATCGAACGCAGAGCATGTGGGCATCACAAGGAACTGCAGAGGTTCTGTGTATCGTGATAATCATCCATAACTGCATTTGCTTCCATATAATCCTTTGACTCCTCTCCGCCACGCCGATTATTGCACGACCGTACACGAATGATCATCGCGACATTGTGAGACATTGTATCGTATCCACCATTCATGCTCCAAGCAAGTCATCCAGCCAGCAGCGTCCCTGTCTGAAGTATGCGCTGCCGCTGCTATCCCCTGGCCCAACCCAGCCTCAACCACGATCCCCTCCGCAACTGTCCACCTAGTGATAGCTTCCTTCCTTATCACCGTTCCCCTGGGCTAATCGTCCGCTCCTCCATCCGCACCGGAACTTCGGCCACCGCGTAGTCGCCTCGTAGCGGTGTTTGGGCGTGTCCTCTCTCTCTCTCTATCGGAGGTTGCTTCCTGGCCCCCTCCTCTCAGCCGGCTGCGTCCAAGAGCCTTGAGGAGGCCGCTTGTAGGTCATGACCGCACATGAGAGATCGCTCGGGAGCGCGCCTCTTAGTTGGCCTCGTCCTTAATGAGGGCAACGATCATCTTGTAGAGGTAGAAGAAGAACATGAGCAGGTGGAAGCCGAGCTTAATGAAGGACTCCTTCTTATGAACGTTCAGCTTCCTAAAGATCTCGGTTGCGTCCAGCAGGTGCGTGTTCTCGACGATCCTACGGTGCGGTCAGTCAGCCATCTTGTCATCGCCCGACTGGAGCTCCAGAGCTCGGGGCGCATCGCCTGTTCCCAGGCGGTGGAGGGTGACGTACTTCTTCGCATTCCAGGCCAACAGCGGAAGGTTGACTATCAAAGGAATCCAGTATCCGTTGATGAGGAACAAGAAGGTTAAGAATCCGTGTACGGCAGCCTCGGGGATGATGTAGGTGTTCAGGCGGTTGCAGAGGTCGATGGGGTTGATGTAGTCACTGCAGAGCATATCGCATTAGCATTACCATGGCACGCAGGACCAGCAATGGTCTTTTGCTGGCGAGGGGAGGGACAAGGAGCAGGCTTTGTACCATTCGAGATCGCTGTACATAATCGTGAAGAAGACCTGCAGGAACAAGTTGACGGCGTTTATAAGCACCGAGAACAGGAAGAGCCACGCCTCGCCAGACATCTTGTTGGTTGGATTGGAGCTATATCCTAATTGAGTGGTGTAGTTGCGACTCGGGTCTCTGGAGCTGCGACCGCCGGGAGCTTGGACTCGAAGCGACGCGATGCGATGGTGTGTATGTATGTAAGGATACGGCACACAGATCTGGATATCCCGCAGAGGTGGGCAGGCAGAGGTGGAGAACCGGCCGAGGGCGAGCTTATCACAGACGAGCAGACCAGACGAGACAGGCGCGAAGGATTTTCTCGGGTGCCAACAACGGCAGCTGCTGCCTCGATGGGACAAGACACAACACGACAGCTCAGGAAGAGGGGATCGGTGGTGGCGGTACAGATGCGGATATCTGTCCTCGAGGTTTGGATTTTGCAGCGGTCCGAAGCGGCGGTGGCAGGTCGAGGAAGGGGAGGACGAGGTGTGTCGAGGTCGGTAAGGCACGAAGCAGCGGGATGATGTCGCTCGCTCCCCACACTAGACTACACTGGGAACTGTCCACGCAAAAATGCTGCCTTTCCAAGGTTCAGAGCTTTGCCCGCCGCCCCGTTGTTTGGGGTGAGGGGGGGCGTCACTCGGGCGACTCCTCTGCCCGGCAGCCAATGGCAGAGCTCCCAGGATGGGTAGCTCGGGGCCGTTGGGGTTCAGCTGGGGCAGCATGTGGCGCGAGCTCTGCTTACCCAGGCCTGCTGTGCCACCAGGATCGCTCTGCCCAGACTGCCAGATAAGGCGTGGCCCCCAGCCTCAGCAGATCATTTATTTTATGATGCGGGCGATCAAGATGGTAACACAGGCAAGTAGTAGACTATAATATTTTCCAGACAGACTCAGCAGTTGCCCGGAGACAATGGCGAAATGAGTTGTCTCGCATAAGCGATTAGATCATGCAAGATGAGCACTTGAGCAAACTGCGTGGGAGATAGACCTGCGGAAATTCATCGCAGATTTGCTCATGTTGCCCCAGCTACGCACGCTGTGCACATTAATCAACGCTCATGGCCCGACACGTATGAACACCATCATTTCAACGCCGATATCTCATCCATTTACTCAGCTCCATTAGTCGCCTTTTCAGGCACAGGTATAGGGCCTCCAGGAGAGTTCGGGAGACGTGCAGTCAGGACCTCAACACCATCCTCAGTAACAAGCAAGGTGTGCTCTAAAAATGTGTGTCAGTTGGGGCTCTTCTCAAGTCGTGCTTCGAATGCTAAATGCGTGGAACAACTTACCGAACTGGGCCGTCTTCTTCCCGTCAATAGTCGTGCTGGTCCAGTTGTCCGGCCATGTGATATCACGATACTTGCCCAGCGCAATCATCGGCTCGATAGTAAAGGTCTGTCCAGGCTTGCACTCGCCAACTGCCTTGTTCTTGGCGTAATGAGGGATGTTTGGCGGGCAGTGGAAGATCGTGTTAATGCCGTGGCCGACGTAGGTCCGGATGACGCTGGTGTTCTTGGTCTTGGCGTGCTTCTCGATCGCGTTGCCAAAGTCACGGTACAGCGTCCCTGGCTTGACGAGCTTGATCGCCTCATCCAGGCACTCTCTGGCCGCTTCAACGACGCGCACAGTGTCAGGGTCTGCCTTCGCCCGGTCGCCCACGTAGTATGTCTCATTCAGGTCACCGTGGTAGCCCTCATGGTAGAGCGTGACATCCAGGTTCACAATGTCGCCGTCCATAAGAATGCGCTGGTCGGGAATGCCGTGGCAGATGACCTCGTTGATCGAGGTGCAAACAGACTTGGGGAAATGGTTGTAGTTCAGGGGCGATGGGTAGGACTAGAACCAACGTCAGTCTCCGTGTTCCGCAGCCACTCCTGATGGCTCTCCTTATGGCCCCAATGCTCACGTTGCGCTTGATACACTCATCGTGTACGATTCTGTCGATCTCGTCGGTAGAAATGCCAGGTCGGACCGCAGCAGCAGCGATGTCGAGAACCTCTCGCGCCAGCCGGCAGACCTTGCGCATCGCATCCTGCGCCTTCTTGTCGAGGATCTCAACCTTGTTCCGGTTGACGAGGGACCGTCCTGCCTTGGGAATGCCATCGGCGGCGTAGTCGGGGTGGGGGATCGTCTTTGGGATTTCGCGTCGCGGCGACAGAGGGTAAACGGGTCGAAGAGGACCGGTGTAAGAAAAGTTCGGGAACGGGTTGAAGTAGCCGGTCTCTGGGTCAGGTTTAGATACTACTTTGGGCGGGATATTCAAGGTATTTTGGATAATACTGTTTTCTTGCTTGTGCATTGACTTATGAGTGCCCTGAACAGAGATGCTGGTCAGCTACGAGCACCACAGCCTGCCGCCCACGTCGCGCACCACGCGACTGAGTGATGTTGTAGAGGTGGGGCAAGGAGGACATCGTCTTTCAGCCCAGAGATGGACTAACCCAGTTCTTCTTGAAACAGTCCTGGGAGCAAAAGAAGCTGTCCTTGATCCCCAACTTCAGGCATGTCGGGCACTGGAGCGACCCAGCATCGTTCTCGCAGTCGACGCTGAGGCACTTGCGCTTGGAGGGAGGCTCGTCGGTCATGGTGGACGGGGGGTTCGCGTGTCAGTCGCAAAGGCCGTTGACGGGCTGGAGCAAATTCGGATCCCGGGAATTAGAGAATGTTGACGGTGTACGAACACGGGACAAGCCAAAGAGTCACAGAAGCTCCAGAGTCGGAAAATAGGGGATTAGACAAGTAGCAACACCTTTTTTCGTCTCACTGCCAACGGACAGTCAGTCGCTAAATCCGTCTTCTTGAAAATGCAAGTGGGCTAAGTGGGCGGGAATCAGAGCATACCGGGGGCAGGGATTGCAACTGAACCCACCTGCCCGCGCCTTTGTGTTGACCCGAGGACCCTGAGTAACTGCCTGCCTTTCTCAGGTAGATAGATACTGGGGGCGTTGGGCCCGGGGGGTTGCTCCAACCCTGAAATCGAGGGTTTGCGCAGGCAGGCCGGCAGGGCAGGGCAGGGCCCGGCAATAACCGTGCCTCGATCGGCCGAGAACATTTCGGCATCATCAAGACCAAGATGCTATCGGCCGGCGTCTCCTGCATCGACTGGAGTTAAAGTATGTGTTGATGGGCATTGGATGGCTCAACAATTGGTAGAATTATCATCAAGGCATCTCTGCTTCCGCTTCCGGCCCCACAAAGGTCTGTCGAGGACGGTTCGAAGATCTACTGAGGTTATTCGCAGAGAGAAAAGTTGCTGCTGCTGCTTAGTCTTGGTCGTTCCGCACCCTGATCTTCCGCCCTTCCGACTTCCGAAAATCTCCTGATCATAAGAGCTTCATAGACTTTCACTGAGCAGTGTGCTAGAACAGCCATATGTAATCTGTGTTCACGCCTCTTCATCTTCTCTTCGTTCAGTGAAACATATAGCACATCATGTCGTCAACCAAGGTCGTTGTGGTGGGAGCCGGACCCGTCGGCTCGCTAGCAGCTCTGTATGCTGCACAAAGAGGCTACGAGGTTGAGATCTACGAACTCAGAAATGGTATGGATATCCCCAGACATTTCAAGACATACAGTCCAATTCCATAAATGGGCTGCATCAAGTCCCAAAAATCGCCATGTGCAGCCCTCGGAGTCTGAGGTAGATGCTGTCGACGGCCGACCTGAACTGCACTCACGAATGCCTTCGCCCCTGACTCACTGCTGACGGAGCATGCGCAGACCTGAGAGATCCCTCAACGGTACCTCTGAACTTCACCAAATCCATCAACCTGGCTCTCTCAGTACGTGGCATAACTGCCATGCAGAATGCAGAGCCAAATACGCCACAAGGGGAGCGCAAGCTGCTGGACCATGTCCTGGCCGCCACAATCCCAATGAGAGGTCGCATGATCCACGGCAGGAAAGCAAATGGAGAGTTATACGAGGAGGGACAGGACTACGATGTACACGGACGGGTGAGTACAATTTCAGCTAGATCTTATCTTGAACTCGAGGTTGACGCAGCTGCCAGACAATTTTCGCCGTGGACCGTGGCGGCCTGAACAAGCGCCTCCTGGACGTGCTCGAGAGCATGCCCAACGTCAAATTCTTCTTCAACCACAAGCTCACAGGCGCGGATTTCCGCAAGCGCAAGGCATGGTTCGAGCACAAGGACGGCACCTCCGAGAGCCGGCCGACGGAGATCGAGATCCCATTCGACTTCATGATCGGCGCCGACGGCGCCCACTCGTCGGTGCGGTACCACATGATGAAGTACACGCGCATGGACTACGAGCAGCGGTACATCGACGCGCAGTGGTGCGAGTTTCAGATCCAGCCCAGTGAGCACTTCGACGCCGCGAACCCGATGAGCCAGTTCCGCATCAGCCCGAACCACCTGCACATCTGGCCCGGAAAGGAGTTCATGTTCATCGCCATCCCCTCCGAGGACGGCACCTTCACGTGCACGCTGTTCGCTCCGGGAGAAAAGTACGCCTACCTCGAGGCGAACCCGGCCAACATCCCGGAATTCTTCGACAGGTACTTCCCCGGCGTGACCGATCTCATCCCCGTGGCCGACCTGGTCGACAGCTTCCAGCGGAACCCCCACCTACCGCTCATCACCATCAAGTGCAAGCCGCACCACTTCTCGTCGTCCGTCGTGCTCGTCGGCGACGCCGCGCATGCCATGGTGCCGTTCTACGGCCAGGGCATGAATGCTGGCCTGGAGGACGTGCAGACCCTCTTCACGTTCCTTGACAAGCACGCGGGTGGGGATCGTGCGAGGGCTCTGGACGAGTACACTGCCCACAGGGTACCCGACGCGCACAGTATCAACGACCTGGCGCTGCAGAACTACGTCGAGATGCGCGCCAGTGTGTTGAGCCCGACGTATAGGCTGAGGAAGTTCCTGGAGGAGAGTCTGAGCAAGTACCTGCCCAGCCTGGGCTGGCAGACCAAGTACAGTCGCGTGTCATTCAGCAACGAGAGGTACTCGGAGGTCATCGCGAGGAGTGACTACCAGGGCAAGATTTTGATGAGGGTCTTTGGGGCCACGGTCGGAGTCCCGCTGATGGCTGGTGGTGCGGTGCTGTGGTTCAGGTATCGGAGGGTTATAGAGACCGGGGTTAAGGGGGCAGTCAACTGGTTGGTGAACACCGTGAGTCGGTGATCTCCGTCTCCTCCCTCAAGACCTTGACTCTTGGCAGACGCGATGTGTAGAGAAACTTTGTACGAAATAGATCATTTAGAAGCGTAATCTGACGAAGCTGAAAACGCCTCATGGTGTAACAAATCGCCAGGAGTTCGCGTCGATGACTCCAAGCAAGCCAGTTTGCTTTGCACAAACATTCCTGTGCACCATCAACAATCACTTACATTGCCTCGAATGCCGTCAAGGCCCGTTTGCTTCGGGCCGGTTTTCAACCCGGCTTCCGCGTGTGCTGCCCCCGATCCGGTCACGCCGCCTCTGGCCTCGTCTTCGAAAGCAACTCGATAATATCCTGTACAGAATATATCCTAGCACCCCAATTATGCAGCCCACGACGAAGCCTCCTCCAAATTGAACACCGAATGACTGGTTCCCGATGACATCCAGTGTTCTCGTATCCGGGTTATCGTTCGCAGAAGAGCCGCTGTCGTCGACTGGCACTGTAGCACCGGAATTGCCCGAGATGTCATTGATTCTCGAGTCATCGCCTATAATGATATCTTGGGGATAGGCGAAGGCGGTTTGTATATTCGCAAGTATTATTAGGAGGAAACAGAGGATTCTTTGTGGTGCAGGCAGCATCGTCCGGTTCTGGCGGAGCATCGATAGCCACATCTCGGGTTGGCTCAACAAGACAGCCCAAGCCCGGGATTCCCAACACTCTGCTACCTCTGGTGCGACTTCTGATATGACTGTGCGGAAAATGACCTGGGTTGTCGAGGATCACTGCATTTGAAACCTTGAGTCGGGAAGGCAGTGTTCATGGCGCCCCCGCCGGCTAGTTGCTTACGACGACGTGTACGACGCAAGTTTACCGTAAATATGGCACATGAATTGTTGGTATGGTAGGAAAAGTTATCAATAGCGCATAACAGGCGAGTATTTGCGCCTCGCTTGCACCAGGCGGTGGTAAAAGGAGTCGTGCGTCTGTTCGTGGTGGTACTTGGGCGATGAGCCAGAAGGTTCGTGGGTCCCTCGGCAAGTCGCTGATATTTGGGTTTCGCTACGCAAGCGGAGAACGAGCTAGGACTCCGAGTTCATCGGAAAACAGGCGAGGCGAGCGCCGGGTTTTGTTGAGATGCACAGGAGAATTTTGTGACACTGCTGGGTTGCAGGTCAGGAAAATGTGGCCTGGTGTACAAAGCAGGCAGCATCCATTTTTTTTCAGCCCGGACACGACCATCTGACTGTGCTCCGGTGCGTAGACACAAAGGAATGTCCTCCACGGCAATTGTCGAATGAGCACTGTTGTGTGGCCGTAAGGCGCGCCGGCGTATGTCAGATGAACCTTGTGAAACACGTCGGGGTGACTCAACCTCCGTCTGACGCTTCCATGCACCTAACTCGAGGCCGCGTCACAGGGTGTGCTGACATTTCAACACAGCTGGTCGGTTGTGACCGCAGGTCGTCGTTTGATGAATATGTAAGTTATGTGTTTGCTTTTCTGGTCATGAAAGCGTACAATCGCATCCAATGCCGTCGCCAGGTATCGCAATTGTTGGCGGCAAAGCACATGACCCACACCTACTGTACAATGTGAAGATCACTGGCATATTTGATCGCTTATGATTAGGTTGTTACTGAATTCGAAAACTTCAACCAGCACTACCTTGTTCTGATCTCAAACTATCATTAGATTGTGAAGCCCTGGAGCCAAACCTCTCGGGCTTATCGTTCCCCGATCCTGTGTTCCGAGCGTAGCTTGACACCTTCGCCTTCGCTGTCCGGAAGACATCTCCTACCACCCACCAGGTAGCCGTCTTAATAGACTGCCATCTCGCCACGAGAATGACGAGAAGGATCGCCACAAGGTACGTGATAAGAGACAAGATTGCTGTGGTGATCTTGTAGGTTGTGCCAACATCTCCTTTCTGGAAAGCTTGAATATTGAGAACCGTGTGCTTCTTTATGCACCTAACCCACTGAACAGCACTGCAACGATCACGAGGGACGCTGTAGACTGTACGGTATGGGTGTGTAGGTTGCTTGGTTGCTAATTACGCTCAGAGGGCAGTGCCTCTGGTGTTTTGGGCTGCAACGCTGCTTATGTAAGCAGCTGCCTGCCCGCTATCTACGGATCCACAACCGTCTGTTTAATTGTCAGTAAAAAAAATTTAATGTTCAGTTTGGTGTTTGAGTGCTATGTTGTCCACTCACCGCCACGAAGCTCGGAGGTAAGACGACGGTTACTATAGTGAGTACGATAACTTGTCGGCTCAAAGATGTCGATCTTGTAGCCTCCATTACTGTAGTGACGTTGAAAAGCTGGCAATATGTGTCAATATATCTAGGGTCTTGTCTGTGGGCTCAGACATAGATGACGGAATTGTACTCACACCGTCCCGCAGGCCCCCAATCTGGTCATGTTTCTCAGAGATGCGCGCTTGGAACTCTTTTTCGATCTCTGAGGCATAGAGAGACAATGATTTCCAGTTCGTAGCCAGACAAGGACTCATTTCTGTGAATTTGTTGGGCCCATAAAACATGCCATCATAAACTTTGAGATCCCGGAAAGTCTGTGCCCTCCATTCAGAAATGTCTCGCAACAACTCTAGCACACTGAAGTACATCTTAGATCGCTCAAACGGGTCACTGAAGATGTGTTCATCTCGCAAAGAAGTATTCAGTATATCGTCCAACTTATTGTTCATAGGTCAGCATCTCTCAAATCGTTTAGCCACGACGCGATGGACATTTACCCGTCTCACAGAGACAGAGGCGCCTTGTAAAGGTACAAACAGCTGGGGTAAATGCAAGCCACAAAACCGTTCAGATCTGAACTACTCACACTGACGCTCAATTCATTATCCAGCAGGTCGAGCACATCCTGCCAGCCTCTATGCCTTTTCTCCAAGGCCGCCCAGACCATTCCCTGGAAGGCGCATAATCCCGCAGCCCTACCGCTACATTCAATATGTAATGGTTTCTTTTCAACTCCGTAACCTTCAAACATTTCGAATCTTTTCCCACCAGTATCTCGAAGAACGATGAGTGAGAACACGGGAGGATATTCTGCGTCCAGGAGGCCATGAAATGAGAGTGAGATGCGGTGCTCCAAGAGTGTGTAGTGGTTTCCCTTTCGAGTGGGCAATGACGCACTTAGTGAGTGGTGCTCTCGGATCATTCCAAATCCCTCAAATCGGGAAAAATTATCGCTTTGTGACGGTAGTGATTCTGGCTGTTTGCTGCTGTCTAGAAAGCAAAGATGGAGTTGTACTGAAACGAAGGCCAAGAAAAAGTTTGCGTTAAGCTGTGTTCTCATTACGTGATTCTCGGGCCAAGTACCGCAGAAAGATCGCAGAAAGTGAAGTGCCTCAAATTGCATCCCCCGGACCACACCACTTTTAATATCGCCCACTTCTCTTCCTCGGAGAAAAGTGTTGTCCATAACTAAGTGACAGAATTAGCGAGACTGCCTTGAAGGGAAACACAATCATCAGCTCGTGGTCGTAACTTGACATGCTGGTAAACTGATCGAAATCGTAATGCACAGTCAGCTTCAATTTTCATCATAACTAGGGACATCAACCAATACAATCACCATGCACTTACCAGATATGGCCAATTATAGGACGAGGATCATCATCAGGCTCGTAAGAATAATAGTTGCGATTATAGTTGCCTTCCTCATCGTGCGCATACATGTATCGAGGTCCACCTAAGCGTCATAATACTGGGAATGGGGTGTCCGCAGTGAGAAACACGAGTGTCAAGGCAGCAATCCTTGAAAGAGTCGTCGCCAATATATAAAGTGAACGCTCTTCCACGAGAAATCACCAGTTTTACAAACCAGTGCGCATTAACTAAGCTTCTCAACGTCCCCAGGTTACAGCGGGTTCGCCACTCAACGCCGTCGTCCCGGGGGTGATCGGACGAGTAGTACCTTGCAATGCTCTCGGCTTCTGGTAACGCGCGCTGGTCCCAGACCCCTAGACTCCGAGTTTTGAAATTGCGCCCATCATGCGGCGAGTCATAGTCAAGAGATATGAGCTCCAGGCGGCGATCAACTTGTATAGGGTCCCTTCCGCAATTAAAAGCATGGAAGTCGCTATTTGCCGACGTATCTGGGTTGAGATCCCCACCGTAAATGGCCAGAAAGTAGTATTTGAGATCCCTCGTCGACCTAGAGCTGAATCCCGAATACCACTCAGTGTGGAACAAGCGGCTTCCTGAAGAGAGCTCTGTGGTTGTGATGGGCGCACAGGAGATACCGGCACGTGTGTTCCTCAACGTCTCGTGCTCGAGTTGTTGGCGTCGCTGCTGATCAGTCATTCGTGTCAGGTGGGTATTGATTTGGCGCAACTCCGTGATCAAGCCAATCATGGAAGGGTCTGCTCTTCTGCCCAGTCTTCTGCGTCGGGGTCGCGCGCTTTGGAGGACCCGTTTCGATTTTGCATGCTTGTCTTCGGCTTCAGCAGGTCCTTCTGTTGGTTTGGATGCGGCATTGATGGTTCTGTTTTGTTCTGGGTAGGACGGTGTGGTCTCCGAGTTGAGCACTTCGCGTACATCCATTGATCAAGTTTTCAGAAGTCAGTTCTTCAACGTGCTGGTATTCATATCCTTTGGATCAAATAATTGAAAGAAAAGTTTGTTACAGAGGTTTGATGAAGAGAACCAGGAGGAGAATGGGCACATACTAAGGAAGCAAGATGAGCAGCAGGATTGTGGTACAAGCACTCCGTGTTGACTTACACGGCCGTGGGATACGACGCTACACAAATAGCAAACACCAAAACTCGTATCATGAGTGCCCCAATCACTACCAACCTGAACGTTGCACTGAGTTGCATCTAGGTTAAAACGGGGAAACTACCATTTGCGAAGTGACGCCTAGATGGACATGTGCTGTGGGTTTACTCTCCGAGTTGTCGAGAGCAAGTCGGTCAATTGTAACACTGCATGTTTGCTGCCTCATCCATTGGTACAGAATCCTGCATGACGGTTATGTAATGGAATTGAGCTCACTGTTGCATGACACAAGAAATGGCTCGTCCTCGGCCCTTATCATCATAGCTGCTGCCAGCTTTTGTGATTACATGAAGCAAGCATCGAGTCTAGTCCAGTACGTTCGCCATTTTGTTAGTTCCTTGGAATGTATCTTAGTTCGTGTGTCACCTTAAGAAATGGGCTTGAATTGATCGCTTAGGTATTCAGAATCGTCTCCTCAAGTGAGAGCCCACGAAAGCGCTGATGCGTTTGTTTGATGAGTCACAGAGGTAATTAGCTTTGAAGTCCTTGCCTCGGTGTGAATGTCAAGTATGCGGAGGCGGTGCCTTGCCTATGACTGGTAGCTACAGTAAAGAGACTACCAGGACTTGAATCTTCAAACTCACGGTGATTTCGATGTATATCTCATTGAGCAGTGACAATCTCGTATGAAAAGTATGCCAGGCATTATTGGGGCTTTGGAGCGGTGGTGTTCTTGTCATGAGCTCTCATATTTTCTGCACCCCTGGTGGCATACCAGGTTTAAGCTCACGCAAAGATGAATTTAGGATAGCAGACTGCCAACTTATCACATCATGATTCTAGAGAATGTTGACCTACAACACAAGTTGATGTTTACATGGATTAGAATTGGCTGGGTACTAGTGAGGATAAACTCTTGTTGGATGATGCCCAAACATTAATTATGACGAAATGTTCTATGGATCACACGGGCTATCTCATTGGTGGGCGATATATGATGCTGATGTTGGGTCAGGATTGTGGGGATCGTGAAGCTGAACGAGGATATGACTTGGCCTGTGGTGGCCAAAAGATGAAGAGTTCTCGTACAACCATGAGCCTGGCCCCAAGCATCCTCAGTAGCACAATTCGGTTTGTTGACCTTGCTGGTTCAGAGGCCTTGGCATGGAGTTGGCTCCTTTACACGGCTTTGGTCATAATGTTGACTGTGACTGGTGTTTGGCAAACAGAGCGACAGAAAGAGCACCTTGGAAACATAAGAAAACAACGAAGCAGCCGCTCTTCAAGGTTTGCATCAAGCCTGTGTGCTGCCTACAGAAATCTCAGTTGTGACTGGCATGTCAAATCACTTCACCCGGGTCAGGGACAGGCCTGATTCCTGCCCCTCATTACTCTGAATCACAACTCGGGCTGAGAATCATGTGAGTCCGTAGCCGGACTCTGTTCGATGGCTCACGCTTGCTTTGTGCTACTGACATAAATTGCTGGATCAGTAACGTTCCCAAACCTTTCCCCTCCAGCCAACAACTTACAATCAACAACCCACAAATCACATGCACACACCGGATTTCACCACTTATATACTCTTGATGAGTATGTCTTGAATCGATACCTGACAAGCCCCAGAACAAGTGCTCAATTACTCTCTCTCTCTCTCTCCATTTGAGGCCCAAATTACAGAGCTTTGAGTGTCAAAGTCTCGAGAATCACAAGATTCAGAATGCGTCTGAACATTACCATAAAGAAAGAAGGCATTCTCCCAGGGATCATAGGGGATTTCCCTGTGGACAAGACAGTCTTGGACGGTAAGACATCCGTGACAGTGGGTTGAGTTTACTTGCACAAGATGATCGCTTACTCTGGGGTCTTGCAGTATTACCATTCGGCTCAAAAGTCTTAAAAGCAGAGGATCACGGTGACTCCGCTTACACCCAAACCGGTCGCATGGATGTCGAGCTTCCTGGTGGCGAGGTCAAACAGTACTTTGTGAAGGTATGACGATTTGCCATCACCCATAAGGGAGACTACCTAGGTACATGCCAATGAGTAATCTGGCTGCTAATAACCCTTGTTTCTGAAAAGTTGGCAATTGACGAAATTGCGCCACAGCTTTGTGAGGGTGAACACACTACTCTGAGCCTCATCGATGGTCTCATCCCCGGGATGGTACCCAAGCCAGTCGCCCGGGGTAAGTATGTATTTGCTGATCCAGACACGTACTTCTTGATCGAGGATTTCCATCACCTGGATGAAAGTATCCCTAGCCCTCAGAGAGTATCCCAGCGTTTGGCTCAGTTGCACCGTCTGGTTTCTCCCAACGCCAAGTTCGGGTTCGCCGTGCCTACACACCAGGCAATCGCACCGCATCCTGAGGGCTGGGAAAGCAGTTGGACAGTGTACTTCACGCGGATTCTGAAGACAGCTGTCGAGACAGATGCCGCGAAGAACGGAAACTGGCCAGAGCTGTCCACGGCAGCAAAGCACCTCCTCGAGGCCGTCGTCCCGACCCTGCTAGATCCGCTGCAAGACGGGCCGAACCCTATCAAGCCCCGCCTCATCCATGGAGACATATGGGCAGGAAACATCGGCACGGACAAGGAGACGGGCGACATCATGTTTGTGGATACGGGATCTTTCTATGGCCACAACGAGTTAGACCTTGGAGCCTGGAGGCGACCTCGCGCAGAGAACCTTGGTCAATCATACCTGGATGAGTACAAGCGGATATTTCCACCATCCGAGCCGCAAGATGCCTTCGACGACCGGAACAGGCTTTACAGCTTGAAATTCGACCTCAATGTGGCCGCTTGCGAAAAGCGACAGAGATTCAGAAACGCGTAAGTACGAGACGCGCATCATGGTCCCACTTGAGACAGCAGTCTGACGGCATACAGTGCCCTGAATAATATGCTGTACCTCATTGAGAAGTATAGCAAAACGTCAATGCCTCACCTGCCAAAGTATGACCCAAGCAAGGACTACTCGGCAGGGAGCAGCTCCATATCTGCAAATGAACAGTCGCCGTAGCTTGAGGCAGGCTCCAAATGCCAGAAACTCAGATTTTGCTTGCTAGGACACATTCCTGCTCTTGCGATGCCCAACAAAAAAGGCGGCGAACGTAAGTACTATCAAGGAGCAATCTGAGTAGTGCCACTTCTGTATTTGGTAGCTTGTTACCTAATTTTCGGGTTCAATTTTTGCATCTCAATTTCATTTGCGTTGAATTACCGAAGAGCTGGACTTTCGTTTTCTCTGATATGCCATAATTGACCAGAAAGCAGGCGTGGTCTATCTCTCGCGGTCCATGTCCTCACCAAGTTCTTGAACCGGAATACCCGCCTTTCCACACGAGAGATTGCGAGTCTGTCTGTCGGGGACCACTTCTCAGCCTTCCTACTACGACCATGCCATCGAAATTCGTGACGTTTGCTTGGCTGGCAATTGTACTCCTCGTCCGCTCAACGAAATGCCTGGTGTCAGACTTGATATCCCGCCAGTCAATTGGTAAGGCCGGGTGCTTGGATGGAGACTTTTTCGCCAAGGGAAAAAATCATGATGATGGATATGAAAAGTTGTAAAAAGTCCTGCTCGCTTTTCCGGAAGTTAGCCAGGCAATCAATTCTGCAAGCGATGTAGACAACTGAATGCTGTGAGTGAGGTGACCAGAAAGTAAATTTTCTCCCAGAGAATTTATCTTTGTTATCGCACACCTTTTAGACTCACATATAAACCTGAGTTGGCTTCGGAGGAGCTTATGTGTTTAATGAATGTCATGTGAGCCTGGCACAGAACATTGGATGTAACACATAAGGTGTGGCCAACTCCCAGGCGCAGGCTGCCTTATCAGTAGTAGTGGTGCATGTCTCAACGTGCAGCTTTACGTTCCCTGATCGACATGATGGCTTATTTAGGTGCGGCCCTACTGGACACCGCACTCGCGTCTAGGGCTAATCTAAAGTTATGCACCCACGGCTGTTGTCTTAGAAGCGCGGTAAGCATTAATGAGGAAGCTAGTACAATTTGAGATGAGCCTGAGATGGCTGACCACCTGGCATTTCCCCCCAAAACATATGCAAGGGCATAGTTGTACTCTCCAGAAATACAGCTGTTGGAGCTTTTTTGCCACCGCTCTTCCATTCATTGTGGACAACATCGCCATCCACTGACACCGCTTAATTCATACTACAAAGTGCGCCTCTCATATCCTATGTCAGAGGGGTCACCATGTCAAAGTACCCAGATCTCCCACCCCAACACGCGGTCGCCGTCAGGACCGAGCGCATCTACCTCCGTCCCGTCACACCCGAAGACTTGTCTGCACTTCACACAATCAGAATGAACTCCAAAGTAATGCAGTACATGTGAGCCTCGACTCAACTCCACCAACCCAAGCCTTTCCACCGACTGACCGCCCTTTGCAGGCCTGGAGTCGAGACCGAAAAAGACGCCGTCAAGTCGCACAGCGTCAGGCGCATCGAGCTGATGATGAAGCCAGACGGGTTCTCATTCGCCATCGTCGTGCCAGACCCGCAACATGAGTCCAGCATCGCAGAGGGCCTCGCGTACGGAACCGTGATCGGCTTCGTCGGCATCACGGCACCGCCCGAGGTTTTCTACATCCTGGATGACAAGTTCTGGGGTAGTGGGTACGCGACCGAGGCGTTACAGGGGTTCCTGGACACGTACTGGAACGCCTTTCCGGAGGGCTTGAGAGGGATGGATGAGTGGACACGCGACTTCCTCGAAACTCATATCATTGTCGGGAATGATGGCAGTGAGCGCGTTGCTGCCAAGTGTGGCTTTGTTCATGTTGCGGACAGATCGACGCCGTCCCACGGCGAGGAGAAAGAGAAGAAGATCTTCCGACTGCAACGTCCATGAAGGAGTTGGAAGACTTGTGGCTTGCTCGCATATGGCTTGATGTCTCTCTAGAAGTACCAAGCCCTTACAGCCAGCGCGAGGATGACTTGTTTGGCAGAGCTGTTATGTCAGATCTATGAACTAGACAACAGGATGAGAAAACGGGTTTGGGCGTGCCGGATACGCATACAGCATACTGCTCCATGGAGATGTGCACTGTTGGCTACCTAGGTACGCTCGAAGGGTTTCCTTTTTAGACACAGCGTGGACCAGGTTGGGGTAATCTGAAGGCGCTTTATCAGTTCATAACCAGCTCACTTGGTTTTAAACTGGCCAATTTGATGGAGCCAAGATTTCAAGGCAAGAAATTCTTACCTGATTATTTGAATTTGTTTTATTAGACGCATTAATTGTATCCGGATAATGCTTCATCACAAGGACGTTGACATCATAATGAGTCCCCGGAGGTCTGTTGGCATAGGTTATGATTCATACATTCGCTAATTAGATGTGGCTACACATATGAGAATTATCTTCTTCCACTTGGCCTCCGCTAAATTACACCATGATATCTCTAATTTTGAAACAATTTGAATTGCTTCCCTCTAACCAGCCTGGTACAGAGCCAGAGCATAGACGTGAGGGTTCACAGCGGTCAGGTTGAATGGCGTGACATACAGGTCCTCGTCAGTGAGGGCCAGGAACATGGTACCGTTGATAGCCGGGTCGCCCTCATAGGTGGAGACATTGGGCTGGATGGTGTATGCCGAGTTGCCGCTGACGTTCAGCAGCGGCGAGTAGGTCACGTTGAGTTGCGAGGCCCAGAGCGCGAACTTGGGCGCGCCGGCCGAGGTCGAGGTAACGTAGCTGTTGTTGGGGCCGACGGCCTGGCCGGGCTCCTCCCACTGCAGGAAGACCTGGCGACCGGGGTAGGACAGCGGCTGGGTGCGGTTGTGGGTGATGGCCGGGGAACAGTCCTCGCCGACGACGTCCGAGTCGGCGCACGCGTCCTGGGGCTCGATGTCGTCGGTGCTCAGGGTGTTGGCGTAGTCGCCCCGGGTCTCGTTGAACACATCAGCGCCGTCGATACGGGCCGCGTTGGGCTGGTTCAGGATGTGGAGGGCGGGGAAGTTCTGCCAGATGAGTTGCTGCGTGCCCTCGGGGCAGGACGAGATGTACGGGGCGAGCAGGGTCCACGCCCACGACTGGGGGATTCCGCACTCGAACCAGACGGGCATTGGGAACTGGCCGTTGAACTGGCGGAAGATCATCTGCTGACGCGCCTCGGTGGTGATGGACTGCAGCAGCAGCTGTCCAACCTCGCGAGCATCGAGGTGGTTGAGGAAACCGTAAACACCGGACTCGCCCCATCGAGTCAACTTCTGGGAGAAGTCGATGTACTCGCGCACATTCATTGATGGGTAGTTGTATGTGCACTGCTTGGGAGCGTTATCTCCGAGCAAATTTGTCAGAAGTGTCGCATGTCCGACCTCCTGCTCAGCCATAAACTGCAGCAGATATCGATCCTCGGCAGTCAAGCCGGCAGCCTCGAAATCCTCAACGGAGTACGTGGCGAGACCGTAGTGGAAGAGATCCAACTCGATCCATTCTTGGTACAAGCCAACAGCAATAGACTGGTAGTCAAAGTCGGACTGTACGCGGTACACGGGCTCAGAACCGTTGGTGCCTTGCCCGCCAGCAGGTGTGTAGGGCGCAGGCTGGTCGGCGTGAAGCTCACCGTCAGCAGGGTAGTCGAACTTTGCTGGGTTTGGCGGCAAAGCCGGGACGGAGGCGGCAAGGACGCTTGTAGACTGCGCTCCGGTAGTCGTGGGCGAGGGGCCAGTGTACGGGCCGTGGCTCGTGACATCGGTATGAGGCACGACTGATGCCGTCAGGGCCGCGGCCGATGTGATGGTGGTTGTCGGGGTAGAGACCACACGCTCCTCGATGACGGGCGCGGCGAAAGCCGGCCTTGTGAGAGCAAGAATACCACCAACGGCGAGGAATCCAGCCATGGTTGTGTTGGTTGAGCTAGGTGAGAGGTGCAGAGCGAATCTCGGATGCAATGCAACAAAGGAAGCTCGTCCATTATATACACAATGATCTGTCTGTCTGGATCCTCAGTGTCTCTGAGCTCTATGACGAGGAGCCATCGGAATGTGGGCTCTTTGCCATGTTGAGCGAGCTAGGCATGGCAAACCCCATGGTTCTCACCAGATTCTGCTTGGAAATCAGGCACGGCGTCAGGAAAGCAAAAGGCGCACATGTGTGGCAAGGATCTTGTCAAGGTGTGATCGCCATCCCGGTGGTGGAGGACGAAGATGGTCTGTGGAGGGGGTAGGCGACAGTGACAGTGCTCGTCGTGCCGTAGCACTTACGTCGACGACTTCTAGACCGCAGAAAAATTACGTTATCCCTGCAACTTGTCGTCGTGAGATCTCTGATCGCACGTGGTCTTGGAGGTGGTCTCACAAGCTTTCGGAGTGGCAACCGGTGTTTGAAATCTCTACTTTTAAACGTGTACCTAGGTAGTAGTACATGGCCAACAGTCTACCATTGCTCACGAAGCTGACTTGTTGCTGCATTGCTGTCTGCCTGATGAGCAACATGCAGCACGTGGGGGAGGTGAGTAGCCTTCCAGTGTACAAAGTGTCATTCGCGGTTATGGGCGCAGACAGGTGCGGAGCGGGCGAAAAGACCTCAATCTGCGGTAGGACAATTGCATGTGCAGGGCCGCAATTCAGTGCGAGCAAGGGCGTGGGACGGTGAGCGTGTGACGTCTACTATTTCCTCCGCGTTACTAGTAGCGCGTCACCGTGGACCAGCTCGACCAGATGTACTAAAACGTGCGCAAACAAATTCTCGGCGACCTCGGAGATACCCATCACTTACTCTGATGGACGGACAAATCTCGCATTCAATGACGGGTACATCGACGATCTCCCGTGGACTGCGCGTGGAATTGAAAGAATTGAACAATGTGCAGTAAATCACACCGACGCGAAGAGACCACATGGCGGCGTAAATGCAAGGTCCCGCGGATGTGATGAATGATTATCCCTGCGCCCCGGCAATGGGCGTCCTGGCGCATACACAGAAACGTTGAGCCTCAAGCCTACTTGGAGGCTTTTTGAGGCCTAGCCCCAGCGCAATGGATCTAAACTTATAAACATCGAGTTCTGCCAACTTGGCCTCCTGGGCTGCGGCCCGGAAGTCTTGCTCCAACCCTGCCTGCACCCTGGTACCCGGGCAAGAAACGAGACGGAAATCGGGAGCCTAGATGATCATCGGACGAACCGGCTAGGTCAATTGATTATTAACACATTGTGACGTCTCGCTGACAGCCGAGTGCTACTTTGCACTGACAAAGTACGCGTCTTCGCTTTACATCGCGCCTGTCCGGCTCTTCAGTGACGGCCTTGCTCGGGCATGCAGGCACGCTACCGATGCAGGCCGATGAAGCCGCTCTGCTGATCGAGATGTGAAAATCGAGATGTGAAGTGAGTCATAGAAGCAAGCTGTCGTCCCCATTTCGGTCAATCCATACATGCGCAACTGACCGGAAGCGAAAATTATGCTTGTTTTTTTTATTTATTTTACCAGTAGCTAGCACGCAATGAAGAGTTTTCGACAGTCTCAATAAAAATATGTTGCAGGTTGGAAATTAATGCCGGCCACCTGGGCACGTATCCATGAACTTTTGGGGCGAGCTTCAAGAAGTACAACGACTTCAAAACGAAATTATCGTCTCGGGACTGCGTCCCACAGCTCGGTAACGTTTCTTATAAGTTACTCCATATCAGACAATGACTCCTAGATCTAGAGTCTCTGCTAAAAGAATGGAATGGGAAATGCCTTGGTCCAGCTTGGTGGCCAGCCATGGGACTCAAAAGTTGCTAGTGACAAGTCATCCTCAGAGACGAATTGATGGCAAATACGGCAGACGCCAGCAGCTTTTCTCCCTCATTCGTCCTCATACGATCCAATAAACGCTATTGTAACTGCCTACTTCGTCGGCCTTCGTAGGCACTGTATTTCTCTCCGAACACTCCACAATTCCTGTACTCGCTTCCAAGCCTAGTTGGGAGCTACGGTCGGTATGATCAGTAGCGGTCAGTCATCTCCTTGGACTTCCTTTCAGAAAGAATGAAACAACTTAACAGCCTCCTTTGTGCTTGAACAGACTTGGGCCTGCTCCTCGACATCTATTTTCAAGAGCTGCAGCATCCCAACCCCGGAAGCGCCTCCGAAATGCAAGAATATTTGACTGGTGGCATGTGACTCAAAATTTTGTTGTCACCTGCACTGTTACTGCCCAGTTTCAGTAAACAACAGAAGTGGCACTCTTATGCTGTCAGAAAATATCTTGGCATGAAAACTCTCCTCACTTGGCTGTGCTGGCAAGGACATCCAAGCTTTTCCCACCGGCCTCGTGTAGCACTTTCAGGCACGGGCACGGAGCATTTTACCACATGCAGATGTCTGTTACTCAGCCTCAGGGTTTGACAGCCCGCACCCTACGCCCACAGCCTTAAGCGAGATGAATTCCAAGGGCACTAAATATGGACTTCACCATGTGGTTTCTTGATGGCGTAGAGCAAACACACGAGGCGAGCATTGTGGCGATGTAATTCAATGCCCGCAAAACTTCCAAGTCATTATGACGATACTCGAGGAAGCAGAGGCTGAGTGGCTTGCAAATTACGAGTTCTCCATAATCGGGGTCGGCCCCCAAATCTTGTTATGAAATTGTGTGGGCACGCGGCCCCGAGTCAGGGGCTCCATTTTCACAACGGCCTGCGGCGCAACGTTCTATTTGTAACCACATTCCATGCAGATACGAGTCGACAGCTATATACAAGGACCAGCCGCCTAAGAAAAGGGAGAGCAGCAAACGGACTTCGGCGAAGCTTGGAACCTGGGAAGACGAAATTTGCGATCATGGCCGGCCAACCACCCACGCCACAGCCATGTGCTGGCCGATCAACAGCGATCGGAGCCTCCGAGCTCAATTATAGCACCTGCAGTCTAGCTGCCATGGAATATGAGAAGGGCGCCACCTCGACATAGGTCTGCCTTCTATCGCACAAACGACGGTATTCGGGACTCACAGCGCAACCCGCCGCAATGGCCACCACCGAGGCTGGGGTATTAGCCACGATATGGGTCCTCTTCGCCCTCTCCACGACATTCCTCGGCCTGCGCCTCTGGTGCCGCCAGCACTACGCCGCGGGCTTCTGGTGGGACGACCACGTCCTGCTAGGCGGCTGGGGCTGCATCGTCGCGGCTAACATCTCTGCGTCCGTGTACCTAGCCGCGACACCTGACGATGGGAATTTCAGCCTTCTCTTCGCCAAGGTCGCAGCTGCGATCGCGTGCGCGCTCACCAAGACCGCATTCTGTGCCACGATCCTGAGGTTGCTGAACCCGGGACATCACCCAGCGTGGAGGTGGCTTGTCTGGTATCTCATGGTGTCTTTCAACCTGGCGACTATCCTGCTGGTCATCCGGCAGTGGGCTAGGCAGTGCGTGTTCGACTACGAAGACGGCGATGTGCGGTTGACAAACCCGTTGGGCAAAGGTCATTGTTGGCCGAATGAGGTTGTGACAGGAATCGCAGATTTTCATATGGCTTATTCGGCAGTAACAGAGTGAGTGCATTCCGATCGTGAAATTGCCAGCATGGCAGTTGCATCACTTGCTGACCATAAAATTTGATTAGCTTCATTCTGTCTCTCATTCCGTTGCAATTGATCTGTCGCCTCCGGCTCAGCCCGGCAGAGAAAGTTGGAGCAGCAACAGCAATGGGCTGTGGAATCTTGTAAGAAGACCACCTGTGACATATTTCTATTGTGCAGAGCTGACAATGATCCCAATAGAGTCTCCATTGTTCCACTTTGCAAGTTGATTGTCTCGCAACGAATGCGAGGTACCCCAGGATTCCCGAGTGAGTTGTCATACGCTATCGTGGTGAGATCAAGATCAGAGTCTAACATCCTTCAGAATGGTTTGTTGTGTCAATGGGCCTCGACATCATCGAGCCCCTTTTAACCATCGTTGCGCAATCAATACCCATACTCCGCGTCCTCGTCCGCGATAGAGCTACCGGCTACGAGAGCTCAAAATACGTGACGAATCTGAAGGACGGGAGCTCGAGCTACGTGAGCAATCTGAAGTCAAAGGCTGAGCGCTACACGTCGAGTCTCAGCCACAAGTCCCGTCTTAGCCGCTCGAAGCTGGAGTCTAGGTCAGCAGGGATTGATGACTCGTGGGAACAGATACCGAGTCCTGCTAGTCAGAATTTTCGACGCCGTAGTGTTGTGGCGTTGTATGAGATGGAGCCTGTCAGGCCGTACCCGGCCGTGTCAAGTATGCTCGACACGCAATTCGGCGACCTGAAAGAGGAATGGGCCAATTGAGAGGCTGCACACTACGAGAAAATCTCCAATGTAATTGAGTATTATCAGTCAAGGTGCACCGTGCTGCCCACAATGTGACAAGTTGAGGGCCTACGTAGGTAAAGCCTCGCGTTGGCACCGGCTCTACGGCGAGGCAATTGAGGAGCTCTTTCCAAGGCTCTCATCATCGACGCACTTCTTCCGGTTGTCATGTGCACAATCCTCCAAGGGCGCTCGTCCCTCTCTCAGCTGCATGAAGCTTGAAAATTTCAAGCCATTGTCCTTGAGAAGGCGCGAACGGATCATGAACTGCTAAGATGAAAAATGGGGTTCTAAAAGCAAGGCACGTTCGCGGGATCGGCCGAGGTAATTGCTGTTGACTGTCTTTCACCAAATTAAAGATACATTTGACTGAAAATGTATGGGATGGGATTAGTACCATTTTTCCAGCACCTCCCGCGCCGACGTCGCTCGACCGTGTGCTACCATTTCCACAATGCTCTTGTCCTCCATCTTCCGCACCACCAGGTAAGCTTCCCATGTGTCTCTCAAAAGCGATCCATGAAGCCGTGCGCTTTGTCGGATGCTGTGACACGCAAGGAGACCAGATAATGGGACTCTCAACGTCTCGAAAAATCGGGAGCCGGTGAAGCCAGCATCGTATTCGTTGACATCGGTCGCTTAAAAGCTAGCTGTTAGCAAATTGGCTTGCGCATACTTTCGACGAAGATGTTCGTCAAGGAAGCCAACATACCCTGAGGAATGTTCTCCAGCGCAACGGGATGTGCAATCTTCCGGGTTCCAAGGATCAAAGCCGCAGCGCCGACAAGGTACATGTTGGCCATACAGTCGATATCGCCAAACTCCAGTCGCCCCACCTCGCACCCCTCGGGGAAGTTGATAGTGGTCTTCGAGTTGCGAGCGCCCCAGGTCATCCACTCGCGTTCCGGCGACAGATCTCCACGGTATTGCCGCCGCTGTCCGTAGGTGAGCCAGCTTGGCTTCGCGAATGAGTAGATGCTTGGATTTGCTGATGTCTCCTCCTCGGCCTCCATGATCCCGGTGGCAAAGTCGCGGGCATACTTGCCGGAAGCGAGAGCTAGGTGAAGGCGGCAGCGCAGTTCATTTCGGCACATTACGTCCAAAGGGGTGCCAGAGAATGCGGCACCTGATACCTCTTCAGAGGCGAAAAAGAACGATGGTCGCAGTCCCTCCGAGCCCGCGATAGATTGCAGTGCTCTCTTCAATCTGTAAAAATTATCGACAGATTCCAAAACGTTGTCGCTCGTGAAGAGAGCTATCGTCACCACTCCGTCCTTCGCGACGCCGCCGCTCCGGATGGAGAGACCCGTGGCGCTGAGACCGTGGGTGCGCAAGGCTCGTGCCAGCTTTTGTACTATGTCCTGAGTTGGGCCATCGCCATTGGGTCGGTGTATTTTTCATCGGAAAGGTTTCGTAGCACGAATTGAAACTCCAAAGATGCTCTGATCTTCTGTTTCTTTCCAGACCCGAGCCCCTCGCACACTTCTTTCAGTATTTCGCGAGGATCAGCGAGAGGACCATCGCCAACCTCCACCTTAGCGAAGACAGTAGCACGACTTCTGTTATCGATACAGGGCTGTACAGTATCGTAGTCCGGGGTTAAGTTGTAAGTGTTATAAGAAGGGTAGATCCTCTCGGCGGCCGACTTTCCATCGGGAAGGCTGGTAAGGGCAGCGCCGCTGACAGTCAACGGAATGAGGTCGTCGGAATCGAAAATGTTGTAGGCATGTTTGCGATACATCCTGCCGAAGCTGTCGGCAGGGACGAGCTTCTCGTGGAGGATGCCGCAGTAGTCGGTCCAGATGACGTGGACAAGCTCACAGTCGCTGTGGTAGTGCTTCCAGTACTCGTAGCCATACCCGGGAGGATCCATGATGGTTTCCGTGTCTTGACAGCCAAGACGCAATCGATGACACGCTCAGCGTTGTCGCAAAGAGATTTGCGGTACCTGTCGCCGAGAGAAAAGGCTAGGGTCATGGTTTCCGGAGCAGTCTCCGTTTTGTGAAGCTGTGGAGATGTTTGCAAGAGACTCTCGGCGATTCAGCAGGTTTTGGCTTGGGATGCGACTGAGTTCAGAAGTGACAGTGAATTGGAAAGACACTGAGAAAAGGGCAGTCGATGCAGGAGCGAAACATTGAACATGCTCCCCGATGTCAGGATTGGCCTAAACTAGTAATTGGTGCGTTAGGTAGCCGAGGCTTTCCAGGACGCCTGCTGGTTGGAAATGACGAAGATGAATGTTTTCCAAAATCGCTTCGATCCCAGCTTGTTTTGAAGTGTAGATGCTGCTTCACGATGGTGGGTCTTTGAGGCTATGAGGACGGGCATAACGGGTGAGCCCAGAACATCTCTAGTTGGAAGTGCTGCATAAAGAGCGTGACTAGAAGGGAATGAAGAGATGTGGCTGATGAATCTGATTCAGAAAGAACAGCAAGGAGCCTCGCCAACTGCTGCGACGAGGTCACAGACAGGTGATCTTCCAAAAGGGCAGGATCAGAACCAGAAAGAGCTCGCAAGTAAGAAACATCAGATGAAAACACCAGTGCAAAAGTCTAGCAAAGCCTATCCTTCCGTTTGAACCTGGAACTGAAAGGGAATCTCTGTGCTCCATTTTCGAGGGGACCCGACTGGACACGAGTAGGACAGATTGAAGTTGCCCATGTCCTGAAGCAGTCTTGTATCTGACCAAGCATGGAAGACAGTGAGAACTTGGCAGGAACTGGAAGTCTGAATGTTGAGCGCTCGTGCATTGCATGACGATGATGAACACGGTGCATGCTCGTTACGCATTTGCTTATGGGTTTCTGCCTAACGTATCCCAGCATATGAAGATATGTTCCACGCAAGGCGTTGCAAAGACAGCATCGCTATCATGCCGCAAGAGTACATACAGACTGCTTGGACCATAGCGATGGAATAACAACATTTTGGTATCCGCATATCGTAAAACAGAAATTCAATCACCTTGTGTTCATAAATAGATAACACCTCGCGCAAGCTTCAAACAGGCTATTCGGAAAGGGAGAAAAACCCTTACCCAAAAGACAGTAGCAGATAGACAAGCAAGCACAGACTCAGGCCAAGTGAGCTGAAAATGGACAACCAGAAGGGCGTGTCGCCCTTATCCTCGCCATATCAATTTCCATCTCTTCAGCCCCCTTGCCCATCCTGTTCTTCGGCCCCAAATCCATAGGGATGAAGCCTTCGGGTAAAAACTCCGGCGAACCGGGAACCGTCCCCCCCATCAGGCGGAAGACCAATGCTATCGGCCCCCAGCGGCTCCAGAAGGTCGAGGGGTTGTAGAACGGCTCAAGCAGGTAGTCGAAGTGCTTGACGCGGCCGGTGACGGGGTCAGCCTCCTCGGAGAAAAAGATTATGGGCTTCAGGCGTGGGAGGCAGAAGTAGCGCAGGATGAAGCGGCGGAGGATGAGAGAGGCATATGTCACAAAGCAGGCGAAGAGTCCGGGCTGGGGATACATGAACGCCTCACGCATGCGGTCGCCCATCAGTACGGTCACGATCTGCATCGCGAAATCAGCTGCCGGGATAAAGGGAAGCAGCATCCCTATTAGCGCGTCGGCGAGGGTCCTGTTGCTCGGGTGTGGCTTCATGTCGTTAACCTCATAGCGCTTGGCCCAGGCGGTGATGTCATCGACGAACTCGATGCCATCCTTCCAGTCGTCCTGGGTAAGATAACCCTTGTATTCGATCTCCATGGCGTCGCCGATACTCTTCCAGAAGGCGCCGATGGCGCAGACCTCCATGTCGTTCAGGGGACGCCATTCATAGAGCCCGATGAATTCGATGGGCTGGATGATAGTCACTGAAAGGGTGTAGAGCAGATCCGTATTGGAAATCTTGCCGGCCTTCTTGTAGGGGCTGTGCAGGTAGTTCATTCGTGCGATGGCTTGGATGGCGCGCTCAGATGTAGGCGGGTTGACGCTGAAATCGCCAAATATAATAGTCGTATCCTCATAACGCTTAGGTGCCATAGTGGGATCCGAGAAGGATTTGGTGTGTGCCAGAAGGGAAGAAATCGTAGAGAAGGCGTAGGTCTGATCACATGGTCAGTCATTGCTGTAGTAGCATGTAGGAGCGGCTCAACAGGCTAGGTGCTCACTTTGAAGAGACCAAATTGCAGCGATAGCTTATAGATGAGCGGGAATCCGTAGTCCAAGATGTACTTCACGATCTGCTGGGCATCATCGTTGGTCATCTTGGCGAGAGAAGCCCGGGTTGGGTAGTTATAACGGCGGAGCATGGCCTTCTCATTCCTGAAGCGGAGGGAGGAGCACAGGATGACCCAGAGACCAAGGACGGCAGGGACGCCGACCAGCCACGCGGTCGAGCTGGCGACGGGCTGCTGGGTGAGGCCATATCTAACGGAAGCGTTGACGGCTGGAGGCTGGGTGACATTGTCCTGGAGACGGTCCGCGATGACGCTGGGCCGTTGGAGAAGAGTATTGAGGAAGTCCATCACGGCGGTGACAAGTGGGTGGCAGGCCGAGGCAAGCACCCGGGAATAGAGGAAGTGAAGGCAAGGACAGGGGAACAAAAGAAGTGAAGGCAAGGCAAGAGGGGAAATGCAAAAGCTGCGTGGCTCGACAAAGGAGGATTTGCCTGTTGGTAAGGAGTTGGATACACACAGTACTCTCATATGCAATCAAACGTTCCATTTTGGCGCTAGTGGCCTGCACATAACACCTCACACCAAAAATCGTATATACTTATCATACCATGCCCTTTTCAATTATTAAGTATAATTGTTAGATTCTACACCTCCTTTATGGTGGAATCCTTGTATGTGTGGTTAATTCTGATGGTTAATATAATAATGTCTTAATCCTTCTTCCTTTAAAGCTAGCTAGTGGCGGGGGCTAGTTTTTTAACTTATGAATATTAATGCCTAAGGCATTCACCATCGTGTTACCTATGTATATATAATGAATTTACGATTTCATAGTAAATTTACTATCTTTATAGTAAATTTATAGTAAATTTACTAATTTATGGTGAATTTATAGTAACTTTACCATGTAACCATTTAGCCATGATATATTTACCATTAGTTAGATTTGACACACCCCCTTAGGCGAGCAGGCATTAAGAGTTTGGACCTCTTACCCATCTTTCATTGCTAACTGCCGTTAAATGAATGTATCTTCCGTTAATATTCCCTTATATGGATTATTCTTAATATTCTGCATGCCGAGTTATTAAAGAAATCCTTTCCATTTCCTAATTGGCAACGTCTTTATCAATCCATTTGCGGTTATTTATGTTAATGGTGTATATTCCATTGTGATTTTTCCGTTTTGCACTTCTTATTATAGCTAATGATTATGAATATCCATATATTATAGTTTGATCTTAAGCGTAGTGATCTTGGAGTTTATTAACTTAATGGTTTGAGTATTATTGCACTTAATTTTAATTGTTTTATTGTTTAATTTAATAAATAGCTTGGTAAAAAGCTGGCTAATAAACAATGTTTTTTTTGCTGCTTATGCTAAGGTTAGTAGTTTGGCTTTTATGGTGGATGTTGTGATTATGTCTTGCTTATTAGCTCTTTATTTAATAAGTCCTTTAAATAGTTTTATAATAAATGCTTATAAGCTCTTTTTATTTAGGGAATTATTAGCGAAAGAAGCATTGCTTATAATAGTAAATCCCTTTAGATTTTGAAAACATAAGGCAAGATGCTTGGTGTGTAGGAGATATAATAGCACTTTATTAGCGGCATTATAGTGTTTTTAACTTAAATTGGTTAGGAATCGCGCTAATTATAATATAACAAAAGCAACGTTTAATTATATAAATATGGCAGCGAATAATAGCAAACCGATTTTTTTTTAGAATAAGTAGACTTTAGCTTTTAAGGCAGCGGTAATACTTAGTAATAGCTCTTTAAGAGTTATAGGAACCTTATGGAAGATATTTATTTTATTAGCTAATTTAGCAATCTTCTTAATATATGCGGTTTGGGCCAGTTAAATCCGGCGATTTTCACAATCTTGGATGATTTCCATATTAAGAAACCATTGGACTGGATTTCCTCTAATAATCTTGTACTTTTCTTGGAGTTGTTGTTCCAGCTTATCCACTTGTTTTTAACGATTCTTTTGATATGCAATGATAATATTGTCTATATAAAAGAAAATAATAACGCTCTTCTTTATGTAGCAGCATGGCTTATGCAGTATTTGCCGGTATTTATATTGAGCCAGGATTTTTATGAACTCCTTTTACTATAGTAATGGTAAGATCTAAAGGTTATATAGCGCTTTATTTAGCAATAAGATGGTTCCTCTTTATTAATATCTATATGGCATTTATATAAAAATGTCTTAATTAATTAAAATATAAATAAATGTATTTATAATATTGTATTATATAAGTTTAAGATTAAATTTCGCCGTTATTGCTATTAATATGCAAAAGGATTGGCTTGCTAAGGTTGCAGTATAAGTTTCTTGTGTTTATCTTTTTATCTGCTAGTTTCCTTAAATAACTAAACGGGCCTTATACTTTTAAAAGACTTTATGTTTATTAAATTTATATATATATACCTATATGTAGTTTAGGACTTATTTTCTTACCACACGGGGATTTTATTTTTAAATCTTGGTTTATAATCTTATTTTAATATAGCTTTATAAATAATTAGCTTCTGCTTATTTAAATAGATATCCAAATGAATGATTTTTTAAATCTTTATACTATCTTGGTGGCTTAGGGAGATTGTTCCTATGCAGTTTCACCCCTTAATAAAGGCGTTTCTTAATTTATGCCTTGTTTAGTGTTTTCTTATTTAATCTGGCCATTAGGGCAGCTTTAATGCCGGCCATGAATATGGATTGCCATGATATATTTACGGTGAATTTATCGTTTAATGGAATCTCTTTGTTTAATCGTGTTTAAATGGCATGGGCTAAAAGTATTAATAAAGGAGTTTGCGGCGGTGTAGGGAGCACTTTAAATTTTGCATTCATATAGGCGCTGTTTTCTCAGTCCGCTGCGGATCGCCTTTCTTAAGCGTCTTTTATATCTCCTTCCGGGATTCCTTCTTCGTTAGTATTACTTTCGCGGTCCGTTATAAATTGACCTTCCTTTAAGGTCTTTTCCGGGGAATTATCTTTAAATAAATCTTCTCCTTTCAGGTTTGGTATTTTATCATTTTCTAGGAGGGCATGTTCTTTTATTCATTTTGCGAAATGCTTAATGTTTGTAATAAGGAGTTTATTTTTAAAACCTTCCTATTTACCATTAAATACTTTATATTTATTAAAAATTACATCTTTTATATTAATGATTTTCTTAGTAAAGGGAATTTATATTTAATAAATATTTAAGGAATGATAGCCTATAAGATATTTAATTCATGCTCATGGCTTTAATCATTAATATTATCTTTTCTTTAATTAAGCATTTAATGTTATGGCATATGCTTTATAGCTAAAGATATATAAGTAAGTTTAATTTGGTTTTAAATCTAATTATGGGATACCCATTTATTTAGTAATTGCTTTATAAAATTTAAAGTATAGTGTTTGCTAATCCAGGCTATATGTTGGTGTTTAATTATTAAGATATACCGTTATGCATTTAATTTCCGGCTATAGAGAGTATGGGAGCTTTAAGCTTGTTTGCATTGCTTATATCTTCTCCTTAATTATACCCCCTAAGCGCTTAGCACCATTGTTTTAAGCCTATATATTTAATGCTAAGGGCTTAATTTTAATATGTTTTAACTTTAGGAACTTCTTTACTGCTTATTTATAGCTAAAAATTTCTTTATTACACTTAATCGTTTTAATCTTTGTTTTATGCTGGATTTCCATTATGCTATAAAAAGATTTAATTATATTGCATAACATATTGCTATTTTAACTTATAAGGTAGTAATCCTAAATAAATCCAATAACTTTGCATATTAGCAGAAGTTATAATGTATAGCCTTAAATCCCTTTTTTATAGTCATGGAAATTTATTGCAATTCTCTTACTTGCTTATTCACGGATCTCCCTTAACGATTAACGGATTTGCCACGTGATTTTAATAAGAGCGCATGCTTTACACTCTACAGTAGTAAGTCCACGGATTCACACCCCTTAAGATGAATTTACTAGGTGTTTTAAGGCTTTTAATCTTAAATAACCTAATTATCCATACTAAATAATGGCTTCGCTTATAAGTAGCCTTTTCTTAATAAACATTATATATTTCTTTCTCTATATATTAAAGAAACTTTAAGTGGTTTTAAATTAATATTTAATAATATATTAACCGTAAATATTAATAAGTAAATAAAGAATTAACTTATCTCGTTATCTTAAAGTAATTAAATTATGCTCGTTATCTTAAAATATCCCCTTTTTTCATAATTACCTTAATAAAACAAGGGTAATTAGAATTCATAAACATAGGGCGACGTTTTCAAAATATAAAATTAAAGTTTCGGCTTGCATAAGCATCATTCCATATACTATGATTAATAGTTATTAATCTCCTAACTATATATAGTTATTATAAATCGCCGGCCGTAAATTTACTAATTACTCATTAGTATTTATAATTAATATCATACTAGCAGGATTTAATATTATTAAATGCTTTAAAGGGTATTCTTTTATAATATTCACAATAAAAACTCCCTTAGCCTTTATACTGGCAATATAATATCCCGGTAGTTAATCTTTAATTTCTTATATTAGCTCCTCCTTTATGGGTTTTAAAGTCTTAAATTTTGATTTAAATTTTAAGCCTTAAATAGCTTAAACCTAGGCTTAAAGATTAGCATTATTTTTAAGGGCATTACGCACCTTTTCTTCCGTTCTTTAACTCTTTTTAAACCATAAAAATGCTTTCTCCAGAAATACATAAAAGCAATTAGCAAGGGCATAATTCCTATTATAAGCCGCATATACCTTTTTAAAGTTTTATACCCAAGATTAATAGCGTTTATTGCAATACTAACTAAATCCATATAGTAAACTGGGTTTAGTTAGGCCTCTTTAATATAAGCTCATCTCCTTAATAGTGTAAGCGTCCTCTTCACTATTATAGTTATTTTTCCCATTATAAGTAATTACCTATGCTCCTTTAATAATCTTAGCAGGTTTATGCTGCATACCTAAAGCTTGCAATTCCTTATGAAGGAAATTCCCAACTTCCCGAAATTTAAGGTTTCCATTTACCACTTCTTATTCTCTTATTTACCGGAAAATAATTATCCATATAAGCATTACACCTTATATGGCTTATAGTAAATCAGGAACCCATGCAATAATCTATCTTGCCTTAGCAATCCCTTATTAAGTAGCTTTAGACATAGCAGATTCCCATCTATCAATCCAAACCGGGGTTTCTTTTAAATTCCTTGATAATTTCAAAGCATTCTTATACAAAGCTCTTATTTATAGCTAATCATCTATTCATAACAATCCACACCTTTATTATAAATTCAAGTACTACTGC